GTTTCATGCAATAATAACGACACTAGAGAATGGTTAAGTAAATCATCTAGGAAGTCATCAGTATTGTTAACATTGTTTATGCTATGGTTTGAACATAATTAAATTTGGTATTGATACTATTAGGTGTATAACACTATTAGAGACAAGAGAATCGATGAAATAGTTTTACAAATCAATTCCTTATTTGATAGTACAAATAGACTGTTCTCACCGTTGAGTGTAATGTAATAGATTTGTATGACAGTATCATAATATGAGTAAGGGGGATTTTCTGAAAATTGTAGTATTTTCTAAGCTAGGGAGCCATTGTAAAACCTGGAGCACCAGGGCAGCCATTTCATCCCAGCGTGAGACTCCTCAGCAGTGCTCATCTACGATCCCACAAGCAGGACTCGAACTCGGGATCTTCGGTTTCGAACATTAACGCTTAACCTCTAAATTAAACTATGCTCCAGATAGGGATTTTCTCAAGAAAGTGCATAAGTTCGTCAGTTCAGTAAGGGAATCATTGTTCGACATTTGATATTCAAAACACATTCAAAAACTACAGTGATAAACATCTACAATCCAACGAAAAGAGATGGACAGAATCCATTTGATTGTACCCAACTGAGTTCTCTTCGAATAATACAACAAAAATAACAATAACAACAAACACCACTACCACTACTACTACTACTACTACTACTACTACTACTACTACTACTACTACTACTACTACTACTACTACTACTACTACTACTACAAGATTGATGTTGAAATTATCAATAATAATCATGATTAATTTTCGAAGGTCCTAAAATATGAATTAACATACTGAGATGGGATTTGGAATATTATCCAGTTAACGATTATCAAAACAATTATTAATATGATCTAAATGAAGTCGAAATTTATATTAGCACCGGAAGAATGTCAGAATATGAAGTATTGGAAATAAACACATATCAAGAATTATTTAACAAACTATGAAAATGTGTTGAGATTATGTTGTACTAAGGAATTGTGTGTGTCTTCTGAATAAAAAGATCAGGCTTGAATTGACGAATCGTTAAAGTCTTCAATGTGAACAAGCTTCTTACTTGGCTTTCCTTCGAACCAATCCGTCTTACTTACTTACTTACTTACTTACGCCTGTTGCTCCTCGTGAAGGAGCATAGGTCGCTCACCAGCATTATTCATACAACCCTGTCCTGGGCAATCCTTTCCAGCTCCTTCCAGTTGTTATTCATCTTTTTCATATCTGCTTCCATTTCCTGACATAATGTGTTCTTTGGCCTTCCGCTTTTCCGCTTCCCTTCAGGATTGCAAGTTAAGGCTTGCTTCGTGATGTAGTTTAATGATTTACGTGATGTATGTCCTATCCATTTCCATCGTCTTTTCCTAACTTCCTCTTCAGCTGGAAGCTGGTTTTTTCTCTCCTAGAGAAGGCTGTTTCTGATGGTATCCAACCAATGGATGTTGAGTATCTTGCATAGATAACTATTTATAAATACTTGTATCTTCTTCATGATGATTGTAGTAGTTCTCCAAGTTTCAGCTCCGTACAGTAGAACTGTTTTGACGTTCGTATTGAAGATTCTCACTTTGATATTGGTTGACAGACAGTTGTTTTCAGTTCCATATGTTCTTCAATTGTAGGAATGCTTTTTCAATCCTCACCTTTACGTCTGCATCTGAACCTCCTTGTTCATCGATGATGCTTCCCAGGTATGTGAAGGATTCTACATCTTTCAGAGTTTCGCCATCAAGAGTGATACTGTTACTCTTACTTTTCAAATAACTATAAGTGAAGATTCTATTGAGAACAGATGACAAGAATTCAATAATCGAGGTGTTGATTGGTTTACATTCATCTTTCAATATCCACACTGGATAGTTCTCAGTTATGCTTTTGGAAAGAGCATGGTTTATGTGGTTAATATAATAAGCTGCATAAGATCAAATAAATTTGTATAGACATTATAAAGTGGCCTTAAAGCGGTAGCCTATTCCCTACACATTATTGTACATGGTATCTACTGAAAAGTACAATACATAGCTTATTTGAACAAAACACCTTTTTCAAACATTCAGTAAAACTCCATTATTTTATTTGGTGACTCAATGGGTTCCTTTAGTTGTTGTAAAATCGAAGCTGTAAACTATTTCTTTGAATAATAAAGCATGTTTATTCATCATTCAAGTTATCACCTATTTAATGAAATACACTTAGTTCAATTGGTATTGTTTACTTAAATCTTCTTATTGATGTTTAGCACTGCAATTGATCAGTCTCTTATAGGCATATGTACATATGTGCCTTAATTCACAAGCATTCTAAGCAAAGATGGATAGTGGTTAGTAGTAGAATCCAGGACGCGCGTCAATTCCTCATATTTGAGACTTGTCAGCTGGTTGTGTTCACATCTCCGAGTTGATTTTCACTCCGGAGCTCGAACCTAGTACCGTTCGCTTTAGACGCCATTGCTTTATACACTTAGCTAATGAGTCCTGATAGTCACTTGCTTGTACAATGAGGTGAAGTTCCAGAGCGAATATCAACTCTGAGATGGAGTTACATCTAGCTGACGAGTTCCAAATTCGACGAAACGCGCTTCCTTGATCCGATTGCTAGCCACTATCAATCTTTGCTTATAATACGCTTGAATGGTTATTATAATAAATTGTGTCCATACATCATTATTATTATTATCATGGTAATTATGAATTTTGTATTATACTCTTTGTTTATTTATGCATGACTAATCAGATTGGCTCAACTGATGTACACTAATCTAAGTTACATTTGAACAAAACTCATATTTTTCTTGATTAAAACCATAAATCGATGGATGTTGGACCATCGTTGAAAACTTCAAAGCACTAGACCTCCGTTTCATCCTATTGTGGGATGACTCCGCATTAGTAAGCATCCACGATTTCACTTGTGGGATTCGAACCCAGGACCTTCGATCATGCCAAAATACGAAGCAATAATAATAATTCAATAAATCAATCAATCAACCCACAACATTATGTGATCATCTTCATACGAAACCAAAGTTCAAGGGTTCGAATCTCGGGTGCGGGAACATGGATGAACACTGTTAAGAAGTCTTATGCTAGTAGGAAACGCCTGTTCAGTTGCTCCTAATTTTCAATCATGGTCCATGATTTCAATGAAATTCGACAATCTCCACGACCTCATAACTGAAAATTATCTCTATGATTTCAGTTTTGAATTCATTCACTTCTCTGGAATCATTACTCTTTTTCATATTTCAATTATAAAAAAAAACAACCGTTGGATGCCGGCTCAGTGGTCTAATGGTTAAGTGCTCGCGCACGAAACCAGTAGGTCCTGGGTTCGGATCTCGCGGGGTGCGAGATTGTGGATGCGCACTACTGGAGAGTCCATACTAGGACGAAACAGCCATCCAGTGCTTCCAGGTTTCCCATGGTGGTTTAGCTTCAATTGACTCATGATTTCAATCTGTGAAATTTCTAAAATCTCCACAAAACCCCATTCTGATAAAAACACACAATATATCCAGAAGATATTTATTTATTTACTGAATCTGAACGAATGAAATGAATAGTGAAAATGAAATGATGATGATGAGGATGACAAGAATAAGTAACAACAATAATGATGATGACAAATGTTTATATTCACAGCCTAAAACTGTTACATAACAATGATCTGATGTCAATGTTTAACTAATGAAAAAAAAACAGATCAAGATCTCACACATACACACACAGATACACAATATTGATCTAAGCATTAAACAAAAAAAAAAGACATAGCTACACGCTTTAACACCGTAAAACATTGAAAGTAACATTGTTCATAAGTATAAAGAAGAAACAATGTAATTTCTAATCGTTATGCCTATAAACATTATTTAAACAATAAAATAAAATAAATATTCGTGAAATATTATGAAAATGGATGAATAAATAATTGAAAGCAAAAGCTGTGAAATATAGAACACTCCCCTAGCCCCCCCTCCTTCTTCATACAATCAATCAATTATTGAATGATAGAAATGGCGCTATCAAGAGTTTTGGCAATTTAGTTATACACGTAAACAAACAAACACACACACACATACAATAAACTGAACAAAATGAGATTGTCACAGTAACTATGTAATAACTATATCATAGTAACCATGAAGGATGGATGGGATGACAGACGGTTGAGTTGGATAGAAGAGAAAAAAAAACCCCTCCAAAATGCATGAATTCACATGATACTCATCTATGTAGAAGCATTTAAAATAAATAACTGTTCATATACCCCAGCAACAACAACAACAACAAAAAATAAAAGCAAAAAAATAGGATCATCTAATTAATAAAGAAATCATTGAATTTGTATTTTATCACATATCTGTAATCTATTACATAATACAATGTTTACAGTTTTAAAAAATGATGATAAGCAGATCGAAAATGTATCAGATCAAGTACACAATCATAGCAACAACAACAACCAACGATAATGATAATCGATAAATCCAGTTTCGTATGAGAAACAAAGAAGAAAACTGTACACATCTAAGCAAACCACCCCCCCTTTTCTGATGGATCAATGTAATATTATAGCAGAAAAATAAGATCATAAGAGTAAATCAGTAATGTAATAAACTATGTGTAAAACAGTATGAAATCAAATGAGTAAATGAATAATTGAATAATTAAGTAATAAACTAGCACACATTACAAAAATTAATTCAATCAAGGAACATCACAGGTACGTGTATGACAATTAAAAAAAAAAAGAAAAAAAGAAAAGAAAAATGACACACATACACATAGTTTATCATGAATTAAACACAATGAGAATAATTGTTTTATACTATTCTTCTTTTCGTTTTTTCTCTTAGTTGAATCATGGCAACAATAATGGTAACGACGACGACGACGACGACGACAGCGACGACGACGACAACAACAACAACAACAATAACCGCAACAAAATAATAATACTAAACAATTAAAAAAATTGATCACTTTTTAAAATTAGATTTAAATAAATTAAGAAAACGTGAATGAAATTTCATTTTTCTTGATTTTATAGGAATTCTTTCATTAGAATAAGGATGTGAATGAAAACTTGTAAATGAAAAAGATGATGATGTTGAGGATGATGATGATAATGAACGACTTGTTGCTGTTGTTGTTGTTATGGTGGTGGTGACGGCGGCGGCGGCGGGGGCAATGGTTCTTGTTGTTGTGGAACTCTGTGGTAATTGATGAATACTATTATCATTATTATTATTATTATATTCATGTAATAATGATTGTTTTTCATTACATATGATATCATTTTCATTATTCATTGTTGAAGAAACTGATATAGATGAAGATTTATTTGGATAATGTTCATAATCTTTTATCATAGACATTGATATATTATGTAATTTATGTTGACTTGTCTCTAATTCATTCCAATGTGATATCATTATATTTGGATTATTCTTAATATCTAATGGTTTAGATGAATTTGTTAATGTTGTTGTTAATAATGGTGTTGATGTTATTGTTCTACCAATAATTTCAATGGATTTATCACTAATATCATGACTGCATGGTTTAGATAATGATTGATATGTATCATCAATAGATGAAGTATGATGATGTTTATGGGAACGTTTTAAAATTGGACCACAACTAAAAGTGTTCCGTGGAAGACAAGATACTTTTTTGTGTTTTACCGTTTGTGATGAAATAGATTGCTAACAAACAAACAAATAAACAAACAAATATAAACAATAATGACAATTATGAAAAGTCAATAACTGATATTATGAGTCAATTGAAGCTAGATCAGCATGAAAAATCTGAAAGCACTGGAGAACCGTTTCGTCACATTGTGGGACTCCTCAGTAGTGCACATCCACGACCTTGCCTTGCTAGATCGCGAACCAGAACCTACCAGTCTCTCGCGTAACCGCTTAACCACTAAAACACCGGACTTTCTGGTATCCAATAGTGTTAATGTCTAACTTCAACTAATCCATCAAATTGAGTGATATATCCACCATTGTCTTCAGTGAGTTACTATCTCATAACTGACCCTTTGAACTCCACTGGTCAGTTTCTCTCTAGAACTCCATGAAATACCTCTTAAAGCCAGTCACTAGTGAGCATATTTTGGTTAATATCAGAAGGAGTTTTTGTGGATATTATAGTGATTTTAATAGTTCAAATGATATTAAAAACAATACATAAACGAAACATATCAACTTGCAATCTTCAAGTTAATTAAAATCCAAATTAAGTAAGAATTCATTTTATTGATTCAATCATCAGTCACCATTAGATCGTACTTAAAAGTGTCTTCAGATTATACATATTAATTATAAAAAAAAGCAGTTAACGTGATCTCGATTCCTAAAGATATGAAAGATACGATGCCGGCTCAATGGTCTAGAGGTTAAGCGTTCGCACGCGAAACTGAAGGTTGTGGATTTGAATCACGTCTGTGAGGTCGCGGATGAGGAGTCTCATACTAGGATGAAAGAGCGGTTCAGCGCTTCCAGGTTTTCAATAGTGGTCTAGCTTAAATTGAATCATGAATTCAACTATGAAACAATACACGGGAATCACTTGTAATTATAATGATCAGTAAATGATTGCTAACATTATGATAAGATTATATTCATATGTATGCATGTATTTAGGTATACAATGAAAGCTCCACTTTAATCGATTTAAGTCAGAAAATTTAGCAGGATCAATACATATGTAGATATTCTTAATGTCATTACTTATTGCTAAATGACTTTGAGACAAATTCTATTCCTAAGACTGACAACACATCAGTTCCGAATGTTGAATGAGTTTGTTCGAGTGTATAACACCTTTTAGCATTTCGATCAATGTCAAAAGTTAAATAGTCAGTTACTTAGTAACAACGTAGGATGTAGTACAGTTTTTTTTTAAATTCTCAATACGAATGCACAGAGATAATTGTCGTGTTCAGATTAAGTGAAGCGGAATCTAAAGCAAAGAGAAGCAGCAGGGTCTAATGGATCTACCCTTTGAGAACTTTAAAGTTAGTAGTCCGACTTGAGCTGTAAGACTGACTGAGATCTTAGCGAGTTTGGTAACTAGACACAATTCCATATGACTGGTTTTAGTCACAGAGGAATCAGTTTAATTAATATAGTGTCTAAAATATCAGACACTCCACCTGGAGTCCCTTCGGGGGCTACTGCCGGTTCCAAACCCGGACAAAGGAGGAGGGTTGGGCATGGGGTTAGCGACCCCATCTCGTAGAAAACTAACTCGCTAAAAAACGCTAAAATATCAGACTTAATAATACTTCGATGTAAAAATAAAGCACGTGAACGGCGAATTCGAGAAAACCAGATTTGTTTCAAACATGAACGTGGATGTTTAGACCAAATATGTTAGATAATAAATTCAAATTTTAGATAAGCCTGCTTAGAGAACAAACTGTTGGATCTAGAAATGAATGTCTTGTTTTGCACTACCAGAAAGATAATAATAAGCATGAATTAACGATCGAATTCAAAGCAATTGACTTGGATTCTAGTCAGAATTGAAGAAATTTTGCTAGTAGCTGTATTACTAATACTGCAAGGTTGAGAATTTTATACTACATTGGGCAAAGTGGACTCTCCCTTAATCTTTGCATGCATGAACATGAATTAGCGGTCAAACGCTATAACATGTCTTCACTTATATCAATACATGCGAACAACTTTGAACACACATTCGACTAAAAAAATGCTGAAACAGTGGATAGAGGGAATGTTAAAAACACCAGTGAATATTCAGAAGCTTGGGGCTCAGATCAATTAGCAATCAGCAAACACATTGAAATCGATCAAATCTATCAACAATTCGAACAATCATAGACAAATGTAGGACCAAAAATCAAATCGAAGGCAGATACAATCACAATAAAGAGATAAACAATGACAGATGATTAACAGTCAACAATAAGCAATCAAGATCGGGGTCTACAGGACAAGCTGTGAGTCATATGTGAAGAAGTTTGAACATTTCATTTCTGCCTGAAGTTTGTGCTGATGATATTGTTCAGAAGAACAACGAAAGCTCTATGACCAAACCATCCAACTCAGAGAATAAAACTCCATTTAAATCATCCAATTAGCCTACAAATCTCCACCATTTCAGAATTATATAGAGTTTGAAATGAGTTTTAATAGGCAGAATATTTAATTCAAAGTTTCAGAGTTTTTGAAGTGACTGTGAGATGAGTAATTATGTTATGTCCCGATAAGCATAATGAATGGTAACTTTTGAGATCCATTTCTGGACTAATACTACATATATTTTTATCGTATCGTTGTTAAATAACTAAACTATTCATATCCATGTCTCTCTTATTATGAGCTTTATTTTGACCTATAGACTACTATTATACGACTTACCATTCTTGAACTATGTCTGGTCTATCAATTACTACCTCTAACATTCACAGCCACATTTGGCAAAATCTTGTACAAATATTGTTTCCTATTTTATTGGTACGATATGGTCTGTCTGGTTGGTATATAAACCCAGTATGTTTGAAATAAATGATTCATAGCACAGAGGCTGAGATTGGTGTTCTGGACATAACTGGCTGGACTAGGCACGAAGCACGACGGATAAGTTCTCTAGACTGTTGCTCGTACGGGTTTTACGTGTCATTGGTTCGATCGATAATTCACTGCTGTCTAATTGGCGGTATCATTACGTTATACATTAACAGGGTACACAGGTCACAAGTTATAATAAATTAGAAGTGTTTACTGTTGTTAAGTTCAAGATGGAAAATGAAAAGAAACAACAACAACAACAACAACAGATTTTGATAAATATCACATAAAAATAAACAACAACTACTTACCATTATTCTCATTGGAATAAACATTCCATGCGTTATAAAATAATCAGGATCACTAATTCTTGATGTCATTGATGATATTTCAGATTTGGATTTAGATTTAGATTTTATTATTGATTTATTTCCTATTGTTTGAATAGATGATGAATAACTAGATCTAATCTAATATTAAAAGATTTATGGAAGAGAAATTAGTCTTAAAGTACAGAGATATCTTTTTTTTTTCTCGAAAAAACAAATCACTCAAAGATTAAACTATAACAATAAATCATTCTTTCATATCTATGAATTTGAACAATGAATAATAATAAGTTTATTTGAAGAAGTGTAAAACTCCTGGATGAATAAAACATGTGATGCTACCTTGACGTGGTGGTCTGGTTTGCCTATCGTGATGATCCATCCGAGCTATATTGGCTGGAATATATGTTCCTGTTGGTTCTACCATGCCAGGCAGGTCGATTGGAGAACGGTAAGATTAAAAGCAGCAACTCAAGGTCTGAAGGCGAAGTCGTACTACTGACTGTAGAGGAGTGTGACAGCAGTAAGGTGTTTCCCTCGGACAACCAGCATCTACAGCGATGCTGCCTTCTCACAAGGAAGGTCGACCCTAAGAATGCCACTCCTCACCTTACCTCACGGATTTCCGTCTCCTGCGGTAAGCCCCTTTGGAGAACGGAGCTAACACGTTAGAAACATCCCACAAAAACGTCGTGTGCCACCGGCCCTAAGCAGTTGTCGCTTGGGCTATGCGGTCACGCTCTCAGGTCGCTAAGATCAACATCAATCCAACTTCATTTTGAGGTTCTCCAAGAAATACCCTTGCACTGTGTGGGCATCCAGGAAGTTATATCAGCCCTCATACACGTAAGAGCACATGAGACTGCTCAATGATCAATCAGCGTAGATATGTCAGACTTATAGGAGGTCAGATGAGGTATGAATAGTTCAATTGTAGCATTTCAAAATGTTAAATTGGGTGATGTGGATTTGAGTTCGATAAGGAATATCAGTTTCCTTAAGGTTGGAATTATGCTTTGCACTTATAAAGAGGGTTTCTTGCTGACTATCCCCAGCCACCTGACACTAAAAATAGTGCACACGATACTGGGTAACATAAAGTAGTGGCCATATTATAACTCAATATATAACATCTGATCAGTACAAAGGATTAGATAATCACAATAAAATTGTTGGTATTGACTGATCGATCAATGTAAAACGTGTACTATTCAATATCTTCTAAATGCTTATCATTTATGTCAGTCAGTAATCCCTAAAACGTTTGATAAAGACCCAATCTACCAAGAAAGAAAGACTTTGTAACTAAGTGATTACCTATTAAATTACAGTCAACAAAACAGTGTTTCTGTTAGTAGATTATAACTACTTGTACTGTAAATCATTTAAAAGGTTTGCTTTTGGCGCATATAACATGACATTGAATGATATAGTGTTTTACTAAGGCTATTATTAAACAAATCGTGCATACCCGAAAAATGGCTATATCTTAAAATTTATTGTTAGCTAATTGATGTATGTGAAATCGTCTTATGCCTTTAGGCCTAAAATGAATGATTACAACAATAATCAACAATGTGTGGTAGATCTAGCTGTTATAGATAGTTGTTTTAGGTTGAAACAAATATCTGTGAACAGTATCAATCAAATGCCCTGGTACGGTTAATGGTGAGGAAAATCCGCTCTCCTTCTCAAAATGTTCTCGTATGGCTATGTATATATTAGCTACAGACCAGGAAGTTCTACTCACTGCCTTCTTGTAGCGAGGGTTTTGTTTACGAAATTGAGAGAATTTTAGCATTTGAGCTGATATCAGTTCGTGATGAAAACCATAAATCTAATTCCTAACTGTAACCATCAACTGTAAACCATAATCGTGACCAGTGGAGTTAATTCGTGTCGGGTAGAAACGAGTGTCTACCTCGGTACAATGGAAGATGGTCGCGCAATTTCGTGGATTGGTTGAGGTTAGACATTAACACCATTGGATGCTGGCTCAGTGTTCCAGTAGGCTAAGCGTTCACACGCGAGACCGAACGCCCTGTGTTCGAATCTCGCGAGTGGGATCGTGGATGCGCACTGCTGAAGAGTACCACAATAGAACGAAACGGCCGTCCAGTGCTTTCAGGTTTCCAAAGGTGGTGGTCTAACATCAATCGATTCATGATCTCAATCAAAAACTTAAAAATCTCCACAACTCCTAAACTTATACGCCTTATTCTTCAAACTGCTTTATAACCCTCATTTAACTCTAGTAAGAAGGTGTACATTCTGAAGATCATTACGGCGTCGATCAAATATTATCCATCAATTATAGTCTCATCAAAACCATTAACACATAACTAACAAGTAATAAACTATTCACATGATATAACTGATTGATCATCATCTAAATATCATTGATCGATTATCTTTAACCAAAAATTAGAATGAAATAATGAATTGATAGAAGTACTTTATCCAGTAACTATTCATTGAAAACAAACAAACTGTTTACAAACAAATATGTCAATAACTTATCACATGAAACGTAATCATCTTTTACAAATATAAACACATGATGTATTTGATTAGTGTAAAATGTAATCATAACAACATAAGTAATGATTAGTTACTATGTGTTTTCCTTTTTTTGGAAAGTGTAACTTTCACAAATGATTATAATTATTGAAAACAACTTACCAATTGTTCATCAGAAGAAGGAATGAAATTTAAACGTCGACCACTAGTTGTATTCTTTTCTTGTAAATTATTTAAAGTTGGTTGAAGTGATTTATGACGTATTCCATCATAATGTTCTAACAAGAGAGATGTATTACAAAGAAAAAGAAAATTAGATTAAAACTTTAGTAATGAATTGAAATAGATTAGGATTGAATGTAGTTCAATCACGTACACATTGCCATAGTGACATTGAGTTATGTTGGTGTACAAAGTAACATCTTAATCAAAACTTAACAGTTTTAAAGATTATAATTAAGAACACCTGAAAAAATCTCGATGAATTGACGACTAATTAACACCGTTGAATGCCAGTCAGCTCAGTGGTCTAGTGGTTAAGCGCTCACGCGAGAGACCAATAGGTCCTGGGTTCGAATCCCACGTGCCAGGGTTGTAGATGCGCACTACTGAGAAGTCCCACAATAGGACGAAACGGTCGTCCAGTGCTTCCGGGTTATCCATGGTAGTCTAGCTTCAATTGACTCATGATCTCAACTATTAAAATTACTACAATCTCCACAAAACCCCTTCTGATACTAATGAAACAAAAAAAAAATTTAACATATTAGTTCATTCGTCATCATTGATATTACGGAAGTACTACTGTTGGATGTGGATAAATATTTGAATTCTAAAATGTTTAGACGCACATCAATTACAGATGCAATGGTAAAAATTAAAGCTGGTTGCGTTTAATGAAATATTGTGCACATTTCTAATATGGTGTATACTACTTTTGTTGATAGATATAAGTAGTATGTAACACCAATCAGAAGTGAAATGCCTAGGCATCAGAAGATTGAAAAGATCGAGTTGAAGTGAACAAGAATATAAACACAGAGTAATGGTAATAAAAACAGGAATGAGGGAACGATAAAGTTTTTAAGAGACAAATGATAAAAGATGTGCAGATGAATTATTTAATGTTCGGTTATACAAAAGAACTCGATAATTTTACATCAATCAATCAATTGGTTATCTAAAACAAGTTATCGTTCACTACACCAGCAATTTCTAGCAGTTTCTTGTTCTCAATCCGCCTTCAAACACGATATAATACGAATAACCCTTAGACAAATGTGTTATATCCGGACAAAGAATAAATGAATGGTAACCGTTCGGAATTATTTATGGACAAATCTTATACGTATATTCTTATTGTATGACTGTGAAGTGACTCCGTTATATGTATATTCAGATTCCTTTTATTATAAGCTTCCATTTGACCTATTGACTACTACTATACGATTTACTATTCATAAGTTATTCCCAATTTATTAGTTTCAGTCTCCCACACTCACAACCCCTTTTTGGCTTGATCGTGCACAAATGTTATTTTATATTTTATGGTACAATGTGGTCTGTTTGGTTCGTATATAAACCGAGTACATATCACAGAGGCTGAGATTGAGGTTTTGGATTTAACAGGCAGGGCTCAACGCAAAAGGACTAATCGGAACTCTAGGCTGCTCGTTCTGGTGTATGCGTCATTAGTTTGGTCGTATAGTTTGGCAGTCGTATTTCATGATGATCGTATAAGCTAAGGACAAAACAAAGTAAGTAATAATTGTGATATGGACAACATAATAACATAGGAACAATTATTCATTGTCATATGTACCGTATATATTAAAAAGACCAAATTTAACATTTACAAAGTTGAATATACACTGGATTATAGTCCTTAAATGATATCTCCAAACCCTAATCTTCCCGATTACTGCTTATACTCTTACTACCTCTACCACTATGGGAGTTGAGTCGACAACTGCATATCTGTTCTAATGTGGTATGGCGACTCGAACTGATGTATGTACGTACAAAGTTCTACGTTGTTACTGACTGACTGATATACACTGTTATACTTTAGTATACAAAATAGTGCCCCCGAATGCCTTGGTACGGCCGAAGGTGGGAAGAATCCATCCCGCCTCTTGAAATGCTCTCACATGGCCACATGCATACAACCACTGACAATGAAGTTCTACTCACTGCCATCTCACAACGGGGATATTGCTGTTTACGAATTGAAAGGACGAAAAGCGAATGTCCGGCGCTTTAACCGGGTTGATGGATATGGATAGTCCAATTAGGGGAGTTGGAAAATCCTAGTTTCAAACCAATGGTGCACATGGGCGCAAGGATCCTGAGGGAACAAATGGTGTATGAAAATATTATTGGACATCAGATACCATGAGACTGCATTTTCTGACGTTACTCTGCTGCCTTGTGGATCAGACCTTTAGGTCAAAGGATCCGGGTGTGATCCCCTAAGAAAATCACCTGCTTCAGTTTGGGCACTTGGGCAGTATACCAGCCCTCACACAAAACTATGATAGTCTTATTTTCTCATTAATTAACATAAATTCAAAATGTATTATATGAAGCTATAAACAATCGGAAAGTAAAAAAACTGTCAGGAAAACAAGAATGTATGCATTGCAAGTACAATTCGGCTGATTTCTAGTACATACGTATAATGCAATGGAATAGTAGATAAGATATTCGTCTTCTGAACTTTCAATGAAAATTAATTCGCAGATTTATTGCTTGTCATTGTTGCTATGTTTTGGACTCATGGATGGTTGTTGAAATTTTAGAAGTAACATTTGTTGATTCAAAAAGTTTAAGAGTGACATGTCATCTTATTATCAACTTCATTATCACTCTATGAGTCTGTAGGGGCTGGTACTATGTCAAGCCCATATGTATTGGTCTTTTACCCTCTGGATAGGCCAATCTATTCATTATTCTCAAGTCACATTTTCACCATGTTACTTATTAGCTTGTAGTGACCTACTTTTATCAAGAGAACGCGATTGGTTTAATGGAAACAATCATTATTATAACCAATTGTACCATTGATTGTTTTACTGTACTTGTTTGCTTGACTGTACCAAAACACATGCATTCTTCCGTTGATTGTGACCTTGCACGGATTCGGTTACGCTCAGTAACCACACTTGCACTCCTTCAGCACGATCTCGGTATTCTTTCGATACCACGAGATCGCCAACAAATACATTTCGATTACAGCCATCGACTGCCTCCTGATATTTTGGCTTACGGGGGATCTTATCGGTTAACTGGCACGTAGTTTTCCTGTAGTGGTGATCATAGTCAACAACGACTCGACGCCGCACTACAAGCTAACCAACTTTGACTGTTTTTATATGTGAGTGTATGTGCGTTAATTAATTACCCCATTCATCACATTTCTGTAACTTATTTTTCTTGGACTGTAATTATCGATTAATGCTTGATTAAATGGAATTGGTTCACTCGCTTTCTGCACTAAGCGTCATTTCATTTTGCTTAGCTCTTTCCTTTTCACTTTGTTTCTCTGATTGCCTGTTCAGATCAACAATTGTACGAAATATACGTATTCGAAATTCATTCTCATATTTGATTTATTTAATTCTATGATTCAACAACGGCTATTTAAGTCAGTGATTACATATAACGGTAGCCGGGATATATATTTCAGTAACAATCAGAAACGATCAAACTGGAATCAGACAAAAGACCACTAAAAATCTATTAGAGCTACAAAAGTTCCAGATCAATGGACTAAATAGGTAATATTACATTAAAAAGAATGTTAATTATAAATAAGGGATCAATAAAATATTAAATAACATATTAATCAGTACCTGAACGGAATGAAGTTTTGTCCGTTCCTAAGCTTAAATCTTCTTCAATTGATGACAATCCTTGACTGCTTTTATTTAACAAGCCTGTTAACCGATTTAATTGACTGTTTGCATTTGTCAATCTCTGTCTTAAACACCAATTAGTATCAGACTGAAGGTCTAGCTAAATACGAATAAGCATACAAATGAATAGAAAAAACAAACAAGATGTTATATGAAGTTTAATAAACAATGAAAACTAGGTATCATAGCATTTATAATTTATGCGTTAGTCGTAATCAGTCATCTGAAACATAGGACCAGACACATAAATGAATCAGTCCAAATTGACATACCTGATTAGTACAAGACGAATGCTAAATTCATAGAAACAGTTACTTCAATGGAAGTGTTAGTTCGTAGAAAGAAAGGTATAAAGTAGTTTTAATCTCACAGACAAAGAGTGTTTACACCGACGTCATTGTGATCGATCTTGAGCCATATCACCCAAAGTATCTAACCATTGGCTATTATAGTTGGGTGCACGTCAACCAGGTAGTTTGCATCTTCCAACATGGCATAGACCAGAAGTTATTGACTTTATGAACTGATGCTACGTTTTGGTTTGGCCGACACTAACTTTTTTTCAATCCGTTGTAGATAGATATAGAAGTAGTCATTTAGGAGCATGTTTATTTTTCATTTACAAGTAAAACAGTTTCTAGTTTTTGAAAATTAACTATTGTTTAGTTGTATGAAATATTCTCTTAAGTATATTGACGGCTTAGTTATCTTTAAATGTTATAATATGTGTAGCAAGTCATAGAAACTTCATCATTTGAGATGGCTGGGACACGTGTTACGTATGTCCAACGACCGACTGCCTCGACGTGTGGTGTTTTACGGTGTAGGAGTAGGTTGGGAGAATGTTAGGAGCGGCCAGACCAAACATGGCACAAGTCTATGAAGTCACTGACAAGTCCTATCATAGGACTCCTCAGGAGGGTGCATCCACGAACCCAGGGACCTTCGTCTCGCGCGTGAACACTCAAACCTCTAGACTAATGAACCGGCATCCAGTGGTGTTAATGTCTAACTTCAACCAATCCACGGAAATTCATTTTACTTACTTCAGATGTAACAATATGATATTGATCTAAAAGATATTTGGCTAAACTGCGTAATTCATGCAAATTTCTCAAATGATCCACAGAACTAATTAATTCATTTATTGATGCTTTTTCAGAACGTCTTGGATAAGTTAAATTTCCTGTAAAACTTAAATTAGATGAATCAGATATTTCAGAGATCTGTTTAGATTGTGAAAACGATGTAGTAGTTGTAGTGGTATTAGTAGGTGTAATAGATGAAAGAGTTTGAATAAAACAATTAACTCCTGAAGTTGTCGTTGTAGTGATACTTGTAACAGTTGTACTATATACTGGATGTTCTTCTAATAATGATGATGTTAAACATGGAGAAAATGAAAGAGATGATTGAAAGCTTTTTTGAACACTTTTTTCTTGAGTTTGTTGTTGTATACTATTGTTTATTGGGATAGTTGTTAATAGTTCCGTCAAGATATTGATTAACTCTTCTTGTCTGCGTTCAGATAATAATGGTTTTTTCGATTCAAGAAAATGTTGATTCATTTGATTTAATGCATTCAATGCATTTTGAACTAACGTATACAAATGTTGTTCATACCACTAAAAAAAAGAAGTATAGAATCTTAGTTATTTGTGTATTATATATGAATCTATTACTTAGTAGAGCGGATTACCTAGTGGGACGGATGACTCACGAACTAACGTGAGCGGTAACCTAGGTGGTAGAGATCTGGCTGATCACCTACTTGACCGATACCCTCAAACCGATTACGAACTCCACAAAGAAACACAGCACAATTACTCTTGGATGGAAAAAAGATTAAAAAAATTGACAAAAGTGGTGCATGTAATGTACGGGGTTGCTCCTTACGGGGCAACTCCAACTGGTTGCAAAAACAACTATTCTAGCACCAGTAGTTGTGCTGTGCTATGATGTGGCCTGTTTCCCTCCAGAAGGGCCTACTAAGCTTCACCAACTTATTTGGCTGGAAGGGGGGGCACTTAGTAACTGTGAGAAAGAAACGTGATAAAACAACTGATTGATAATCGTAAAATGATCCAAGTGAGTTGGCAAAATAGTTATTCTTTTTTCTTGAACCTAAGCTTCAAATTTCAGTTGAGTTCTGTCACAACAATGAAGTACTGATCAGAGTTTGTTTAAAATCTATAAAAAGTTGAAAAATGTTTGTATTCCACATCACCGATATTTATCTATTGTCAATTACATTCAGTTATCATGAAGAATATCTTTCCAATCATAGGTGGTAAATGTTAATAAACTTTGGTTGTTTACCAATATTCGAATACATGTGGAGGAAGTTAATCTGGTAAACCCCCCTGATTTAGTGTACGTTTAGATAATGCATATGAAATTTCTATTTAACGAATATTCAGTGTCATTCGCCTTCAACTAACGATTGGGTGTACGATCAATAAATGCTTGATCTTTCTGGGGGAAAAAAAAGAAGCACGTTAAATTTATATAATTCATTCTCATTTATAAAGCATTGAGAGAATTGAAAAAGTAAACAACATCGAATTTGTTCCATAGTTTATGAATAAGGTGGGGATATTTAGCTGCTTAGGTCTTATGAGTAACATTCAGCTAGGAACTAATCATGGAGTTGATTTACAGTAAAGCAATAAATTGAGATGTCTTCTGACTTTAAATGACTTATTTTTATTCCACTTATTCCCTTTGAAATAACGACAGTCAGTGGAACTATAGTATCATTATTTTGAACCCAATGCATGCACAAATGTTTTCTAGGTTGGCGGTTCGTATCTGCTTCGTCAATCTCTAGTGCTTAAATCAAGTTGGTGAGTATGAAGCATCCATCTGAGGAAGTTAGAGAACTGATTCCGAAACAATGGTGAACATAAACTCTAGAATCCTGAGAGATCGAATGGATTAGGAACCTATTGTTGGTAACCAGATATTGTAGGATTGTATCTCCTAACATTGCCCTATTGCCTTGTGGACCATAGGCTCAGATGTGGTCCCCTGCTTTGGCTTGAGTACCAAGATGGTATTACGGCTCACAAACAAATCCAATGATTTGTTTGGTGCCCTTTTGTAACAATATTTATGTATTTACATAAATAGATAGACAGACAGAAATCCTATCGAAAATCAAATCAACAGTCAGATTTTCATTGTTCCGATGCTGTTTATCGGTTATAAGTTAAATGATAACCGTCAGCCACAAAAAAGTGATACCAAGCACATATGAGTAACAGTAGAAGCTGCCACATCACGTTAAGATGACAACAGGTAGTTAAGAGAAAAGAATCCCATGTAGTTTTCAAATACTCATCTAATGATCATAGATCCTTTTTTTAGGTATAGAGATGGCGACTTTCTTTGTAGAACGCTTGCATAGGTAAACACATTCAGCACAAATTAGCCTCCTGTAGTTATTCTCATGAAAGTGATCATTAATAATGAGAAGATGATAGGGGATTCAACATTGTTTACTACTATAACCCCCAAATGTCCTGGTACGGCCGAGAGTGGGGAGAGTCCACTCTCCCTCTCGAAATGCTCTCACATGGCCACGCGTATATAGCCTCTGCCAGGGAAGTCCTATTCATTGCCTTCTCGTGGCGGGGGTGTTGTTTACGAAAATGAGAGGACGAAAAGCGAATGTCTGGCGCTTTAACCGGATTCAAACCAAACCAATGGTGCACATGGGCTCCAGTATCCTGCTGGAACAAATGGCGTATGAACCAATTGTTGGTCACCGGCTACCATGAGACTGCATCTCCTTATGATGCTCCACTGCCTTATGGATCAGACCTTCAGGTCGAAGGCTCCGGGTGTGGTCCCCCAAGGAAACCATCTACTTCAGTTTGGGCACTCAGGCAGTATCACAGCCCTCACACATATCGAATGAGATTTGTGTGGCGCATATGTATTTGGTGCCTACTTGTACCAATATGTATGTGTTAAAATAAATCAATAAATAATTATAAATAATTATTAGAAAATTAATAACAAAATATCACTTACATCCATATCTTCATGATAAGATATTTGATCATTAGATTGATCTGTCATTTCTATTGTTTCAACATTTACAACTAATTGATTCTTAGAAGTGGATGATATTCTATCGATTTGTTGTTCAATGGATTCTTTTGATTTGAACATATCGATATTAATACGATGAATTGGTATACTATTTATATCGATTGGATCTATATTTTCCCAATATAAAAATTTATTAAGTTTCTTTATGAGAACTTGATTGTTCAATATAGATGAAGATAGATTATATTTATTATGATTTATTGATTCTTCGTCAGATTTATTATTTGTTGAGATGATGTATAATAGTTCCGTATCACGTAAATGTAATAAACGTAGAACAAATTCTAGTGAATATTGGTCAGTATTGTTAATAGAAGTTTTATAATTGTTTGAAATAATAGTCTGAGATTGTTCTTTATCATGAATTCTATTAACATTAGAAGAATCATGTGATTGTTTTTCGTCACTTATAAAATCTACATCAGGTGAAATAGGTACTTTAGTTGAAAATGATATCACTTCATCTGTAGAATCAATAACAGAAGTATCTTTCAATTCATTAGTAGAATAATCTCTTCTTATATCCAGTAAGCTTTGTTCTGTGTCATTCACATTGAAATCTTCTTCAACTATTCTACTAACATCAAAAGAACTATGTGATTGTTTCTCATCACTTATCAAATGTACATCAGGTGGAATAGATACTTTATTTAATAGTGATATCACTTCATCTGTAGAATCGATAACAGGAATATCTTTGAATTCATTACAATAATCTGTTCTTATATCCAATAAACTTTGTTCTGTGACATTGACATTGAAATCTTCTTCAACTATTCTACGGACATCAGAAGAACCGTGTAATTGATTCTCGTCACTTATCAAATGTACATCAGGTGGAATAGGTACTCTGTTAAAAGTGACATCACTTCATCTGTAGAATCAATAACAGAAGTATCTTTCAATTCATTAGTAGAATAATCTCTTCTTAAATCCAGTGCACTTGTTTCTGTCACATTGACATTGAAACCTTCTTCAACTATTCCACTCATATCAAAAGAACTATGTGATTGTTTCTCATCACTTAACAAATGTACATAAGGTGGATTAGGTACTTTGTTTAACAGTGATATCACTTCATCTGTAGAATCAATAACAAGAGAATCTTTCAATTCATTAGAATAATCTTTTCTTACATCCAGTAAAGTTTGTTCTTCAAATATTCTACTAACATCAGAAGAACCATGTGATTGTTTCTGATCAATTTTAATCGGTACTTTAGTTAAAAGTGATATCACTTCATCTGTAGAATCAATAACAGGAGAATCTTTCAATTCATTAGTAGAATAATCTCTTCTTATATCCAGTACACTTGTTTCTGTCACATTGATATTGACATTTTCGTCAACTATTCTACTCACATCAAAAGAACTAGGTGATTGTTTCTCGTCACTTATCAAATGTACATCAGGTGGAATAGGTACTTCAGTTAAAAGTGATATCACTTCATCTGTAGAATCAATAATAGGAGTATCTTTCTGATGTTTATTATCAATACATTCAATAGTTTTACTTTTCTCGTTCAAAAATATTTCTTTATCAAGTATATATTGATGTGATACGTAAATATCTTCTTTTAATTCATTTTCTACATTAGTATTATCTTTATCTTCATCATTTTCATCATCATCTAATGTTTTGATTTGTTTAATATTCTTTTGTTCTATTTGTTGTATCATCTGTTTTCTAATAGAATTTAATTGATTTGTATATAGTTTAATTTTTTCCATGATATTTTCAATATCTATATTGATAGAAAGATTCTCTATATCATTATCATTACTTACGTTGATTGATTCAGTTGACATGGTAACTAAATTATTAGTTACTATGTTATCTATGATAATTGTTTGATTATTAAATAATGATTGTAATTGAATCATTTCAATATGAAGTTTATTACATTCATTAGTTAATTGATTTAATTTATCATTCAATAAATTATATTGATTTTCTATAATACTTATTCTATTGATATAAGTTTGGAAATCTTTAATCAATATATTAAATATTGGCATAATTTCATTTGGATTTAATATATTTATAGAATAATTATCATGATGATTTAATTCATCATTCAAATGAATACAAGTCATTGAAAGGATATCTCTTGGTGTTGGTGTTGTTGTAGTTATGGTTGCTATATCATGATCAGTATTGATTTTATTTCGTAAAATCAATAAATTATTCAAGATTATATTCATATTGATTTTCCATTGATTATTGATTTTTTTCAAATCAATCAATTGTTGTTGAATATATTTTGAATTATTTAGATTCATTTCAATCTTTTCAATTTTTGTTATGATTTTATTTATTTTATTCAGTAAACAATGACCAGTATGTAATATAGAATTATTGAATTCGTATAATTGTTCTTGTTGTTGTTGTTGTGGTGGTGGTGGTGATGATGATGATGGTGGAACAAATACATTGGATTCATTTTCTATAGAACTAGATCTTGATATTAAATCACTATTAGAATGAATAATATTTTCTACTTTCTTCCAATAACAATATTGATTTGTAGTTTGTTTTAATTCATTTATTTTATTTAAATATAAACCTTCAATTAATAATTGATAAATTATATTATAATTATTTTTATAATCAATAATTTCTTTGATTAATTCTTTTCTATTATTTAATAAATAATCAATAAATTTAAAGTATTGATTACATTCAATTGATTCTTTATTGGATATTGATTTATTATTATTATTATTATTGATTAATGATTGGAATATGATTGATTCTTTTGTAATTTCATTCAATATTTTATGATATAATTGATTATTGATTATTATTAATTGATTATTTTGTTTAGTTAAATATAAATTTTCAAAATAAATTTTTTCAATTTCTAATTGTGTATCATTATTGAATTTCTTTTGTATTTCTTTTTCTTTTTCTTCTTTCTCTTCTTCTTTGACTTCTTCTTGTTCATGATGTCTATTTATTCTTATATTATATAATAGATGAGATAATCGATTTATTTCTGATTTAGCAATAAGAAGTTGATGTTCAAGATCAATTTGTTGAGTTTTATTAGATATTGATTGTTGTGATATAAATTGTGGATAAATTGTATCAGAATGATGATCAGATAACAAATCACCAGAAGCGTTCACATCATGATCATGATCATTATCATTGGTACCAATCATTGGATTAATGTGAGGATATTGTGCTTTTAACATGTAATTGTAAACATCAGGATGTTGGATAGAAGAAATACAACGAACACATAAATTACATATAAAACAACGATGACAAACGTCTTGGATTTTACATAAACTACAGGAAGATAGACAACCGGATAACAGTAATTCATGTAGATTACTGAAATATGTCAAATTATTAGAATAATCACCAAAAATATCAACAAAATTAGAAGATTTTGAAAAAGAAACAACATCTGACAAAAGATCTATAAAATCAGCACACAAAATACGATCAAAATTGGTATTTGAAAATCTAGATAAATCCAAAAGTAAATTCACAAAAACTGAAAGCAACCTCATACATAAATCAACAAAATCCGTAGCAAATGCTAAAGACATTGAAATTCTTGAAAATTTCTGCTTAAGATCAGAAAGCTCATCATGTAAAAATATACAATGCGCACCGTCGACATCAGAAATATTACAAAAACCAGGATAATCTGACAAAATAATACGACCAGAGCATAAATCAGACACCTCTTTCATCCTCTCCAACACATCCATATTTGCACGCATTATGTCCAAATCACGTCGTTCTGCCTCTACAGTCTCCCTCAACTCATTCACTTCGTCTCGTAAATGACGCTTCTCCTCTCTCAGATCCGCCACTTCACTCTCCTTCACAGTCAACAAACGCCGGACATCCATCAATGAAGCATCACTCTCCTCCACCGATCTAGACAGCTTCACTATCTGTTCATAACAAGACGTCAACTCTTCGCGCAGTTGACCAACCACATTCGACTCATCTTCACACAAACTTGAACTCACTAGCTTCTCTCTCGTCATCTCCACTGGACTCCTGGTCGACTGATCTACGGTCGACTGATCGGTAAATCCTGAAGTTGACAATGTGTCAGTAGCCAACCAAGACACGCTGTCTGTCGCTTGAGTCTCCACACTCACAAGTCTAGTCGGAGAACCAACCGACACACTAGGCTTGTGCTCGTCGTGTATGCATTCTGAGGAGTAGTCGCTCCAACCGTCAACAACCATGCAATTCGACTCGTCGTCCTCTGCATCTTTACCAACGCCCACGCTCACAGTCTCTCTCGTATCACTAGTGAACCCTGATGACAAAGCTATATCACGTTCAATCATACGATCTAGCACGTCAGTTCCCATGTCACTTCTGCACACTGTTTTTGCCAACCTGGCGTCCACATCGTCTGCCATATCCAACCTACTACGCAGTTCCAACAACTCTTTCATGGCTGTGTCGCGTTCTCTCACAATTTCGTTTACGCGCGACTCCCAGTCTCGACTGGCTATCGCCAACACTGTGTTGCAATGCTCTTCCATCGATGTCTCAAGCCGACACACTTGATCCCGTAGTGCAGAACACTCGTCACGAGAAGCAGACAGTTGACTCTCCAGATCTGACATTGCGCAAACCTTCTCATGTCTATAGGCCTCCAGTTCCTCTCGGGCAGTTGACGCCTGTTCGACTGCCTGACGAAGAGCTGTTTGCATCAACACCATCTCAGATGCCTGCTTATCACACAGGTCTCGACACTTGCAGAGCTCCTCAGACAGCTCACGGTTCCGGTCGCACAGTCTGCTCATCTCACTTACCGAATCCCAATCTTGTCCTCTCTGCATCGACGTCACTTCATGAGACTCTTGTAGTCGCACAAAGCTATCAAGCATAACAGTAGACTCCAAGTGTTCTGGCCATGTCATTGTCTCACACTCACGGTCCACGTGTTCAACCACACCATGGGACAACCCTGTTGTGACGGCATCTAAACACTCCTGCACTCGTTGTTCGTGCTCTCTGCACCAATCTCCATAGTCGGAACGCAGACCTCTTATATGGTCAACCACAAACGCCAACAGTGCTTTCGTCTTGGTCACATCATTCTCCAAGTCAGTAATCACAGTCATATAACTCTCTAGACGACGCTTCAGCGACTCACACTCACAGATCAGGGCATTGTTCATTGACTCACATTCTTTCAGTTTCTCAGTGACTGCCTCCAGCTCGAACGATTGTGTATCCAGTGCACGCTGCAAATCCTCTCGCAACCCGTCTGATGTGCAACGGTCAGTCGACGAGCCTTCGTGTGCATAGTCGATGTCTTGCACTGGTGACGTGGATCGACCAACTGTTTCGCACAGGCGATGTGAAACCCGTTCGTACTCACTCATTCTGTTCGCCATTTCGGCGCGGTCAGCATTCGCCTCAGCATGTGCTGCACGCAATTCTCTCACCTGCTTCAACAAGAAACCCAGTGATCCTCTGACCTCATCCATCTCCATGCACACATCGTCCAACAGTGTCACGCGCTCTGAAATCTTACTTCGTAACAAGTCTACCTCTGTCATCAGCTCTTTGTTGTGCTTCGACAGTGCATCAGCTTCGTCCGTCACTTTCATCGACCGGTCAGGCACACGAGAACTAAGAGGCATCACATCCATTGGCTTATCTTCACACATCATAACGCCTTCCAGCTCACGCAGACGCACACTCAACTCTGTCTTGGCATTCTCAAGTTCGCAGATTCTGCTCATGGCCTCCTTCAATCGCGCTCTTAGGCTGTCTGTATTTAACAGGGCAAGTTCGGGATCTTCATTGTCTTGTTCACTCGGCGGTTTCGTCCAACTCTGAGTGGCGTGAATGGGCAAGACCACTTCCTCGTTCGAAACGCCCTCAACACACAAGTCCGTAGTTTGTCTGTCCATTCGATCAGGCACAATGCCTGACACTGAGTCGCTTGCAACAGTCTCCACCAGCTGCATGTCAGGAACTCCGGCAAACACGTCTGCCTCCACTCTGTCTGTGTCATCAACCTCTGCCAACTCACGGACAACCACATCGGGCGCCTTTCTCACAGTCTCACAAGGAATCCACCAAGTTGTCTCGTTCACCATCATACGTGACTCCGGTTCCTGCACTTCGGTCTGTTTCATGCTCAACTCGAGCTGTGAACGCTCCAGAGCCGCCAACGTCGCCGCATTTTCCTCACGCAGATGGGCAACCTCGAGCTGCAACGTCGACACCAGGTCAAAAACTTCGTCGTCAATCTCCGTCTGCACACACTCCTCCTCCACAGCAGCAGCAGCAGCAGCAGCAGCAGCAGCAACGTTCGGTCCACGACACTCCACGCACATCGCCGACACCTCTTCCTTGCTCTCCAACACATCCATATTTGCACGCATTATGTCCAAATCACGTCGTTCTGCCTCTACAGTCTCCCTCAACTCATTCACTTCGTCTCGTAAATGACGCTTCTCCTCTCTCAGATCCGCCACTTCACTCTCCTTCACAGTCAACAAACGCCGGACATCCATCAATGAAGCATCACTCTCCTCCACCGATCTAGACAGCTTCACTATCTGTTCATAACAAGACGTCAACTCTTCGCGCAGTTGACCAACCACATTCGACTCATCTTCACACAAACTTGAACTCACTAGCTTCTCTCTCGTCATCTCCACTGGACTCCTGGTCGACTGATCTACGGTCGACTGATCGGTAAATCCTGAAGTTGACAATGTGTCAGTAGCCAACCAAGACACGCTGTCTGTCGCTTGAGTCTCCACACTCACAAGTCTAGTCGGAGAACCAACCGACACACTAGGCTTGTGCTCGTCGTGTATGCATTCTGAGGAGTAGTCGCTCCAACCGTCAACAACCATGCAATTCGACTCGTCGTCCTCTGCATCTTTACCAACGCCCACGCTCACAGTCTCTCTCGTATCACTAGTGAACCCTGATGACAAAGCTATATCACGTTCAATCATACGATCTAGCACGTCAGTTCCCATGTCACTTCTGCACACTGTTTTTGCCAACCTGGCGTCCACATCGTCTGCCATATCCAACCTACTACGCAGTTCCAACAACTCTTTCATGGCTGTGTCGCGTTCTCTCACAATTTCGTTTACGCGCGACTCCCAGTCTCGACTGGCTATCGCCAACACTGTGTTGCAATGCTCTTCCATCGATGTCTCAAGCCGACACACTTGATCCCGTAGTGCAGAACACTCGTCACGAGAAGCAGACAGTTGACTCTCCAGATCTGACATTGCGCAAACCTTCTCATGTCTATAGGCCTCCAGTTCCTCTCGGGCAGTTGACGCCTGTTCGACTGCCTGACGAAGAGCTGTTTGCATCAACACCATCTCAGATGCCTGCTTATCACACAGGTCTCGACACTTGCAGAGCTCCTCAGACAGCTCACGGTTCCGGTCGCACAGTCTGCTCATCTCACTTACCGAATCCCAATCTTGTCCTCTCTGCATCGACGTCACTTCATGAGACTCTTGTAGTCGCACAAAGCTATCAAGCATAACAGTAGACTCCAAGTGTTCTGGCCATGTCATTGTCTCACACTCACGGTCCACGTGTTCAACCACACCATGGGACAACCCTGTTGTGACGGCATCTAAACACTCCTGCACTCGTTGTTCGTGCTCTCTGCACCAATCTCCATAGTCGGAACGCAGACCTCTTATATGGTCAACCACAAACGCCAACAGTGCTTTCGTCTTGGTCACATCATTCTCCAAGTCAGTAATCACAGTCATATAACTCTCTAGACGACGCTTCAGCGACTCACACTCACAGATCAGGGCATTGTTCATTGACTCACATTCTTTCAGTTTCTCAGTGACTGCCTCCAGCTCGAACGATTGTGTATCCAGTGCACGCTGCAAATCCTCTCGCAACCCGTCTGATGTGCAACGGTCAGTCGACGAGCCTTCGTGTGCATAGTCGATGTCTTGCACTGGTGACGTGGATCGACCAACTGTTTCGCACAGGCGATGTGAAACCCGTTCGTACTCACTCATTCTGTTCGCCATTTCGGCGCGGTCAGCATTCGCCTCAGCATGTGCTGCACGCAATTCTCTCACCTGCTTCAACAAGAAACCCAGTGATCCTCTGACCTCATCCATCTCCATGCACACATCGTCCAACAGTGTCACGCGCTCTGAAATCTTACTTCGTAACAAGTCTACCTCTGTCATCAGCTCTTTGTTGTGCTTCGACAGTGCATCAGCTTCGTCCGTCACTTTCATCGACCGGTCAGGCACACGAGAACTAAGAGGCATCACATCCATTGGCTTATCTTCACACATCATAACGCCTTCCAGCTCACGCAGACGCACACTCAACTCTGTCTTGGCATTCTCAAGTTCGCAGATTCTGCTCATGGCCTCCTTCAATCGCGCTCTTAGGCTGTCTGTATTTAACAGGGCAAGTTCGGGATCTTCATTGTCTTGTTCACTCGGCGGTTTCGTCCAACTCTGAGTGGCGTGAATGGGCAAGACCACTTCCTCGTTCGAAACGCCCTCAACACACAAGTCCGTAGTTTGTCTGTCCATTCGATCAGGCACAATGCCTGACACTGAGTCGCTTGCAACAGTCTCCACCAGCTGCATGTCAGGAACTCCGGCAAACACGTCTGCCTCCACTCTGTCTGTGTCATCAACCTCTGCCAACTCACGGACAACCACATCGGGCGCCTTTCTCACAGTCTCACAAGGAATCCACCAAGTTGTCTCGTTCACCATCATACGTGACTCCGGTTCCTGCACTTCGGTCTGTTTCATGCTCAACTCGAGCTGTGAACGCTCCAGAGCCGCCAACGTCGCCGCATTTTCCTCACGCAGATGGGCAACCTCGAGCTGCAACGTCGACACCAGGTCAAAAACTTCGTCGTCAATCTCCGTCTGCACACACTCCTCCTCCACAGCAGCAGCAGCAGCAGCAGCAGCAGCAACGTTCGGTCCACGACACTCCACGCACATCGCCGACACCTCTTCCTTGCTCTCCAACACATCCATATTTGCACGCATTATGTCCAAATCACGTCGTTCTGCCTCTACAGTCTCCCTCAACTCATTCACTTCGTCTCGTAAATGACGCTTCTCCTCTCTCAGATCCGCCACTTCACTCTCCTTCACAGTCAACAAACGCCGGACATCCATCAATGAAGCATCACTCTCCTCCACCGATCTAGACAGCTTCACTATCTGTTCATAACAAGACGTCAACTCTTCGCGCAGTTGACCAACCACATTCGACTCATCTTCACACAAACTTGAACTCACTAGCTTCTCTCTCGTCATCTCCACTGGACTCCTGGTCGACTGATCTACGGTCGACTGATCGGTAAATCCTGAAGTTGACAATGTGTCAGTAGCCAACCAAGACACGCTGTCTGTCGCTTGAGTCTCCACACTCACAAGTCTAGTCGGAGAACCAACCGACACACTAGGCTTGTGCTCGTCGTGTATGCATTCTGAGGAGTAGTCGCTCCAACCGTCAACAACCATGCAATTCGACTCGTCGTCCTCTGCATCTTTACCAACGCCCACGCTCACAGTCTCTCTCGTATCACTAGTGAACCCTGATGACAAAGCTATATCACGTTCAATCATACGATCTAGCACGTCAGTTCCCATGTCACTTCTGCACACTGTTTTTGCCAACCTGGCGTCCACATCGTCTGCCATATCCAACCTACTACGCAGTTCCAACAACTCTTTCATGGCTGTGTCGCGTTCTCTCACAATTTCGTTTACGCGCGACTCCCAGTCTCGACTGGCTATCGCCAACACTGTGTTGCAATGCTCTTCCATCGATGTCTCAAGCCGACACACTTGATCCCGTAGTGCAGAACACTCGTCACGAGAAGCAGACAGTTGACTCTCCAGATCTGACATTGCGCAAACCTTCTCATGTCTATAGGCCTCCAGTTCCTCTCGGGCAGTTGACGCCTGTTCGACTGCCTGACGAAGAGCTGTTTGCATCAACACCATCTCAGATGCCTGCTTATCACACAGGTCTCGACACTTGCAGAGCTCCTCAGACAGCTCACGGTTCCGGTCGCACAGTCTGCTCATCTCACTTACCGAATCCCAATCTTGTCCTCTCTGCATCGACGTCACTTCATGAGACTCTTGTAGTCGCACAAAGCTATCAAGCATAACAGTAGACTCCAAGTGTTCTGGCCATGTCATTGTCTCACACTCACGGTCCACGTGTTCAACCACACCATGGGACAACCCTGTTGTGACGGCATCTAAACACTCCTGCACTCGTTGTTCGTGCTCTCTGCACCAATCTCCATAGTCGGAACGCAGACCTCTTATATGGTCAACCACAAACGCCAACAGTGCTTTCGTCTTGGTCACATCATTCTCCAAGTCAGTAATCACAGTCATATAACTCTCTAGACGACGCTTCAGCGACTCACACTCACAGATCAGGGCATTGTTCATTGACTCACATTCTTTCAGTTTCTCAGTGACTGCCTCCAGCTCGAACGATTGTGTATCCAGTGCACGCTGCAAATCCTCTCGCAACCCGTCTGATGTGCAACGGTCAGTCGACGAGCCTTCGTGTGCATAGTCGATGTCTTGCACTGGTGACGTGGATCGACCAACTGTTTCGCACAGGCGATGTGAAACCCGTTCGTACTCACTCATTCTGTTCGCCATTTCGGCGCGGTCAGCATTCGCCTCAGCATGTGCTGCACGCAATTCTCTCACCTGCTTCAACAAGAAACCCAGTGATCCTCTGACCTCATCCATCTCCATGCACACATCGTCCAACAGTGTCACGCGCTCTGAAATCTTACTTCGTAACAAGTCTACCTCTGTCATCAGCTCTTTGTTGTGCTTCGACAGTGCATCAGCTTCGTCCGTCACTTTCATCGACCGGTCAGGCACACGAGAACTAAGAGGCATCACATCCATTGGCTTATCTTCACACATCATAACGCCTTCCAGCTCACGCAGACGCACACTCAACTCTGTCTTGGCATTCTCAAGTTCGCAGATTCTGCTCATGGCCTCCTTCAATCGCGCTCTTAGGCTGTCTGTATTTAACAGGGCAAGTTCGGGATCTTCATTGTCTTGTTCACTCGGCGGTTTCGTCCAACTCTGAGTGGCGTGAATGGGCAAGACCACTTCCTCGTTCGAAACGCCCTCAACACACAAGTCCGTAGTTTGTCTGTCCATTCGATCAGGCACAATGCCTGACACTGAGTCGCTTGCAACAGTCTCCACCAGCTGCATGTCAGGAACTCCGGCAAACACGTCTGCCTCCACTCTGTCTGTGTCATCAACCTCTGCCAACTCACGGACAACCACATCGGGCGCCTTTCTCACAGTCTCACAAGGAATCCACCAAGTTGTCTCGTTCACCATCATACGTGACTCCGGTTCCTGCACTTCGGTCTGTTTCATGCTCAACTCGAGCTGTGAACGCTCCAGAGCCGCCAACGTCGCCGCATTTTCCTCACGCAGATGGGCAACCTCGAGCTGCAACGTCGACACCAGGTCAAAAACTTCGTCGTCAATCTCCGTCTGCACACACTCCTCCTCCACAGCAGCAGCAGCAGCAGCAGCAGCAGCAGCAACGTTCGGTCCACGACACTCCACGCACATCGCCGACACCTCTTCCTTGCTCTCCAACACATCCATATTTGCACGCATTATGTCCAAATCACGTCGTTCTGCCTCTACAGTCTCCCTCAACTCATTCACTTCGTCTCGTAAATGACGCTTCTCCTCTCTCAGATCCGCCACTTCACTCTCCTTCACAGTCAACAAACGCCGGACATCCATCAATGAAGCATCACTCTCCTCCACCGATCTAGACAGCTTCACTATCTGTTCATAACAAGACGTCAACTCTTCGCGCAGTTGACCAACCACATTCGACTCATCTTCACACAAACTTGAACTCACTAGCTTCTCTCTCGTCATCTCCACTGGACTCCTGGTCGACTGATCTACGGTCGACTGATCGGTAAATCCTGAAGTTGACAATGTGTCAGTAGCCAACCAAGACACGCTGTCTGTCGCTTGAGTCTCCACACTCACAAGTCTAGTCGGAGAACCAACCGACACACTAGGCTTGTGCTCGTCGTGTATGCATTCTGAGGAGTAGTCGCTCCAACCGTCAACAACCATGCAATTCGACTCGTCGTCCTCTGCATCTTTACCAACGCCCACGCTCACAGTCTCTCTCGTATCACTAGTGAACCCTGATGACAAAGCTATATCACGTTCAATCATACGATCTAGCACGTCAGTTCCCATGTCACTTCTGCACACTGTTTTTGCCAACCTGGCGTCCACATCGTCTGCCATATCCAACCTACTACGCAGTTCCAACAACTCTTTCATGGCTGTGTCGCGTTCTCTCACAATTTCGTTTACGCGCGACTCCCAGTCTCGACTGGCTATCGCCAACACTGTGTTGCAATGCTCTTCCATCGATGTCTCAAGCCGACACACTTGATCCCGTAGTGCAGAACACTCGTCACGAGAAGCAGACAGTTGACTCTCCAGATCTGACATTGCGCAAACCTTCTCATGTCTATAGGCCTCCAGTTCCTCTCGGGCAGTTGACGCCTGTTCGACTGCCTGACGAAGAGCTGTTTGCATCAACACCATCTCAGATGCCTGCTTATCACACAGGTCTCGACACTTGCAGAGCTCCTCAGACAGCTCACGGTTCCGGTCGCACAGTCTGCTCATCTCACTTACCGAATCCCAATCTTGTCCTCTCTGCATCGACGTCACTTCATGAGACTCTTGTAGTCGCACAAAGCTATCAAGCATAACAGTAGACTCCAAGTGTTCTGGCCATGTCATTGTCTCACACTCACGGTCCACGTGTTCAACCACACCATGGGACAACCCTGTTGTGACGGCATCTAAACACTCCTGCACTCGTTGTTCGTGCTCTCTGCACCAATCTCCATAGTCGGAACGCAGACCTCTTATATGGTCAACCACAAACGCCAACAGTGCTTTCGTCTTGGTCACATCATTCTCCAAGTCAGTAATCACAGTCATATAACTCTCTAGACGACGCTTCAGCGACTCACACTCACAGATCAGGGCATTGTTCATTGACTCACATTCTTTCAGTTTCTCAGTGACTGCCTCCAGCTCGAACGATTGTGTATCCAGTGCACGCTGCAAATCCTCTCGCAACCCGTCTGATGTGCAACGGTCAGTCGACGAGCCTTCGTGTGCATAGTCGATGTCTTGCACTGGTGACGTGGATCGACCAACTGTTTCGCACAGGCGATGTGAAACCCGTTCGTACTCACTCATTCTGTTCGCCATTTCGGCGCGGTCAGCATTCGCCTCAGCATGTGCTGCACGCAATTCTCTCACCTGCTTCAACAAGAAACCCAGTGATCCTCTGACCTCATCCATCTCCATGCACACATCGTCCAACAGTGTCACGCGCTCTGAAATCTTACTTCGTAACAAGTCTACCTCTGTCATCAGCTCTTTGTTGTGCTTCGACAGTGCATCAGCTTCGTCCGTCACTTTCATCGACCGGTCAGGCACACGAGAACTAAGAGGCATCACATCCATTGGCTTATCTTCACACATCATAACGCCTTCCAGCTCACGCAGACGCACACTCAACTCTGTCTTGGCATTCTCAAGTTCGCAGATTCTGCTCATGGCCTCCTTCAATCGCGCTCTTAGGCTGTCTGTATTTAACAGGGCAAGTTCGGGATCTTCATTGTCTTGTTCACTCGGCGGTTTCGTCCAACTCTGAATGGCGTGAATGGGCAAGACCACTTCCTCGTTCGAAACGCCCTCAACACACAAGTCCGTAGTTTGTCTGTCCATTCGATCAGGCACAATGCCTGACACTGAGTCGCTTGCAACAGTCTCCACCAGCTGCATGTCAGGAACTCCGGCAAACACGTCTGCCTCCACTCTGTCTGTGTCATCAACCTCTGCCAACTCACGGACAACCACATCGGGCGCCTTTCTCACAGTCTCACAAGGAATCCACCAAGTTGTCTCGTTCACCATCATACGTGACTCCGGTTCCTGCACTTCGGTCTGTTTCATGCTCAACTCGAGCTGTGAACGCTCCAGAGCCGCCAACGTCGCCGCATTTTCCTCACGCAGATGGGCAACCTCGAGCTGCAACGTCGACACCAGGTCAAAAACTTCGTCGTCAATCTCCGTCTGCACACACTCCTCCTCCACAGCAGCAGCAGCAGCAGCAGCAGCAGCAACGTTCGGTCCACGACACTCCACGCACATCGCCGACACCTCTTCCTTGCTCTCCAACACATCCATATTTGCACGCATTATGTCCAAATCACGTCGTTCTGCCTCTACAGTCTCCCTCAACTCATTCACTTCGTCTCGTAAATGACGCTTCTCCTCTCTCAGATCCGCCACTTCACTCTCCTTCACAGTCAACAAACGCCGGACATCCATCAATGAAGCATCACTCTCCTCCACCGATCTAGACAGCTTCACTATCTGTTCATAACAAGACGTCAACTCTTCGCGCAGTTGACCAACCACATTCGACTCATCTTCACACAAACTTGAACTCACTAGCTTCTCTCTCGTCATCTCCACTGGACTCCTGGTCGACTGATCTACGGTCGACTGATCGGTAAATCCTGAAGTTGACAATGTGTCAGTAGCCAACCAAGACACGCTGTCTGTCGCTTGAGTCTCCACACTCACAAGTCTAGTCGGAGAACCAACCGACACACTAGGCTTGTGCTCGTCGTGTATGCATTCTGAGGAGTAGTCGCTCCAACCGTCAACAACCATGCAATTCGACTCGTCGTCCTCTGCATCTTTACCAACGCCCACGCTCACAGTCTCTCTCGTATCACTAGTGAACCCTGATGACAAAGCTATATCACGTTCAATCATACGATCTAGCACGTCAGTTCCCATGTCACTTCTGCACACTGTTTTTGCCAACCTGGCGTCCACATCGTCTGCCATATCCAACCTACTACGCAGTTCCAACAACTCTTTCATGGCTGTGTCGCGTTCTCTCACAATTTCGTTTACGCGCGACTCCCAGTCTCGACTGGCTATCGCCAACACTGTGTTGCAATGCTCTTCCATCGATGTCTCAAGCCGACACACTTGATCCCGTAGTGCAGAACACTCGTCACGAGAAGCAGACAGTTGACTCTCCAGATCTGACATTGCGCAAACCTTCTCATGTCTATAGGCCTCCAGTTCCTCTCGGGCAGTTGACGCCTGTTCGACTGCCTGACGAAGAGCTGTTTGCATCAACACCATCTCAGATGCCTGCTTATCACACAGGTCTCGACACTTGCAGAGCTCCTCAGACAGCTCACGGTTCCGGTCGCACAGTCTGCTCATCTCACTTACCGAATCCCAATCTTGTCCTCTCTGCATCGACGTCACTTCATGAGACTCTTGTAGTCGCACAAAGCTATCAAGCATAACAGTAGACTCCAAGTGTTCTGGCCATGTCATTGTCTCACACTCACGGTCCACGTGTTCAACCACACCATGGGACAACCCTGTTGTGACGGCATCTAAACACTCCTGCACTCGTTGTTCGTGCTCTCTGCACCAATCTCCATAGTCGGAACGCAGACCTCTTATATGGTCAACCACAAACGCCAACAGTGCTTTCGTCTTGGTCACATCATTCTCCAAGTCAGTAATCACAGTCATATAACTCTCTAGACGACGCTTCAGCGACTCACACTCACAGATCAGGGCATTGTTCATTGACTCACATTCTTTCAGTTTCTCAGTGACTGCCTCCAGCTCGAACGATTGTGTATCCAGTGCACGCTGCAAATCCTCTCGCAACCCGTCTGATGTGCAACGGTCAGTCGACGAGCCTTCGTGTGCATAGTCGATGTCTTGCACTGGTGACGTGGATCGACCAACTGTTTCGCACAGGCGATGTGAAACCCGTTCGTACTCACTCATTCTGTTCGCCATTTCGGCGCGGTCAGCATTCGCCTCAGCATGTGCTGCACGCAATTCTCTCACCTGCTTCAACAAGAAACCCAGTGATCCTCTGACCTCATCCATCTCCATGCACACATCGTCCAACAGTGTCACGCGCTCTGAAATCTTACTTCGTAACAAGTCTACCTCTGTCATCAGCTCTTTGTTGTGCTTCGACAGTGCATCAGCTTCGTCCGTCACTTTCATCGACCGGTCAGGCACACGAGAACTAAGAGGCATCACATCCATTGGCTTATCTTCACACATCATAACGCCTTCCAGCTCACGCAGACGCACACTCAACTCTGTCTTGGCATTCTCAAGTTCGCAGATTCTGCTCATGGCCTCCTTCAATCGCGCTCTTAGGCTGTCTGTATTTAACAGGGCAAGTTCGGGATCTTCATTGTCTTGTTCACTCGGCGGTTTCGTCCAACTCTGAGTGGCGTGAATGGGCAAGACCACTTCCTCGTTCGAAACGCCCTCAACACACAAGTCCGTAGTTTGTCTGTCCATTCGATCAGGCACAATGCCTGACACTGAGTCGCTTGCAACAGTCTCCACCAGCTGCATGTCAGGAACTCCGGCAAACACGTCTGCCTCCACTCTGTCTGTGTCATCAACCTCTGCCAACTCACGGACAACCACATCGGGCGCCTTTCTCACAGTCTCACAAGGAATCCACCAAGTTGTCTCGTTCACCATCATACGTGACTCCGGTTCCTGCACTTCGGTCTGTTTCATGCTCAACTCGAGCTGTGAACGCTCCAGAGCCGCCAACGTCGCCGCATTTTCCTCACGCAGATGGGCAACCTCGAGCTGCAACGTCGACACCAGGTCAAAAACTTCGTCGTCAATCTCCGTCTGCACACACTCCTCCTCCACAGCAGCAGCAGCAGCAGCAGCAGCAACGTTCGGTCCACGACACTCCACGCACATCGCCGACACCTCTTCCTTGCTCTCCAACACATCCATATTTGCACGCATTATGTCCAAATCACGTCGTTCTGCCTCTACAGTCTCCCTCAACTCATTCACTTCGTCTCGTAAATGACGCTTCTCCTCTCTCAGATCCGCCACTTCACTCTCCTTCACAGTCAACAAACGCCGGACATCCATCAATGAAGCATCACTCTCCTCCACCGATCTAGACAGCTTCACTATCTGTTCATAACAAGACGTCAACTCTTCGCGCAGTTGACCAACCACATTCGACTCATCTTCACACAAACTTGAACTCACTAGCTTCTCTCTCGTCATCTCCACTGGACTCCTGGTCGACTGATCTTCGGTCGACTGATCGGTAAATCCTGAAGTTGACAATGTGTCAGTAGCCAACCAAGACACGCTGTCTGTCGCTTGAGTCTCCACACTCACAAGTCTAGTCGGAGAACCAACCGACACACTAGGCTTGTGCTCGTCGTGTATGCATTCTGAGGAGTAGTCGCTCCAACCGTCAACAACCATGCAATTCGACTCGTCGTCCTCTGCATCTTTACCAACGCCCACGCTCACAGTCTCTCTCGTATCACTAGTGAACCCTGATGACAAAGCTATATCACGTTCAATCATACGATCTAGCACGTCAGTTCCCATGTCACTTCTGCACACTGTTTTTGCCAACCTGGCGTCCACATCGTCTGCCATATCCAACCTACTACGCAGTTCCAACAACTCTTTCATGGCTGTGTCGCGTTCTCTCACAATTTCGTTTACGCGCGACTCCCAGTCTCGACTGGCTATCGCCAACACTGTGTTGCAATGCTCTTCCATCGATGTCTCAAGCCGACACACTTGATCCCGTAGTGCAGAACACTCGTCACGAGAAGCAGACAGTTGACTCTCCAGATCTGACATTGCGCAAACCTTCTCATGTCTATAGGCCTCCAGTTCCTCTCGGGCAGTTGACGCCTGTTCGACTGCCTGACGAAGAGCTGTTTGCATCAACACCATCTCAGATGCCTGCTTATCACACAGGTCTCGACACTTGCAGAGCTCCTCAGACAGCTCACGGTTCCGGTCGCACAGTCTGCTCATCTCACTTACCGAATCCCAATCTTGTCCTCTCTGCATCGACGTCACTTCATGAGACTCTTGTAGTCGCACAAAGCTATCAAGCATAACAGTAGACTCCAAGTGTTCTGGCCATGTCATTGTCTCACACTCACGGTCCACGTGTTCAACCACACCATGGGACAACCCTGTTGTGACGGCATCTAAACACTCCTGCACTCGTTGTTCGTGCTCTCTGCACCAATCTCCATAGTCGGAACGCAGACCTCTTATATGGTCAACCACAAACGCCAACAGTGCTTTCGTCTTGGTCACATCATTCTCCAAGTCAGTAATCACAGTCATATAACTCTCTAGACGACGCTTCAGCGACTCACACTCACAGATCAGGGCATTGTTCATTGACTCACATTCTTTCAGTTTCTCAGTGACTGCCTCCAGCTCGAACGATTGTGTATCCAGTGCACGCTGCAAATCCTCTCGCAACCCGTCTGATGTGCAACGGTCAGTCGACGAGCCTTCGTGTGCATAGTCGATGTCTTGCACTGGTGACGTGGATCGACCAACTGTTTCGCACAGGCGATGTGAAACCCGTTCGTACTCACTCATTCTGTTCGCCATTTCGGCGCGGTCAGCATTCGCCTCAGCATGTGCTGCACGCAATTCTCTCTCATGCTTGAACAGGAAGTCAAGCGATCGTGTGGCGTCTTGAGTGTGTGGGTTATTATTTCTTGAAATTATTCTCAATTCTGTATTTGTACTTTTTGTTGATTTTTTTAAATTTTTTTCATTGGCTTTATCGCGTTTTGACGCATCGGTCGGTTGATATTGCTGTTGTGAAAATTCGTTTTGTAATTTTTGATCGCACTCTATTATAATATCGTTTTGGTTTCTTTTAATTATGATTTCATCTTCTTTCTTGGTTTTCAGGTTTTCTCCTTCGAGTTTTTCCAGATGATTTCTCGTTTCTTCGTTAATTGTTATACTTGTTTCTTCTGAGTACCCTGTAACACTATATGCTTTTGTGTTCGAAGACCACTCCATATGCTTGTCTGTGTTGTTTACGCAGTCTTTCACAAGCCTTTCTGATTTTATACTATATGGTTCGACGGTTTCTAGTTCTTTACTTGATAAACTGCGCGACATTACGGGAATATCTGATGCTGATTCAGCGTATGTCATACTGCAGGGTTGTCTAGGTGGTGGTAGTATCAAAGAACTGATCAACATTTTTTCGTCTTTAATATCCGGATGCATTCTCCAAATGTGCGAAATTTTATCTTGTGAGAAGTCATCATACGAAACTATGGTAACTTCTTCACAGTGACAAGCATGTGATTCACTGGCATCAATCCGGTTTTGTTGAAGTGACTTATCCCTTTTTGAAGATGAATATGTGGCAAATGTAAACTTAGATTCATTTGCATTAGAATCAACCATCATCGGGTCGACATCGGATGGACTTAACATCTTGAAACACGAAGCATCTAAAACTATCGACGATATGTATGACTTTTTTCCATGAACGACGTTATCATTGAGTTTATTGCCTACCTCACTGTCACTGGCTACAAGAAATTGGTCTGAATTAAGTTCACTTTCGCAAGTCCCTTGGATTTCAGAGACCAGCGTACCACTTGAATAATTACGATCACTTTCTTTAAAATTAGAAAGATTACCAGAAGTTTCAACCAACAAACTATTGACTTCTAAACGAGAATTGAAATGTCTAACAGGTGGAGGCAAATTAAAGCTCAAACGTTTCTTTGATGAATCACTCTCACAGATCAGGGCATTGTTCATTGACTCACATTCTTTCAGTTTCTCAGTGACTGCCTCCAGCTCGAACGATTGTGTATCCAGTGCACGCTGCAAATCCTCTCGCAACCCGTCTGATGTGCAACGGTCAGTCGACGAGCCTTCGTGTGCATAGTCGATGTCTTGCACTGGTGACGTGGATCGACCAACTGTTTCGCACAGGCGATGTGAAACCCGTTCGTACTCACTCATTCTGTTCGCCATTTCGGCGCGGTCAGCATTCGCCTCAGCATGTGCTGCACGCAATTCTCTCACCTGCTTCAACAAGAAACCCAGTGATCCTCTGACCTCATCCATCTCCATGCACACATCGTCCAACAGTGTCACGCGCTCTGAAATCTTACTTCGTAACAAGTCTACCTCTGTCATCAGCTCTTTGTTGTGCTTCGACAGTGCATCAGCTTCGTCCGTCACTTTCATCGACCGGTCAGGCACACGAGAACTAAGAGGCATCACATCCATTGGCTTATCTTCACACATCATAACGCCTTCCAGCTCACGCAGACGCACACTCAACTCTGTCTTGGCATTCTCAAGTTCGTAGATTCTGCTCATGGCCTCCTTCAATCGCGCTCTTAGGCTGTCTGTATTTAACAGGGCAAGTTCGGGATCTTCATTGTCTTGTTCACTCGGCGGTTTCGTCCAACTCTGAGTGGCGTGAATGGGCAAGACCACTTCCTCGTTCGAAACGCCCTCAACACACAAGTCCGTAGTTTGTCTGTCCATTCGATCAGGCACAATGCCTGACACTGGGTCGCTTGCAACAGTCTCCACCAGCTGCATGTCAGGAACTCCGGCAAACACGTCTGCCTCCACTCTGTCTGTGTCATCAACCTCTGCCAACTCACGGACAACCACATCGGGCGCCTTTCTCACAGTCTCACAAGGAATCCACCAAGTTGTCTCGTTCACCATCATACGTGACTCCGGTTCCTGCACTTCGGTCTGTTTCATGCTCAACTCGAGCTGTGAACGCTCCAGAGCCGCCAACGTCGCCGCATTTTCCTCACGCAGATGGGCAACCTCGAGCTGCAACGTCGACACCAGGTCAAAAACTTCGTCGTCAATCTCCGTCTGCACACACTCCTCCTCCACAGCAGCAGCAGCAGCAGCAGCAGCAACGTTCGGTCCACGACACTCCACGCACATCGCCGACACCTCTTCCTTGCTCTCCAACACATCCATATTTGCACGCATTATGTCCAAATCACGTCGTTCTGCCTCTACAGTCTCCCTCAACTCATTCACTTCGTCTCGTAAATGACGCTTCTCCTCTCTCAGATCCGCCACTTCACTCTCCTTCACAGTCAACAAACGCCGGACATCCATCAACGAAGCATCACTCTCCTCCACCGATCTAGACAGCTTCACTATCTGTTCATAACAAGACGTCAACTCTTCGCGCAGTTGACCAACCACATTCGACTCATCTTCACACAAACTTGAACTCACTAGCTTCTCTCTCGTCATCTCCACGGTAAATTCTGAAGTTGTTAGTGTGTCTTTATTCAATGTGGATTTTGTTTCTTCAATTTTGGCTATTGTTAGATATTCTTTCTCTTCTTTGGACATTATAGTTGTTTGTTCAATCTCTGTCTGATTAGTTAATTTTAGTTCATTTATTATGTTTTTATTTGGATTTGTAGATGAATCAATAAGTGAATTTGGATATTGATTATGGTGATATATATAACATTCACTTTTTACCTTTTCATCATTTCTCTCGTAGCAATTATTTTCATACGTCTCGTCGCTATTATGTGGGACAATGTTATGTCCTGTTGAAATAGCTTTTAATTTATAGTCATAATCTCTTAATTCCTTGTTCAAATCTTCTATTTGTGATGCCTGCATAGCTATAAGTTTGCAGTGTTTTGTTTTTTCACTCAAGAGTTTATCTACTAGATGCTGACACAAAGATAGCTCTTCGTATATAACATGTAGAGCAGACTGAAGCTTTTCTGTCAAGTTCAAATCCGTGATTTCAGGTTTGTCATCTAATAATCTGTCAATTTCTTGGTTGAATGAATAATTATCCTGTTCAATTTGTTCAACAAAAGTATCTTGCTTTCTAATGATTTGTTGTTGTAGAATTTCTTGTAATTCAGTTAGGCGAATAAGAGATTGTTCAGCTGAATAAAGTGGATATTTCTGATCATATTCCGCTGTATTTACTAGTAAACGTTTTGCACTATGAATCGGAAAACTCTTATCATCAGTGAGGTAGTGACCAGGTGATTCATATTCAATTGGATTATCTTGATCAGGTATATATTGATTTAAATTTGATATAATTGTACTGACTTGACTTAAAAATGCTTTAGTCAAAGACTGTACATCGGATAATCCTCCATTATCTAAAATACATTGTAAACTAGTAAAATGATTATTGAATATAGCTAATTTAATATGATTTTCAATATCTAATAAATTGCTATGTAACATTTCTACTTCTCTTTCGGATTTCTGTAACTTTGATTGTAAAATTTCATAATCTTGTTTTAACTGAGATAATTCAAATGAACAGTTATCTGTTGTTAATTCAGTATTTAACATAGATTGATTATAAATTATGGTTTCATTTGATATCACTTCATTTGTTGGCCATGAACTATGACAGTATTCAATTTCATGTACATTTCTATAATCTAATGGTATTTGTCTATATGATGAATCGGTCAATCTATGCAAATTATTAAAAGAATCAGTTTGTATAGATGAATTACATACATCTTTATACTTATGGGAAATGTAAACAGATATATTAGATTTATATTCATCAAATGTTGAATTAACATATTTTAATTGTTTACATAATGTTTGATTAAAAGTTTGATATTGACTAACTAAATGATTACAAGAATCTTTTAAGTAATTAAACTTCCTTTGTAACTCACGTAAAGCTTCTTTTTCCAATGATGATGTTTGAATAAGATCATCTGTTGATATTATCTAATAAAAGAGAAGGAGAAAAAAACAATGTTATGATTACTATTTATGACAAGAGTATCCATAACTAGTTGTATATAAACTTAAGAAAGTCATTCATTTTACAACAAGGAACAATTTCATACATTTAGTTACTGTGATCATTTCGAATCAATCAATAATTGGATATGTTAATGAATTATTTTTATAGTTGCCCCCAAATGCCCTGGTACGGCCGAGAGTGGGGTGAGTCCGCTCTCCCTCTTCAAATGCTCTCACATGGTCACGCGTATATAACCTCTGCCACACAATTCCTACTCACTACCTTCTCGTGGCATTACTGTTGTTTAGGAAATTGAGAGGACGAAAATTGAATGTCAGGCGCTTTAACCGGGTTGACGGATACGGAGGATTCACCTAAGGGAGTTGGAAAACCCTCATTCCAAACCAATGGTGCACACGGGCTGGCTCCAGGATCCTGAGGGAACAAATGGCGTATAAACCAATCGTTGGTCGTCGGCTACCATGGGACTGCATCTCATTACGATGCTCCACTATCTTGTGGATCAAACCTTTAGGTTGAAGGCTCCAGGTGTGGCCCCCTCAGAAAACCACCTGTTTCGGTTTGGGCACTCGGGCAGCAACATAAGGAGATGCAGCCGCATGGTAGCCAGCCACCAACAATAGGTTCATACGCCATTTGTTTCCTCACGATCCTGAAGCCCGTGTGCACCATTGGTTTGGAATGAGGGTTTTCCAACTCCCTTAGGTGAATCCTCCGTATCCGTCAACCCGGTTAAAGCGCCTGACATTCAATTTTCGTCCTCTCAATTTCCTAAACAAAAGTAATGCCACGAGAAGGTAGTGAGTAGGACTTCCCTGTCAGTGGTTGTATGCACGCGGCCATGTGAGAGCATTTGGAGAGGGAGAGCGGACTCACCCCACTCTCGGCCGTACCAGGGCATTTAGGGCAATACAAGAAACTTTTTAAAATAATTCGTGTTAGAAATTATTGAAACTGAATTACTCCAGTGTTACGATTAGGAACGTGGAATCATGCAGTGAACCGTTCTTTGACTAGTTATTAATCTATGTTATGTTCGATTAGTGGAATTATTGATTACTTTTATAGCATAATTAGACTTGAATATACGTTTAGTAATCACATAAGAAAACAGAAAGTATAAAATGTTAACTATAAAAAACAAAACAAACAAACATAAGGAGAAGTACTAATGGATTTATTTATTGTATAGGATAAACATATACAGTAATTCAGTTAAACTGAAATGTTTGTTTACGTTGAATCATGATTTAATATTACTAAACAATTCTATGGTTAAGACAATCAAAATTGTATTTTACGATAGTCCTTTCTAGTGGATTGATGTCATTTGGGAAAAAACAAAACTTTGAATTGCTGACATGTTTCTACAGATAGAGCTCTCGTTCAATAGATGTTCATGATGTAAAAAGCTAGTTCTTATTGACGGAAAATTATGCTAATTGTTTATGTTGAAACTAGAGATGATAAGTATTGTTTGAATTAAAGTTAGATGGAGACTAACAATGAGATCCACAACACTCATTTCGTCGTATTTGAGACTAGTCAGCTAGATGTACTTGCTTCCTAGTCTAAATACTTACATTAAGACTCGAACTCAGTACATTTCGTTTCAAATTCCAAGGCATTTTATCCACTGGAATAAAATTGCATTCATCTGATGAGACCGGAACGCGAAGAGACGAGCATCCTGGATTTCAGTGTCAGCCACTACCCAACATCAATTAAAGCTTGAACCTAACTGGTATCAAGACCATCCGCACACGATGTACACATCCCTAAAGAGGCTAACTTGTCTCAGTGCTTAACAACCACAAAATAACAGCAGTGGTTAAGTAGCGGCTAAACAAGTGATACACTAAAACCTAAAGGTTGATTAAAGTAAAGAAATATGGTTATTCATTTAGGATGGAACTCCCCAATTGACTCTAGACCTACACTTAGTGATAGCTAGCTTTCTAGACTCCTCCGATGACTCAATTATAACCAGATAGTTGTGTCAATATTTTTAGCTGCGACTAAGTACTCTTTCTCTGTATCTTGAATTACAAGTATGCTCAGTTGCAATGTAAAACACAGATTTCATCCTGATTGAAATCATCGAAAAATAGTAAACAAACAGTTAATGTATTCTAAATTTGAAACCGTTATATATGCATCTTGTGAGGATCGTCTCGATATAGTCATTATGGCACAAATTAATTTAGTAGTTTATGTATAACAGTGAAATTCAAGACGTACGTTTTGTCCTATTTGGTACTCATCAGCTAGATGCGTCTGTATCTAAGAGATAGTGTTCACTCTACTCAATAAAACAAAACGTTCACATTTCCTTAACGATTTCTTTTGAAGTTTTATTGATTAAGATACAGGTTTGTGTACTAAACATAGTTTATCCTTTATAAATAACGATAATATAACAAAGGAAAAGAAACAAACTTACCTGATCATTCATTTGCTTAACCTGTTGCATATTCAACTGATGATTTTGATCTTTATTAATAAACAATGTTAACAGATCACTTGTAGATGTACACATATCTGTTAAGTAAATTGATTTTGTTGCATAATTTGTACAAGAAGATAACTCTTCCATTTTGAATGATTCCAAATTTACCTCTTCAATATCTTTTATTTTATGTTGATTAGAAGTTAAAGTAGTAATAGTCGACTGATCTGTAAGGCTAGTTATTGATGAAACTTCAACAGGTATAGACTTATCAGTTGCGGTTGTTCTATTAATTTCATTAGCAACTAATTCTGGTGCAAAATATGTTGCTGTTGTTGTTGTTGCTGTTGTTGACAGTGAAGATTGTGACTCAACTAAACTAGATGATTGAAATGATGAAAGTTTATCATTTTGTATATACCATTGAAATTGTTCAATAATATTATATGCTTCATATAATGTATCATAATCCTCTTTATTACTAATCCATAATTTAGATTTATGTAAATCTGTAGTAGTTAACTTTGATTCTTTCGATAACATTCCCCATAAACGTTGAAGTAAATTATTAATCGAATTATAAACTGGTATTGTTGTTGTTGTTGTTGTTGTGGTGGTGGTGGTGGTTGTTGAAATATCGATTGGCATTATTGTCGATTTTAATGGGAATATAGTTTGATCTTCTATTGATTTTATTTTTGGTATAGATTCGTAAATTCGAGAACTTGATCCTGGATCTAATAATAATGATGATGATGGTGATGATAATATACATTGAGTTTGATCTGTATCAGACAAATAAGTAATTATATTATTATTATTATTAGATGAAGAATTTGTTGATGATAAAAAATAATCACTAATCAATAAATGATGATTTGTTTCTTCTAATTGATTTTTTTGTAATTTTTCATTTAATTGATTTAATTGATATTGATATTGTTTGATTTCATTTGATAAATCAATAATTTGTTGTTCAGCATGATCTGCTTTCATTTGTAAATCTTTAATATTTGGATCAATAAATTGATTATCGAATTGATAAGAATTCATTGAAATAATACAAAAATTAAGTAATGCATTAAAAAATTGTTGACATACAGTGGGATAATTCATTTGATGATTTTTTATTTCCCAATAATTTAATAGATTCTGTGTAGCTAAATTAAGATCTTGTAATTCAGATATGAATGATTGTTTTATTCTTTGAACTGAATTCATAGTAACTATGACATCATTGTCATTATTATTATTATTATTTATACCGGGATTTATTATTTTATTATTGATTTCTTTAGCAAATTGATGTAAAATAGAATCTGTGATATTGATATTAATATCTTGAGATATGGATTGAGTAATATGTGTTATGTAATCAGTATGAATAGAATTAGTATTATTAGTAGTATTATTATGAGTAGTATATTGTTGATTTAAATTAGAATTTGTTTCAGTTAAACGTGATCTTAATGAATGTAAATATTTAGTTAAATTAGCTTCTTGTAATTCATATTCAGCAAATATTCTATCATTATCTTGATATAATTTAAATAATTGTTCAGATAAATATTTGATCAATGTATCACGATGTGATAATTCAGCTTCTAAACAAGCAATCTAAATAAAGAGATTTGAATGGATAGAATGATATAAATCCAGAAACAAAAGATAGATGGACTATTTATTAGCCGTGAAAAAAACATTTGACTATATTCAGTTGTTATGTTCCGACAAGAATAATGAATGGTAACTTTTGGGATCCATTTCTGAACTAATAATACATATATTTTTATCATATAATTGTTATGTAACTAAACTATTCATATTCATATTCCTCTTATCACAAGCTTTATTTTGACCTATGAACTATTATGATACGATTTACTATTCTTGAGTTATATCCAGTATATTAATTACTACCTCCGACATTCACAGCCACATATGGCTAATTCTTGTACAAATGTTGTTTCATATTTTATTGGTACGTTGTGGTCTGTTTGATTGGTATATAAACTCAGTATGTTTGAAATATGAGGATTCATATTGTAGAGGCCCGGATTGGTGTTCTGGACTCAAGTGGCTGGGCTAGGCGGAAAGTAGGACTAATCAAGAATCTAGGCTGCTCATACGGGTTTACGCGTCATTGATCCGATCGTTAATTTGCTGCTTTCTAATCGACGATCACAAGATATAATATCAGTGTACAACCCGAGGAAATAATGTATAATGATTTAAGCTGTGAAATTACCATACTGAAAAGTAATTCAACAAGATGATGAAGGAATAAATGAAGTGTAAAGCTAACCATAGAAAAAGTCGTTTAAAAGAAATAAATGGGATTTAAAAAGAAGAAAATCGAAATTATGAAATGATAGTAAATAGAAGATTTTAAGGAACATAACTATGCTAGTTTGATCGATTTGGTTCACACTGATAAAGAGTGACCCCAAAGACTGATTTCATGTCATGGTCAGAGTGTTCTTAGCCTTATTCAAATTATCTATCACGTTAGGTAGCATTGAGCAACAGATTAGCTGGTGGTTAAGTATACGTAACAAAAATTACAAATATCTCTGTTGATAAAGATTGATGATATATATAATCAGTTTTGCATTTTTACTCATTCCGTGATGATATCACATGTGATGAATGCTTGGGAGATACTGGATACATCTAAAAATTGGTTTCAGTATTACAGATATACTAACTGAATATTTCCCTCTAAATCTTCAGGATAATTTTATCTCATAATTTGAACCTAATTATTTCATTCGCTGTTTTCCAACTATATTTTTACCATTTAGCTTTCCATTAACACCGATACTTATTTGTTTTATGCTCTGTTAACTTCCGCTGTTGATTGAGAGCAGTAACAACTTAAATAAACATGCATATCCGCCAAATATTTCATAACTCCTGAATTAGTAATCATCAGTCATAGAAGGAATAGTAGACATGTCAAGACATAAACAGTGTAATGTCACGATAAAGAAGGTTGATCAGACGACGATTACATTTCAGCGTGAATGACTAGTTTATCAATTTAAGTTTTTACACTATTGAAAAAAGGATATTAAGAAGACTGAAAAATTGAAATGAATTCAAATGAGAAAATCAGAGAGATTCAAATATACAAGAACTAATTAGTGTTTGAATAATAATAATAATAACAGCTGAGACAATAGATACAAACCATGAGGTCAATTGTGGCAAGTGTTTACTAACTCGGAACAGATTAAATATGGCTTTGAAATGACGTACAACATGATTATTGTCCGATGTAACAGTCACATAAGCAGAATAAAAGTAAAGATTTATATAGGTATCAGTATCAAGGTTGGGACTTGATAGTTTCAAATAAATTGAGTATTGAGTAGAAAGTTAATAATAAATATGTTTTTTGTTATATCTGCGAATTGCAGAGGTTCCTTGTTTCCAGTATAAATGATAAGCGTTTTCGATATAACAATCAGCAACGACCAGAAATAAACAAGTAGCATTCAATACACAAGACATATCAGTGGAAACGGGGATTTCGGAAGAAATCGAAAAAAAACATATCAATATCCTAATGAGTAGAAAAGTTCTATTTCTAATGTTTCGTTACAATATAAACTGCTTTTTCAGACTAAATTGACACAAGTTTAAATATTACAATGAATTTATAGTGAATATTCACATGGAAACATGTGATTTTGATTCACCATAACATATCATCGCTTTATTTATGAAAAAAAAGACAGAGTTCATTATTTTGAGAATCTTTACAATTAGTAACTACATCTGATAACAAACCTAGCAACATTTGAATTTGAAAATTGAATCTAATCCAAACTACTAATTCTATACTTTAAAGATAACCAGTTAGTGATTAGAAAATTTATGAATGATGACATGAACCCAGTGATTCAACTAGACAAAGGTTCTTGTATAGTCTTTAAGAATAGATACATGAAGTAAATCCGATTTCAGATAACTTTCAGAAATTTATTATTGGTAGATCTCATAAGGATATAACCAAGTTGATATAAAGACAAGTTATAAAGATGTTAAACGAAATTTTGAGAAACAGATGAATTTATAATTTCGTTTATGATGAAATGGAATTAAAAGGATCCCCGTTATTTTATTGATATAGCTGATGTGAGATACAAAAAACTAATGTTCCGATTAGATCGATATGATTTATGGTTAGCTCACCTGATGGTTAATAAAATATTTGAAACCCATTATTCATGGGAAACTAGGAATCTACAGCCTAAAGGATTACCATGAACTTATTAGAAAGTTAGAAAGTTCGGATATTTTCTGTATCATTTGATATGTCTTCACATTTTGCAAAGACCCCCTCCTACAAAGAGGAAACTATTCGAATTATAGATTAACATTATAATCTTCCACTGAAAACCATGGGATTTAAATAGGTTCTGTTTAAATGTAATAAAGATGTAAAAATTCTGTTCCATAAAATTATGTGTCATTATACTTATGAGATCGTTATCAGTAGCCTGTTTAGCTAGATTTCAGTTGACATCTTTATGAATACCTGCAACATATGAAGTTAAAGCATATAATCGATGAGACAATATTTCTAATGTAGGCAGGTTGATAAAAAATACTTATACGCGTTACATCTAAAGTTACATTGTAAGACATTTTATATGGGAAAATCAGAGCACACGAAATTTAATTCTTCCCACGAAAGTTGGTATACTTTCTTTGCACAAGTTGATCAAAGAAAATAATTGAAGATGTGTTTTAACTATTTTGGATATCTACAACATTTTTTCAGTTAAGCACATTATGTCATCAAAATTACTATGGAAAATTAGCGCGATAACATTTTTTTTATTTAATTCATCTCGGAATTCAATGGACTTCAGATGGAAAATCACAATGATAACTTCATCATAAAACATTGGAAGTCGGTTTTATCTGAACTATCACAGTTAAGAATGCTTGTTTCCTATTGCCTGAATTTAAAAGTGATGATATCACTGGCAAAAGCCCTTAAACTAAACATTCATCCATTCTAGAAGTACGTATAAATATAACAGTCAGTCAGTTACAACGTAGGATCAGGGACATATATGCATCGGTCCAAGTTGCCATACAACATTAATACAACAGATGAACACCAAATTCATAGAAGCAGATGCTTCAATGCCAATAAAAAAAATTGCATACAATGGTATGAGACAAAGAGAAGGAATTAGTTTGTAGAAAAAATGGTATAAAGTAGTTTTAATCTCACAGTTTAAGGGGAAGACAGAGAGTGTATACACCTACGCCATTGTGATCGATTCTGAGTGATATCACACAGAATATGCAACGATTCGTTCCGATAGTCATGCGGACCCAAACCAGGTAGTCTACATCTACCAACACGGCTCAGACCAGAGGTCAGTGACTTCAAGGTCTGATGCCACGATTTGTTTGGCCCCTAACTTTCTTCCATTTGTCTCCGACACTAATCAGCATGGCGTTTCGTGGTAATTGGTGGTTGGGCATGCGTAACACATAGCCCAACCATCTCAGTCGATGAAAATTTACATCATCAACTGAGTTGCCATCATTCCCTAATACCCTGCGTCCAACCGCACTAAGATATCTGTCATCAATTACTAGTGACTTAAGAGTACCTTCTACTATTAATGATTACGGTTCGCAGCCTTAAAAAAACAGAACAAACTGCAGCGCAGTATACTTGCTCCTTAGTTGATAGACGGATATCTCGCCTTCGCCATGGGTGACGTAAGTTGGCAAAAGCCCAACGAGCTTTTTGAATCCATGATGAGATTTCGGCAGACACCGACCCATTAGGGCTGATCAGACTTCCAGGAAAAGTGAAGTTGTCGACGCGTTCGACTACTTTACTGCCTATCCTTAGTTCAGGTGTTGAGGCAGACCAGTGCTGAAACAACAACTTGCATTCGAAGGGGAGAAACGCATCCCAAATATCCTGGTATTGATGCCCGGTGCTATCAAAAAACTGCATTTTATCAGCGTCTTCACTAATGAGGACTATGTCATATGCTTATTCTAAGCCAACAAGTGGTTCTCCTGATCGATCCCGGAAAATTCAGACGACGAGAACGTTGTTTCCATCAGTAGGTCGTCTATGATGGAAGTGAACAAAAGTAGGGATAGTGAACAGTTTTGCCGGACACCACTTGAGGTCGCAAAATCAAATGAAAGTATGCCATAAACTCTGACTCAACTGGCAGTGTTCGAGTAAAGAGCCCTTACAAGGCTTCTGTACTTCTCAGGTACGCTCCCACAATAAATTGATATTTTTGATTGCTTCTCCAATAAGTAACATCAAGTTGTGCAACCTTCACTTGGTTATTTCATTGGCTATAACAAAACGCTTTTCCACTAAATATGTGACGAATGCTTGACCAATTTTTTTAGATTTATCTAGATTCTTACATTTTTGTTACACGACTAAACGGACTTTTAAATTCTAGATAATCACTTTCATATTTCATGATATTTTCTAAATCTACATTTAATGACCTTAAGTATGGATTTTTAAAACACCGATAATCTTTGTCACCTCATTTACTCAGTCGACGAATGTTCATTATCAAGTGTTATGTTATATTTCAGCACGAGTGTGAGAATATAAGGAACATGGATTCAGATCACTTTTCTTCAACTGTAACAGTTTATTCGGGCTAATAAAGAGAAATAATTAGGTGAAACATGTAGATAGGTTTGAAAATATCCCTGTTAAACTTCACTTATTAAAACCAACTAAAACTGAGAGATAATTAATGTACAAATGACTTGAACGAATAAAGCTAAGCTGCATAAAACCATAAGGGTTTTGACTAAACTACTCTAAGGTAAGTGAAGGATGATAAATTTCTTCGATGAGGTTGGAACCATTTCCAGTAGTGCTGAAGACAGTTAATGGATCTACACTGGCTCTTTTTGGTGTAGAACCGCAAGAACAAATAATTAAATGAAAGCCGGCAAAGGTTAACCGTGCCGATGAACATGTGTAACTCATCAAGTCCTCTTGATAAATGTTAAACCTCACTCATCCATTCAGAATAAAACAAAAAAACATCATTGCGTGGTTCTTCATTCATCAATTTCATGTTGTTCGTACGCTGGAACTGGTTGTAAAATGTTATAATGATCAGTTTATGACAAGATAATGTAGTATAAAAGAACGCTAAGTGGGACTGGGATTTATCAGTCTATTATGACTCCTTGGTTTGGGTATGAGAGATTGTTTTTGAGACGTAATTAAACGTAGCTTAAAATAGGAACCCAAGGCGATGCTGTTGTAATTTTCTTCTTGTTTCTTTAGAAATATGATAGAAAATTTTTCTGGATGGAAGAATTTTGAATTTTTTCGTTTGTATTGTTAACTGGACCGTCTCTACCATCATACAGTTTTCCTATTAATTATTTTTTTGTTAATTCTCTTCAAATGTGCTCTCTTTTGCTCACAATGTCATCTATATTTTGTGTGGCGTACTCTATTCTGCCGTGTTACGCCAAATTTTGTCCATGAATAAATGAATAATAGTTGCAAATAATTTGGAGCATATTGCACCTCCTAGAGGAATGAGGACTTGCTAGATTTATTTTCGACCAGTAGATTATAGGTTCGAACCACAATCTATCAGTTTTGACAAGTAGCTGAGAAGTCTCACTGACCATTACAAGGTGTGTGTCATAGTATTACCCGTATTAGCAACTGACAAGTAAAAACCACACGCTCACCAAACCGACTTCTAAGGAAATTCGCTGATATTTAGTTTAACCTTTCAGATGTCATATAAACTAAAAGTTTAAGAACTGAACCTATTATCTCAGGTAAACTTCCGTAATTCTGCTTCTTACGAATCTTCAACAAAAAGCCTTAAAAACCTGATATTACACAATCAAATATAAAAGTATTCATTTAAAGACGCTGACAAAGTTACTCCCAAATATCCTATTACTGTTAAAACTAGGTAGAATCCATTCTATGTGCTCTCATACGACCACGTGATTATAGTCACTTCTATGAACTTCTTACTAACTGCTTTACGATAGAGATATGTTAGAAATGAGAGTCCAATGAATCAACAAATTTGATGGATGAGGAGGGTCCACAGAAAAACATTAACTCAAAATCGATTGTGCATATAGCCTTTAGGATCATACGGAACCAAATAGCACACAAAACTAATCTGCTCACTGATTACCTTGAGGGCATAACCCTTTAATGAGCTGAACTACCTCGTTGATTAGACTTTACGGCTAAAAACTTAACAAAACAACCTAACTATTTTTAAAGGCTTGTTGTGTACTAGTTTACACGAATAATGATGATTTATAAAGCGAACAAAGATTATGGTTCACCCACCGTAAAAATCTTCAAAAACTAAACACAAAGTTAAAGATTTTCATTTCAAAAAGGTTAATGTCACCTTAATTGAGAAACAATAGGAAACTACAGCAGGTTTTCCAATCGCTTCTATTCTGAAATATGCCTAATAACGTCTCCAACCTCAAACTTGCAGAATTTTCAAGACCGCAACCAGTGATTATTGTTGGACTGACGAACTGTCGTCCTACATATTTTTCATATAGCATCACTATATCACAAACTAAAGACTTCTCCGTTATCCCCAGCTTCTATCAATGTCCGTAAATGATGTACTGTATAGGAGCTTCTGCGATGACATTCATACCACATGTTCAAGTTACTGAGGCAGATTTCACAAAAAAGTGACAATAAATGGCTGACTGCTACTTCATTTACTCTGTGCCATATCTGATAGCATCAGTGTAGTAAGTGTTATTTCTGACCGTAATTGAAGTCATAGTGGGTCGATAGAAGCCAGTCCTGTTAACCTTTCTTTTTTCTCCAGAGCCATCTCATAAACTGACCATTGCCCTTACTTTCTGAATTCTTTGTCTATAAAGCCTTCAAGATATCAATAGCAATCTCAGACAACTCTTTGACAGTTATCCGATCACACGTAACATAGAACCTGACACAGATGTGCATCGACTCAAGTTAATACACCACATCAGCACATCGAGAGAGAATTGTCAAGTCAAATTACAGAGTAGTAGTAATAGTGTCAATTTTAATATACAAGACTGGGTATAAAAAGAAAACGTAAAGGAATTAGGGACTCAGGGTTTAAGGAAAGACAGAGTGAATATATCTAAGCTATTTCGAACAATCTTAAAGCATAGTTTTGCAAGACGAATGAAAACCAATTTCGATCATTACGTTCGGATTTTAGGCAAACTTATTCACCAAGTATTTAAGTAAGAGTTACTTTAAGAGTGGAAGCTGATGATACTACCCAATTTTCCGAACCGAAGTAGGTGGAGCAGGGTTTTAGTTCTCTACCTAGTGGCCCAAAGACGAACGTTCTCGTCACTAAGTCACTTCTCCGACCCTTATGTAGCCTACTATTACATTCTTTGTGAAAGTGAGATGGATTGTCTCAAATGTTCACAAGACCGTTTCTCTTCGTTAGCTACTGATTTCGTTCAATTTTTAACCAAATATGCAACCTAACCCTCCTCCACTTCACTCCAATATTAGCATCCTATTTCATGTTCTGAATTTGCCTCTCACCATATTGTGCCATTTTCGATAATTGAACTAAATAACAGGTTTTCAAAATCACACAAAATTTTTCAAGCTTTTTTAATGATGCTGAAGAAGGAAAGTTCTTTGTAGAACAGTGAACCAGAGGTTAAGACGTGAGAATTTCGACTACTGGGTTACACGTTTTATCTCCACATCTTTGGGTAGATGAGTAGTATGAACAGTCATTATACTGAGTAGCAACCTACTAAGTAAAGATTTACTTAATAAATGAGTAGTACTCGATCAAGATTTATAAACTAATTTTTTTGACACCGACTCTGTAAACATCAAAATTTTACGTTAAGACCGTAAAAACAAAGCGCTTAAAAATTAACGAAAAGAACCGATATAAATCATGTGCCCCAAAAGGGATACGGATTCCCCATATAATCAGTCATTATTTCAAGAACTCTTAATCAATTAAGAAACTCACCTCTGGATTTGTAAAATCTTCTGAAGCCTGGACATTTTCAGTTTCCTGTTTTGAAGCTATAAAGGTATCATTTTTGACTGGAAATCTATATTTTGTTTCACGCTGAGAAAATATGTTTACACCCTTAAAATGTCCCGAATGCTTGGAGCAGCAGGAATTTTCAGTATCAATCACCGGATAAGGAGAAACTGAACGCTTGATTGGAGATTTTGACCTTTTAGTCAGTGATGTAGGACGTCTGACTGATTTGAGACTATGCCCCATCCTCACTGTTAAATTACGTTTCTGGCTAATTGAGTCATCATGGGTGGTACTTTTCGATCGCACTCTCATAGTAAAGCGGGACTGTATATCCTTATTAGGTCTAATGTGATGACTAATTGGAGAGCTGTTTTGACGCTGAACAATAAAGGACCCAAGCTCTCTAACGGCATCCAACATTTTCTCACAAGCCTCCTGATTTCCTCTGAAATTCTAAAAGAAATAAATTTATTTCGACACTAACTCATACCTTTTTCGACGAATTTCTATATTTAGTAAGGCGGTCATTTTCCAAAATCTAACGGAAAATGTTCAAATATTTCACTAAAATTAGAGGTACCTTATTAACAGCAATATGTAATTTTTTCAAATGATGCTTAAAGTTCTGTGACGATGAGTCCTGTTATGCAAAGAACTATAAGAATCAAACAGCAACTCACAACACATATGTTAGGAATATTTGTTTCAGATCTTTTATATAGAATAGGTCCTCTAACAAACTCTTTACCCAACGTAACATCTGCAACACCTGAAGCATCAAAAGTAGTATCTCGAGTATTGCTTCCTCCTGAGGCTTTAGGTATTGAAGTTTCTGAATTGGTGTGGTATGTGTACTATAATTATTTTCGTTTGTTCAGAATATTTTGCTCACTTGTAAGTTTTCATCCCTAGATTCAGAGGAGCTCATGTTGCCACCATTCGAAAAAACAAGCTCAAACTTTTCTTCAGAGGATTAACCAAACCGAATCAAAGCTTTACAAACAACTTGACGCGTGGCTACTTTAGACTATTATATCAAATGAACCGCTCTACTAGTTTCCATGATCGTTAGATTTAATTAGCATAACTAAACACAAACTTCAGGAAAAAATATGGGAAATATACCGATCCATGTTATTGACCTTGTAGTGACCTACTTTCAATGGAAACAACTATTATTATTATAACCAATTGCACCAGTGATTGTTTTACTGTACTTGTTTGTTCAACTGTACTAAAGACGTACATTCTTTCTTCCGTTGATTGTGACCTTGCACGCACTTACGTTTGCTCAGTGATTCCGCTTGTACTCCTTTGGCACGATCTCGGTATTCTTTCGATACCACGAGATCGCCAACAAATATATCTCGCCACAACTTCCGATGGCCTTCTGATATCTGGTACGCAACGTTCTTGTGGTGGTGATCATAGTCAACCGCGACTCGACGTCACACTGCAGATTCAGGCACTTCGTGCATGTATTATAATGACGCCTAAACTCAGTCACCTGTGATAAAATGTCAGATCTCATCTCATTGCGCATCGTTGAATATGAAACTAATACCTATTACTATTTGCATCAATTGAGAAGAAACCTGTCTCGTAATAGATCGATAAATACGTTCAGTTCCGCATTTATCATTCCCTTTTCTCCTTCATTGGTAACGGCGTTTGAGTTAATAGTGTCTACAATACATTCGATGATTTTGTGATTTGATAAAATCCGGTTGGTAATTTTGCTTGCTTCTTGCTTTTTGTTGTGATTCTGAGGATTTGATAATGCATAATGGGAAAAAGCCTGGTCACTCAGCTGCACATGTAATGGTTCAAATGTTTATTGGCGGAAAAGCTCTCGCTTAACGGGCTTTCGTATCTAATAGCAGCGGATCACCGATGCCTCCAGGTAGGAACCTAGGCTACCTGCCTAATTCAATTGAAAAATTGAGGAGAAAAGTGTCTACTATGGCTGCAAAGAAGGAGGGTAAGGGGGACTTAACTTAGAGTCTAATTTGGTCCATAAATTTGAGGACCTATGATGTCTGGACGAGACGCGAATGTGTTCTATCTTGCTAGTTCGGTGCACGCAAAGGCTTCGCCACACATATTTCAGAGGGAGGACTGTTCCATATCAATGCATACCTGGCGAGGAAAACGTTTTTCCGAGCTCAGGATCCATAGTTTTCAACTTTGGCCTTAGATACTTCATCTCAAAGGACGTGTTCATGTGGCCCTTGGGCAAGAACTATATAACATGTGGAGTGAGGTTAAAAAATTTAAAGCAATTAATCCCCTTTATAAACTTTGATAGATCAATGAGAAAACAGGGTCGATCTGAAAAATGTGATGCATTTGCGCTATTCATTTCGAACAATCTGGTCACATATATACTTGTCAGGGCATTTTATATGAAAATTAATAAAGGTCAATTAAACGAAAGTTCAAGTAAAAATATTAACAAAGGGGAGAGAAACTATTTCACATCGTATAGAAAGAATAAAAAAGTGCCGCGTTATCCTAGGCCATATAATGATCTAAGGATTACCAAGGTAAATTCAAGGTTACGACAGGTTGTTTTTGTACACAGAAGGGGGTTTAAATTTACGAATAGCCAAGGCTTAACCTAATCTAGAAGGTCTTACGCGTAACTTACATCATTGTTTATTTTGACTCGCCGTATTGTAACAACACGCGATATGGAATTTGGCGTTTGTAAACAGCACTCAGCTAGCGATAGAATAATATATTGCATGTGAGTAGAGAAAAGTTATACAAAAAGACTTCTACTGCAAGACTGAATCCAATACTCCCGCGTTAAATACTCTTAGTCTTCTATCTGTAGCGTGGAGTCGAGTCGAAATCGACTATGAACACCGCTACAGAGAAACACGTGCCGAATAAATCCATAAATCCATAAAGAACGTAACTGAATCCGAGCGAGATCAAAACCAAAGTGTAAGAAAAACGTATGCTTTTTACCACAGTTAAACAAAAGCACATTAAAGCAGTCACTGATACAATTGGTTATAATAATAAATGTTTTCAGTAAACCAGCCGCGTTCTCGTGATAAAAGTGAGTCTGTAGTGTCAGTTATTATGCCAAGCCCATATACCTTATTCTAGCTTTCGGACATCCCATTCGATTCATTCTACTTGAGTCATACTTTAACCTTGTTATTTATTCGCTTATCAATCTAGACTGTTTTTATATGAGCGTATATGTGTGTGCCCTTCTTATCCTATTAATCACATGTCTGTAGCTTTATTTTGTCTGACTATAAATATTGAGTAACGCTTGATTAAAATGGAGTTGGCTTCCCAGCCATCTTCCATACGTGTCAGTTTGCTTTGCTATGTTTCATTCGCTTCATGTACGAAATATATGTATTCTCAAGTCAATTCTCGTTATTCGACTTATTTAATTCCGTTATTGACTAACGCGATTTAAGTCGACGATGATATACGAGAATCAGCGATAGCAAACATCCATACGATCTAAATAGGAGTCAGATCCACGGGCCACCAAAATTCACAACATATCTGTGTTAAATGTTGAGTATCAATTTTCCTAGTTATCTATTTTTCAGCTTTGGGGGTTGTGTTGTTAAAACCAAGGACATCACAGATTTGTCCGTCCTGTCGTTCGCGTGAATGCTTTAGTCTCACATCGAAACGGATTCTGGATGTCCACAGCTATTATGCTATCAAGCGGGTAATCTGTTGTTTGTGACATCAAAAACAATGAGGGGAAAATTGTGGTCCTAAGAGGAATGGTGCGAAACTTAAGTACACAAGTTTATTAATCAACAAACTAAGCGCTGAGAAGACGAAAGTGTAAGGATGAACCGGTCGATGGAGGTGGGTGTAAACTGTAGAAAAGTAAGTCAGTGACTATGAGACTAGGTAATTTGCCAGGGAACTGTGGTCACTTGTGTTGAAAAGAACGATTTCTTTGTAGTTGATGAATGAGTTCGAATTCCAAATACAAAGCAGTCGTTCATGCTCATCTAGTACTTTTTGATTAAATTTCGTTTTCTTCTGAGATACCTGCTTTGAATTATAATTCAAATAAGTCTAGTCATCACACTGGCGTCGCGATGGGGCCTGAGATCGAACAGTCAGAGATTCATTCAATTTCTGAGGTATATGAAGATTATTTGGAAAGGTTTGATATATTGCGCACGACCAAGAATGATGTGGAAGTGATAAATTTGTGACACATTTCCTTACACTTATTGGTGAAGTCTACAAATTATTAAATATTTTAACATTTCCAGAAAAGGTATCTGACTTTCACATTCAAATCTTAAGGAACTACCACTAAATCATGTAAAGTTTACCGGTTTTGAACTTCGTGAGAGAGCGGACTTTCAAAAATTATTCGTCAGGATAACCAAAAGATCCGGGAATCCATCCTTGAATTGCAAAGAAAAACTGCCAAATGCAGTTTTAGCGCCCAACCTAATGTGCTGCTAAGGAATCGATTAATTGCAGGGATTAATATCCCAGGTCTGTAAAGAGGGTTGTTGAGAATGCCGAACTGTTTCTTTCAAGATGCTAGAACTATCTGTATTAACTAAGAAACAATGAATGAACTTGATATCCAGTCAACCAAAGTTTTTAATGCTCCGCTCAGTAGTCATGATGAAATACAATCTCAGGGTACATCAAACTTGCATCCGTTTAATGGTGATTTCTATTTTCATGAAAATATAAAAATTGATTCAACAATGACTTGGAAAGCGAACAACAAAGGTGAGATCAAGTTTGGTAAATGTTTATCCTGTGACAAATTTCATTTTCGTAATGCATGTGCATTTCGTAATGCTAAATGTTTTAAATATGGTAAGATAGAGCATATTCAGTCAGTATGCGGGACTACTGTTCATTTTGCTTCAAGTGGTACCAAACCTCGTAATTTAGATCCTATTAATTCGGATGTTCCTAATGATCATTAACCTTTATCCACCATTTCGAAAGGTGATGCTCACATTCAAAAGCGATTATATACATCCCTCGGTTTATTTCGTGAATATTGTGTACACATGCAGTATAGAGTTCATTATTTCATTCAAGAATTTGAAATCTTTAGATCCTAACGTTATTGTAAGACCCAGTGAAGTCTCAATATTGGGGATTACTGGACACAGACTGCCCATACCAGGATGCTGTGAATTGCAAATCAGAGATTATAATTCTTCATAGATGTCTTGTGAATTTTTAGTTAGCGAAACAGAAGTGTCAATACTGGGTTATAAAATTTTTTTAGTTGCGTGCGCTAAGTGAAGTGAAGGTATGAAAATTCAGCCTTTAAAATTTCAAGTACAGGGTGATCCAGTGTATCTTAAGAGACGAATAATTCATCATGGTCTTTGGGAAATAACGCACAGACATTGAATGATTTCTGTGCGAAAGGTATAATTAAAACTGTTCAGTCTTCAGTATGGGGTACTCCTATTGTTATGTAATTGAATTCGGATGACAAAACTCTACTTATCAAAGTTAGTAATGTGATTTTCTTGCACCCAGATAAAACTGAAAACGACTACAGGGGAAAAAGAAAAGGCCACAATATCCACTACGATTTATAGATATATTTGTGTAGGGATCAGACATAAATTATTTAGACCTGTGTTTGATATTATTGGAGAGGTTTTTGAAATATGCATCCCAACTACCCTCATACATAATTATCGGCCTAATGAGAATAAATGTTTAATAGGTATATTCCGTAGATTATTTGATCCGTAGAGACAACCAAAGAAACTAAGTGAAGAGGGCGAAGATGAGAGTGCGGAGCGAAGCGGAAAAGACAAGTGAACCAAATCTATTTGACCGACTTTGTCATCTGCATGAATGTACTGCTAATTACGTATATTATTTCCTCTACTTAAGCATTCTACTTGGGAAGCATACTGTAATTAAACTAATACAATAGTTTGTAGTTCATATTTGTAAAAATGACTTGTACCTGCCTTGGTAGAAATACATTATTATTTATCGTCGAACACATAAACTTACGGACACATAATAAATAATGAAAGCAATTAACATACATACACTCATACAAAAACAGTTAGGGTTATTAAGCGAACAGGGTCAAAATGTATCTTGAAAAGAATGTGTAACCAGGTCTACCGACACATGTAGGATCGATATAGTACTAGATAAAGCATTTTCGCATGTGCTAGTAGATCAAAACAAGCGACAACTTCATCAAGATTTCTTAAAAATACATGCAGTTTATCTACTATGCATAATTCTGAAGGACGACTACCCTATATTAGTGAATATGTAGAATAATTGTCCAATTCACTATTAGTACATTTATCTTCGTTATCATAATAGACCTAAGACCCAAATTGTAAATTTGACTAACTAATCTATAAGGCACATCATATATACTGACTCGCCCTACTGTGACAACTAGCAATAAGATGATTAGTTCTTCTGAACACCATATTCCAGTTGAGAATAAGATACTATATTTCATGTGGGAAGGTATGAGCTATATAGACTGACCACGGCTACAGGGCTGAATCAATCATTCCAATCAATTCTTCCTGTGGTGACAATCTCTGACCTTCTCTCCTTTAATGCTGGATGTGAATTTCATCAGTTCACTCTGGAAGATCGTGTGGTTGGAAAATAACATCAGTAAAATTGTCTCCTACTAGAATCAACGTAACGTCTTTTCGACACAAAGTCGAGTGGCATTATCACGCGCTTAAAGTCACCATGAGAATAACGCGAATATTCCAAGTAAACTCAAAGATAAATCAAAAAGACGGCAGCAAGTGATTAGGGAAATCACAGAATGTTTTAAAACTATTGTTTCAGTTCTTAACGTACTCAAAGTGAAATTCCACGTAGAGGTTATTTAGACGCTGAATAAAGTGGGACTAAAATTGAAGAATGAGTTAGTATAGAGATTCCTTAACAAGCCACGTTATGATGCATAGCAGTGACCATCCGTTAATAGTTCAACTCATGGGTCATCACCGTGCTCACAAATAGAAAAACAACCAATATTGCGGAAAGTATGATCTTTGGTTCAAGTGAAGATTAATTTAATATCGGTGTGCCGGCCGTATTTGTTGACATTTAACTTAAATCGCACCAGCAGGCTAACTGAAGGAACGGAAGTATAACCACGGAGAGGAAGAATTTCAAATAATATCCCGGTTATTTTAATTACGGAGGTATTTTGTCTACTTCGTGAATGCTTAACCATGATAGGAATTAGTGTTACTACTAATACACATGGACTGTCTTTCTAAAGGCATGCTTCATGAGAATTTATTATTTTCGAGTTTCTATTTTTTTTCATTCTGACTGTAGATACTCTATCGTGAAATACATATATATGTTTTGAGGGGTGGACTACATTACCGGATGAATGAGCAGGTTAGTGCAGTAGTTCAGAGTAAATAACGGGATTGGACCTAGACGTTCTTTCCTAGACAAGTCCCAGGGCTCAGCATTAAAGGTGATATTCAATGATTGGGTCAGTTCAGATAACTTGCCAGTGAAATGCCGTCTCATTATTTCCAACTTCAACATACAAGTCAAGTTAAATAACCCCGCAAAAATTGAACATAGAATACCGCAAAAGAGAATTGTTTGTTTGTTCATTTATCGTTCTACAATCAATCCTCTACTTGACACAAAAATGAACACATTTAGCCTATGAAGCTGGAATGTTAGAAGTCACGTAGATTGTATACATACATCGAGAACGAAAGTTTGGCGCTTGTTGATAATTTCCGTTGCATCTGAGTATACTCCTGCTTCATATAAAGGACAAAAAACCTGTTAGGAGTAGTAATCTTATTTCATGACACTGAAGGCTTGTAGACATTTCGCAGTTTATTACTTATTGATCGGTTGTGCTTCAAAATTAGTGATAACAAACTTTAGGTCATAGCAAGTTCTTGCGTTGAAGAAGCTTACACTTAGGTTGAATACCAATAATTTGTTTAGCAACCACCAGGAATTTAAGGCTGACCGTCTTGTGCCCCGGCAAAATCGACTGAGAGAGCAGTCCAGTTGACGGCATGGAGCAGAACTATCGTTTACAGCGAGTCGAAAAGCACATAATACTGACTGACGTGGGAAAATCCCTGAATTTATAGCTGGCAGAATTGTGCCTCATGATGTGTCAGTTTAACACTAAGGTTGCCGAATAAAATGCACAAATCCTCATTTACAAATATGCAACACTATCCTTTGGGGAGTTAATCCATTTCTTAGCCAATGGAATACACTTATCCTTCAGGTCATTGATTAGGCTCAACATATCAGAGTGGTAACCGCTTTTGAACTCAATATTGAGAAGTGATTGCAATAGTGTCCTAGGACATGCTAACAATTGGTTTGATATAAAATATACTTCTACATAATATTGGTTGAATTCACCTACGACGATTAACTTACAATACATACTTTTAGTTAACGGTCACGTGAGCAAGTTCAAATCGAATAAAGTGTACCATTATAAGTCATCTCATCTATCCACTTCAACAGTTTTCAAACTGCGTACCATTATCAAATACGTGGGAAAAATTCATAACAATCGAGACAGAGGTGAGGTGCAAGGCGCTAAATTTAGAGCTCAAATAAACTTGAAACGATTCCAATAGCACGATACACCGATAACTAGAGAGAAGTGAACCTAATAATGAACAAATCAGATTTGTCCATTATACATAACTACAGTTAGTGTGTATAAAAAAATGCGACGAGAAACAATGATTACACAACAAATGAATGTATTAGTTTATAATATAAGTGCATATGATGATAAGCATGAATCAGGTATGAAAATACAATGAATACAACAGTATGAGCGAACAGTACAGTGAAAATAACATGTGTACGTATATATATATAGCATGCAGATAAGGAGACCGTAGAATGGAGCAACGATATATGACAAGGCAACATGTTTGCTGTTGTTAATATAGATATAAAAACAAAAAGCAATAACATACTCCCGAAGATATCGTGGTACAACAACAGCGTATGACCAGTTGGCATTATTAAACAAAGCGTTAGTGAAATAAAGTGAATAGTCAAGCAGACAGCATATAGAAGAAAAAAACTATATAACTTGTTTTGTTAGCACAAAAGAACAAAGAATTAGTAAAATGCAGTTATAAAATTGATATTAATTAGAAAGTTAATACAATTAGGGAAAACAAAGAATAATGTAGGTCATCTATCTTCAATAGAGCACATTTCACATGAGATGACATTTCTGTGTTAATGAGAAGAAACAAAAACAAAAAAAACAATGTAGATCGATAATAGACAATAAGTAAAGTTGGTTTATAACAGTTCAAGTGACAATACCAGTGCTGACAATGACTAAACATAAGAGATATTTTACGCTAATAAAGTATCCACCAAGCACTAAATTAAAGCGATTTCATCTTAGGAGCCTAAAATCGTAAATTAATAATAAACTTCTTTACTAAATATGTACTCGGTTTATAACCATATATTATGAAGATACTACCCGGCTGCTTAAATAAATTAGGTGGGATAGTGTTTAGAACTATGATCTATTAACCAAAACATGTTGAGTACTGTAAACATTAAAGCCCTGCTCCACCATTCTAAGTAAACGTAGTGAGGTGCATAGATATGATTATAAATGTATCTTCGACCGATAGGCCACTGCGAAAACATGAGTTACTTCGGAAAAAAAAGAAACTACCTTGATGTAAGGCAATAAATAACTTGAAATCGATTAGATTAAATGCCCTGGTACGACGGAGAGTAATGAGAATTAGCTATCTTTTTCGAATTGTTCTCACATGGCCACATACATACAATCACTGCCACGAAAGCCCTACCCACAGCCTTCTCGCAACAGTATGTTGTTCACGAAATTGAGAGGACGAATAGCGAATGTACAGAGCTTTAACCATGTTGGTGGACTTGGAGAGTTCACTTAGGGGAGTTGGGAAACCTGATTCCAAACCAATGGTGCACATGGGCTCCAGGATCCCAAGGAAACAAAGGCGTATGAAACAATTGTTAGTCACCGGTTACCATGGGACTGCATCTCCTTCTGTTGCTCCACTCCCTTGTGGATCAGACCTTTAGGTTAAAGGCTCTGGGTGTGGTCCCCTAAAAAAACCACCTGTCTCGGTTTGGGCACCTCGTGTAGTATCCCAGTCTTCACACAAATCGAATGATTTATGTGGCGCATATCTATTTCATGCCTCCTTGTACAATGTTTATGTGATTAAATAATAAATAATAATAATAGGGATAGGTAATCAAGTACCTATGGTGCATGCATATCCAGAAACTTAACAATATAGGAAGAAATCAACGCGGATTCTTAAAGGTTATACAATAAATCCAAGAAAGTTGTGATATAAAATGTTGTAAAATATATGGACAACGAAACTATAGTTTACTGATATTTAACACGACTATACTACTGATTTGAAATCGGTTTCATTAAACTCGATAATCATGTTCTAAAGCATGACACATATAATATTATTTAGATTTAAGATAAGATATATGTATTCGAATAATGATAACCTATATTAATTAACCATTTTGACAACAATCATAATTACAATATAATTAATTATCAACTGAAATTAAACCCAATTAGTATACTAACCTCATCATGAGCACGAACACCGGATTTACGATCAAAATTAACTCCAGGACGAATTTTTTCTCGTTTAACTGTGCATTTGGCTTGTTCCTTAAATGAAAATGATACAATTAGATATTTATATATATAAATGTCTCAATCTAACCACAAAGATATTTAATACTACATAAAGCAAAGAGTGATAGTTTTTAATGTCCAGTTACAATTAAATGATTAAAATTTCTTCTTATTCTTTGTACATTTACCTTAATCAAGGTTCCGAGAAGATTGACAATAAAGGCAACAAGATATGACTAAATGAATAAACATTTGAATATATAGAAGAAATATATGGAATGATACAGAATTCATAATAAATATGATGGGTTTAAGTAAAATTATTTCTAGATTTCTTGCTTCTTTTTGTGATAAAAGACACCAGAAATTATCGTTTACAAAAATTGAATTGATTCTAGTTATGGTTTAGTAATAGGAAAAAAGTGAATTCGGTGGTAATTAGTCTTATCTTTATTTATTATATAGCAAGACTGTAAGTATTTCGGATGAACTAGTGATTAAGCTTCCTAGTACGGCAGTGTGAAATATTTGCCAAAATAGATATTATCAGTTGGCAATCGATGTACAACATATACTTTGAACCAACTGAATATGGTGATAGGTGGAGTATATAACGTGTCAGTAAACAGTTCTGCTTCATGTTCGTAAAACCTAACTCATCCATGTGGAAGATATTCAGTGACTCTTTGTTAGACTATTGCTGTCCTTGTAGACAATCAAACATCTAACGAAATCGTTGAGGTTCGGTATTTTATTCAACTAATTTAATCAATCAATTTAAAAATATAAAAACATCGACTTTCAGAGCTTGGAAATGTATTACGAATACCATCCCAGTAATTCAGACCTTGCACAAATTCCCAACATTGTAACTAATTAGGCAACGTATAGAAGTAGTCGGGCTGTGACAGTGTTACAAAAAAGCTGTACGGAGATGTGTTCGGTCGACTTAGTATACCTTTTGTAAGGATCCTGGAGATAGTATAGTTTAGTGACGAGATGTTATCAAACACAGTCCAAAACAAATGCCAGTGAAAATTCAGCTGTACTTTCGCCATACATTATTCATAGAAGTGGGAACTACTTTAACTGAAATATCTTTATTGGTTGTGTATTTTTAACTGGACTGTTTTTCATGTTACTTACTATTTATAACCACATTTCTATTTTATTGATTGTAGGACCAGGCACACATATACATCGGTCCAAGTTACCACACCTCATTAGCACAACAAGATGAACACCGGATTCATAGAAGTAGTTAATTCAATGGTGGTAATATATAAAAGAAAGATTTTGCATATAACAATATAGTACAAAAAGGAAGAGTTAGTTCGTAGAAAGAAAGATATGAAGCAATTTTTATCTCATATTTTAAGAGAAGACAGAGAGTGTATACACCGACGCCATTGTGATCGATTCTGAGTGGTTACCCAGTCTCCACCCATTGGTTACGATAGTCACGTGGACCCCAACCAAGTAGTTTGCATCTACCAACATGGCTTAGACTAGAAGTTAATGACTCCATGCACTGACGCCACGTTTAGGTTTGGCCGCCGCTAACTTCCTTCCAACCATTTTCAACACTAGTCAGCATTGCACGTCGTAGTAATCGATGTTCAGACATACGTAGCATGTGGCCAAACCATCTCGGTTGATGAAGATCCACAAACTCATCAATTGATTTACCAACCTTCATAATATTATGTCTATTTTGTGTGGCAAATATACTTTTCTGGATATCTAGTCGTAAGAGAATTTGTGTATTAAATAAAATAAATAATAGTAATGCTTTAAATGGAATTCAGTTTAATGTAAAAATTTGATTTCAATCAATCACAACAGTATAAAGGAATAATGTTGATTTATTTTGGTAATAAAATGTAAAAGGCGAGACTATAATTTATGGGCGAACCAATCAGATATAAGATAACGAGTCACGAGTTTGGGCGCGGAATTCACTTATACATTTCGCTAAATATAGTTTTGGCATTATAGCTGATGTCATTTTGTAATGAAAACCCTAAATCTAATTTTTAACCCTAAGCATCAACTGTAAATGAGAATTCCAATTGCTTCATAATCCTCATTTAGTTCTATTCAGTAGTTGTTCACTCTCAAGGTCACTTCAGCGTTGCTCAAAAATCATAGTCTCGTCAATAAAAGATGAACATTGGTCTATTCAACTTCCGATAAATGAATAAAAAATTAAATAAGAATATCTACTGAAACCAAAATAAAATGTTTGACCCATTAATTAGTGCATTTTTTAGTCATAGCAACAACAAGAAACCAAAAAGGGTTCACAATATGGTGTTTAGATATATTGAAACAGGAACATACATGTTTACTTTTAAAATAAATAAAAATCAATTGGACAGTAACAGGAATGAACATGTTTCACTATTTAAACAAAATTACTTTATAATTTTATAGATTAAATAAAAATAATAGTAAATATTGACTGATAGAATGATAATTTATAAACAAAAAAAACTTACTTCACCATCTGCATCAAGTAATAGAATTGTGACATCAGTGCCAGGATGAAAACTTTTATTCTTCATAGTTAAATCAGCAGGAGGATTGTGTGAATTGCCTTCAGCATCTTGACTCCAAATCTTAATAAAGTAAAAGAAGAAAAGGAATTTAGGAAAACAAGAAACAAATATTTTTATATAGATTATTAAGTATTTTTGAAGAACTTATTATCCAAGAAAAACACATCAATTATCACTCCTAATGTACATTTGTCAGTTTTCTATAACTAAGGTGGCTTACTTCAATATCTCAGCTACTTATATTGACATAAGTAGTATATAACATGAGTCAGGAATGTAATGTCTGGCAGCAGAAGATTGGGAAGATCAAGAAAGGAAGAACAGGAATAGAAACCAATTAGTATAGAAATGCAAGAACAATGAAGTCCTAGACAATTACTGAACATTTTGTAAATTAAGTATTATAGCATGGTTTTTCTATTTTACCACGTAACTCTGTAATGTTGTGCTAAATATAATCCGGTTGTCCTCACCTGTATTCTCCTTCACTACAGTTGTTCCTGTCATCTAGACATTTTAACAAGTTATCTGTTTTTGTTTGTTTGTTTGTTTTAACATATCATTGTGTCTGTTAATCACATAACCTATTCAGTTGCATTTATGACCCTTCGTTATATAAGTTACAAAAAAGCCCAACCAGAGACATCGTGGTAGCTAGTAGGCAATAACATATTGAAAAGAATGAACATGAATTAGAAGTCGATTCCTGAGTTGTTAACACCTAACTGAGGATCACTCAATATTTATCATCAACATCGATCAAGAAATAAGAAAAAGAAACTTCCCAAGCTCCCAACTTTGGGGAAATAGCACTAAAACCCGAAAATTCCCCTTTAACCTTGGTCAAGGTCATTTGACTTCGGGAGTTTACCCAAAATTGGGAGCTCGGGTTGTTGAAATACTTTGTGTTGAGTATTCTATTCTATACCAAAGATATAATAATGAATAAAGCTAGTAATAATAATAATAATAAACAAGAAATAAAAAGTTGATATTTTAATTCAAATTCAGTGTTGTAAGATATCCGAGAAGTAAAACCTAAACACGAAAATCAACTTACTGTGCATAATGCTCCAGGTTTTAAGGAGAAAGCCCGTGAAAATTTGAAACGAGTCTCGTGACCATCAGCTTCATGAACAAGTTCCCATCCACCTAAATTCATTTCCTAATAAAAACAAAAATGATCAATAAAACTCACATTTAAATTTGATAGTAAATAGTAAACTGGCTAGAATAACTAACCATGAAAACAGAAAAGAATCAAGAATGTACTCAGGGATTTGAAGATGATTGATAATTCCACTTACAATAACCTACGACCTCATGGGGCTCGTTTGCCATACGTGTATGGTTTACCAAAGATACATAAAAAAACGTGTTCCTATTAGACCTATTTTGTCAATGGTCAATTCACCCTATCACAGTGTTGCACGATGATTAGCGATCAAGTTGAAACCAGTTCGTCAACGACTAACCATGTACACATTAAAAGATTCATTCATCCACACGTCATTAGTACAGAACAGAAAGGAGCCTACATCAGATTCAAAGAACATACCCTAGAAAAGCATTTAGCAGTGCCATCTCACGACATCCAGATACAGGATATCAAGTCGACACACTGTCCTTCAAAGTGGTCATTAAACAACCAATCTTTTGAAATTTGCCGCAACCATAGTGACCAAACGTCTGAAAACTAGATTCATATGTCCAAAAAAACAGTAATAAGTCCTTACTTGCCCTGGGAACATTACATCCTTTTTATTGCATTATTCATTATTTCAAATCTTTCTCAAGTTTGATTACATCATTGTCATTTTTATTTAGTTTATAATTGACTGATTTCAAATTACATCTTGCATTATTACCATTAATCTGTTTTCAATTACATCATTACACAATCATCTTTATAAATCAATTTTACCTCTCAAAATGTTATTATGAAGCTGAGAGTTTATAATCTCTTGAAGGTTAGTCTAACTCATTGAAATATGAGCGGATAACAATCGCTTAAAATACGTTGATGAACATGGCAGGTTTATGAATATGAGCCTGAAAATATCAATTTCAAAACAATGATATAATTGAACTTCATGACAAGGGGAGGAAGGCGTGTATACTTAATTCGGTCGCCAGATACCATTACATTTTTATAATATTATTCCTGCATTGCTTCGTTAATTAGATCCTCAGTTCAGGAACTTGAAACGTGGGGACGTCAATTAAACAATGTACTTCAATTTGAGTGTCTCCTTTTAATCTATGCAGATTAAGGAACAGCAAAGTTTCTCTAGAATTCTAGGAAATCTACCTAACAAAGTTTTCTTCATCTCAAAGACTGGTATTGCAGATTTTGTCTTTCGATTTGAAGAGAATGTTTTGTGTACCTACCTACTTGAGGACACTACGGAATCGGTGTCTGACTTTACAAACGGTATAAAAAACAAGATAACAGTGGTTAAATGAATTTTCGCTGAAAGTCTTTAATGTCGCTACTAGATTAAAAGATCTGCATAGCACATTAAACATAAGGATTTGAAAATGAAATCTTCAAAAACTTCACAATGTGACTCAAAGATTAGTACATGACGCCGTACCTAGCGAGTGAGTTCAACTATCTACTTAGTCAGGAAAGGAATGTGGCTTGTACGCAATGGAGTATGAGTTACATGGTTGAATAAACGTTCTAACAAAAAGCGTTGAACAGATATTGACAGATCAGAAATCCAAGTATGGGAGATGGTCAACTGAGTTGGAAATGATTATTCGGGGAGTGGTCTGACGAAAATTCAGCAAACCGTTTTTAGTTATGAAAATATCGAAACAAAGTCACACTTTTTATCTGCCTTTGCTGTTTAATTACACATAGTAATTGCACGAAGTCACGCATTCATTAAGGCGTAAAATTCACTGTGAAGTTTGACTGCTGAGTCAACAAGGTGGTTAGTGCACTTTCGTTTTCGCGCATAACACCGATTGAGGTTTCACTAAGTATGGACCATCTTTATGTGAGATCCTTATTTTTACTGCATACAAACACGCGATAGATTTACACTATCGTAATCAAGTTTAAATCGCTGGCAGATATCAAGTTCACTTTCAAGACGACGGTTTTAATTTATCCTTTCTTTTTAGTCATAACAGGTAAGCTTTTATGCACCAAAATTTACCCAAAAACTACCGATAATTAGTCAAGCGATACTGAAAGTCTGTTTCGTCGTAATACGCGTCTATAAAGCGTTAAACGAAGCTGATTTCTGTCAAGACTAAACCTAAAATGATCTGCTACTGATAGCAAAAACGCAGTAATGAGGAACACTTGAATGTTATTGAAAAAAATGTAGCTCATTTTACGTAAGTGGTCAGAAACATATTAATTATGTTCACGGAAGGATTTTGAGCCCGTAGTCTGACGTAAAAAAACGCGGTTTCATGATTTGAACCCTTAGAGAGCTAAATGGTTTTCAAGAGTGAAATATAACTCTAAACGTATCTTGAGACGTTAAAACACAAGTTGACGTAAACATAGTATAGTATATGAAATTCCTAATCATTATTTTTAGTGATTATTTAGATTCATACTACTTTTTCTCTCTGAAAATTCCTGTTTAAGATCACAAGTTAGTCTTACATCATTTGAAGAGTTATGTATTTTGATCCACTTGCCATGGGTATCTTGTTCCTTGAAAAATTCTACAGGTCCACGTGCAGTCGATGACACTCGGTAGGCAAATCTTGTTCGGGATGAACTGTAACTGGCTCCAGTTAGACTGGCATTCGACTCGTCACCCTCAAAATCTCCATCTACACGCCTGCGTTTGACCGGTATGTTGAACGGTGAGTCACGGGGAGCCGGTGTCAGGTTGAGTCTGTAAGACAATATTAAATTTGATATACTCCAGTAACCGACAATATTCACTGATGTGGTTTTTATATAATGCTAATGACAGAAATGTTGTTAGATGGAGTGAGAAAAACTAATAATAACTTTCCAAAGCTATTATATAGAATAATACTGGAACAAATAGTTATTAACAAGGTAGGACCTTGTACGTTGATTTGAGTTATCACATCTTATATAAACAAAGCAAAACTGTAAAGGACTGAGAATAATAATACCAGCAACAATGTAATGTTATTATCACTACCCTTCACAGTCACTTTGTGAATACTACTAAGAACATCTCTATATTATGGGTTTCGTTTGATCATTAGTTACTTAATGAGTTTTGATGTGATCTCTTGATCCACTTACCTAACTTTAAACATTAGTCAGTTACATGTAAGATCTGGGATATGCATATTGGTTCAATTCGCCGTACTACATCAGCGCAGCGAGATGTCAGAGTAGAAGTTACGATACCAATAACAGTAGGAAAGGTCAACCATAGACAATATGGATCGAGAAAAAAGTATGAGATTACTTTGAAACTCGTGGTTTAAGGAAAGCCAAAAAGTGGATGCATCTGTGTCATTAGATGCGATCATGAGCAATACTCTAATTTGAGTATACAACGAGTAGGGTTGCTTGATGCTTGAATATGTTCGCATATCCGATTGAAGATGTGATATAGAAGGCTCGACTAGCTTTTGCCAACTTGCGTCACTTATAGCGTAGGCGAGATATCCGTCTACCAACCAAAGGACGGGTTTACTGTGCAGCAGTTCGTTCCGCCCTTTTTAATGGCAGTGAAACATGGCTGGTAAGAGTAGAGAATATCCGTAGGTTACTAGTGTTCGATCATAGGTGTCTTCGAAGCATTATTCGTCTATCCTGGGACCACTGAGTAAGTAATGCAGTTTTTAGGAAACGGGTACTAGGTAAGCATAGCAAATCACTTGATCAAGTAGTGAAACTTCATTAGTCGAGATGGCTGGGACATGTGTTACATATGCCCAACCGCCGACTGCCCCGATGAGCGATGTTTTATTGTGTATGGTATGAATAGGTTGGAAGAAAGCTAGGGGCGACCAGACCAAAACATGGCACAAGTCCATGAAGTCACTGACAAGTGAACTGAGCCATGTTGGTAGGTGTAGACTACCTGGTTGGGGACCGCGAGATGATAGCAACCGATGGTTAGAGACGTTGAAGGACACGGCTCAAAATCGTTTGCAATGGCGCAGGTGCATACACTCTTTGTGTTCTCCCAAATTCTAATCTTCTGAATTCTTTATGTCCCTTTCTTTTTCCTCTTCCCAAATTTATTTCACTGGATTATATTCCTTGAATAACATCTTCAAACCCTAATCTTCCCGACTACTGCTTATACTCTTACTACCTCTACCACTATGGGATTTGAATCGACCACTGCATCTCTGTGCTAATGTGGTATGGCAACTTAAGCTGATGTACGTACGTACGAAGTTTCACGTTGAACGATTAACTGACTGACTGACTGACTGACTGTGGTTTACTGATTATGTAACTCAATTGCAAACTATTGAATCTCAAGTCTACCATTGTCTGAATCTATTATGGTCTGAGTAGTATCAACGTAAAACAATAAGACCCGAAACAAATATTCATTGATTCATGTTACCATAATTTAAACCACGATATCGGTAGGAATTGGCAAAATAACAGTGGCGTTGATAGTAACATTTCAGTATGGAGAATGTAGTTTGCACAAACCAAATGAAATCGATTAGTAAAAAGCGTGACAGCGTTAAGTTTCAAAGAAACTACGAATAATGAATGTATTTGCTCCACTACAGTCAGTTTTCAATCAAGTCATATAAACGTCTCGAGCACTGGTTCAAAGGATAATCACGCAGACCATAATACAAAAATCTACAATTCCTAACACAGTTCAAGTTAAGAGTGATTTCATGCAAAGATGACAAGTTTTAGTTTGACAGAGAACAATCTTTACAAAACTTGCTTTCATATCAACCAACAAGGAACGACAATGTAAACGGTGTTAGACAATGTGTAATACATATTGATGAGGTTTATTAACTTAATCAATTAATATACCATCTTGGCTGGTTACTCTGTCTAACCACACCAGTACTCACTTCGGGACACAAATCATCAGATACATCTAACCGAGCTATGCTTCACACATACAACGATCACCCTTTGTCTTTTTAAGGTGATAATTAATTCATCGTAAAGCAAATTTGCCCTTTGTGAAGAACAAACCATCATATCATGTGCGGGAGGGGTGTAAACAACCTCCTTGTCGGCATTTTTTCACAACAATCATGAGTAATATTCGATGTTATCAACGAAAATCAGTAGTGATGGAGATAATGCTTTCATTTTTAACTTTTCTTTGATCTCAATATTAATCTATTACTCTTATTCTACCATCTAAAATGTTTCCTTTAAACAACACCCCAGTTTAACTTTGCAATATTAACGTATATAATCTCAAACAGTTATGATGAGGGATAGGGACTTCGACAGAGGCACATTTATATGAGGACTTATGTCACATAATTGACTGACCACTAATTTACCAATAATCTCTGGTTTTTAAAAACTCAGAAATAGAAATTTCTGGATTTATAGTTTGAGGAAAGTTATTGCTACCACTTACCTTGATTCTTCACCCTCTAACATTTTCGATACATCAGTATTTCTTGATCTAACGCAATTTTTGTATTCATGAGGTCGGTAAATTCACGGAAACTTTCTTCCAATTCTTCTTTAATCTGTTTACTTCTTGGCGTTGGAAAAGAAGTTGCGATTCAAAATCTTTCCGTTCATCAGTTAACTGCCGCTCAAGATCTGCTACTCGTCGTTGAAGCAATTCCAGCTCAGCGATTTTCTTGGATAAATCGTGGGAAAGTTCATCAGCACGTTTGCGAGCTATCAACAGCTCAGATCGCTGGCGACTAGCATCTTCTGCACTAAAATTAGCTGATGACTTCAACTGTCCCAGTTTGCTCTATAACAGAAAAAAGTTAAGAAGCATGCATGCTGAAATTTCTAGTTTGAATAAATCATCTACTAGTCAATAAGCCGAAAATATTTGCTGGCAGAAATTTATTGAATTGGTGAGATATTAGGACGTACAAGCACATAATTAGAACGACTCGAGCTCGGACGGATTTTACGCTATTCCACTGTTGCTCTAATATAATCATCACTCACTTTATTAATTAAACAGAAAATAAGACTTGTGTCTGAATGACACTCAGTTTTTGATTTCCGTCCCGACTGTAGCTGCTACCTTGACGTGGTGGTTGGGCTTGCCTATCGTGATGACCCAACCGAGCTATATTGTCTGGAACATATGTTCCAGTATGTTCTATCATGCCAGGCAGGTTGATTGGAGAACGGTAAGACTAAAGGAAGGAACTCAAAGTCTAAGGTCGAAGTCGTACTACTGACTGTAGAGGGGTATGACAGCAGTAAGGTGTTGCCCTGGTATGGCAACTTAAACTGGTGTATGTACGCACGAAGTTCCACGTTGGACTGATTGACTGACTTTTGGTTCCGTATAAAACATTTGTTAGTGAACTAGGTTAAAAGGAATGCACCTGAAACAGTAGAAACATCGCGTTGAACCATATTACTTACCATCAGTGAGGTTGGTCAAAACTAGTGTTTTAAAAAACGAAATGTCTTAAAATGTACAAATCAATTGATCAAGAACTTGGGTACAAGCTAAAACACAGTGAGGGTTAATGACACTACCTGATTACCTAAAACGAAGTACGCTAGGTGAGATTCACACCTGGGACTCAGTGACTGAAAGTAGAACACTCTAACTATTAAGTCACTGCGATGAGACTATAATCTATGAACGACCTTTGAGCAATGCCAAAGTGACTTTGGAATGCTCACCTTACTAATAGGGTTGTATATTAGTGCGGTGAACTAGGATCGATATTTACAGCTGAACGTCAGGGTTAGGAATTAGACTCAACGTTTTCACCACAAACTGACATCAACTATAATGCCAAAATGGTATTTAGCCAAACGAGTGATTGAATTTTGCGCCAAAATCCAAGATCTGTTATCTTAAATCTAATTGGTTTGTCTATAAATTATAGTATTGTCAGTCACTGCTCCAAGTTGGCAGTGAGATGTGGATAAAAATTTAGGTCGGGAAGAAACAGGTTAGTGAACTATACTTCGCGAATAAACTACACAATGATGAAAATAAATAATTTCCTCAAAATCAAGAAGAATAACTTGAAATTGGGATTATTCAGTAAAGAATTAATAACTTCTTAGTAATCCAACATTTCTGTATACATTTCGCTTTGAAAACTACTATATATATATATATATATATATATATATATATATATATATATATATATATAGCACCGTTTATAAAAAGAAATAACGAGTAGAATAGGGCTTGAACATGACAGCATTGTTATTTGGAGCCAAAACTAATAGTTAATACGAAATAGCAGCCCTCAAAATTCACTCATACATAATAAATTGTATGAAGTCTAATTGAAATCCTACATGAATTTTGGCATCATAGCTTATTGTTTATGTTGTCGTGGATTTAGAAACCTGACCACGAATTTCGCAATATGTAAACAATTCATCTGGACAGTTGTCAGTAGCAATAAGTCAAGTGCTGTTACTATAAACAAACAAGACTTTCACCGTGGGAAATGTCTACTAAACATCACTGTCCTCTCGCACCATGGGTGTTGTTTACGAAAATGAGAGGATGAAAAGCGAATGCCCAGTCGTTAGTCACCGGCTTCCATGGGACTGCATCTCCTTACGATGCTCCACTGCCTTGTGGATTAGACCTTCAAGCCGAAGGCTACGGGTGTGGTCCCCCAAGGAAACCACGTGCTTCAGTTTGGGCACTCAGGCAGCATCACAGCCCTCACACATATCGAATGAGATTTGTGTGGCGCATATGTATTTGGTGCCTCGTTGTACCAATATCTATGTGTTCAAATAAATAAATAAATAAATAAACAACACATTTATTCATATACCTCAAACGTTTCTTCCATTTGTATTTTGTACTCTTCTAATTCAGAAGCGGTTTGGTCTCTAATTGATCTTAGCTCCTCTGTTAATCGACTTTCGTATTCAGCTTGTTTGCGTCCTTCGACCTCTTCTTCAATGTATAAACTGCGTTCAACTAACTTTTCACGTTCCTGGGAGAGATTTACAAATAAGGCGGACTTACTTCATCGAATAACCGAGAACGGAAATCTAACTGCTCTTTAAGACCGAGGATTTTGTTTTCCAAATCAGTCCGAAGTAGTGTCTCGGCCTCAAGGTCTCGTTTCATTTCTTCGAACCGTTTTTCTAAAACATGGTAGTCACTAAGAAGAGGCTGTGAGATAAGATTTTAAAATTATTACAATCTACCTGGTAAGCATCATGATCTTGTTTATATTTACTCAGTTCCCTTTCAAGATTTTCTATCTTTCTCTGTAAATTACGATTCTCTTGATCTCGTTTGTTCGCCTTCATCTTTACGTCGTTCAACTCATCTCTCATTTGCTTGGAATCTAGCTCGGCTTTTGACTTTTGTTTAGCCAGATCATCAACCAAATTTCTTAAGGCTGTAATCTCATCTTCATATGTTTTCCTGGCTTCCTCAACTTTACTCTGCAAGAATTGTTCTTGAATATATAGCTAGTTACCATTCGTTCTTCTGTAACGGTCTGTATACGTCTAGTAAGCTTTTGTTTATCAAGCTCCAGTTTTCGAACGTAGTCGATGTAGCCCGCAAGGCGATCATTCAGATGGGCAAGTTCATCTTTTTCTTCAGATCGACTAATAGTCAAAGGGCTACTAGATCTTTCACTGCGAGAATAACTTTTGCGAGGACTCCCACTTGATGATGTATGGCTGCGTTCAATCGTAACGGATCGAGAGAACGATGTCGGACTACTTTCGTTTTTCTCAGATTCCGCAGCTTTTTGTTTTCTGGCTCGAGCGGACATGTCACTAACTATGAAATTCGTTGTAATGCAAAGTAAAGTTAGTGATCAACTTTGTAGAAACGATAAAAACTTATTCAATTCAACAGAAAGACGACTAACTATTGTAAGATAATCTAACGAAGTTTAGTCTACTCTTATTTTCGGGTAGTTATATGTTTATAGTATTATGGAGTTATCTAAGGATATACTTTAATCTTGAATATTTGAAAGTCATTTGATGATCAAATTTCATATGTACAGAAAACATGATAAACCCCCGTTTTTATGAGAGCAGTACTAATTGGCTGCTAAACAGAACCGAGAGATAAAAGTGACCTAATATCAAGTAATATTGGGACTAACACTAAATACGGAAACCACTGATATTCAAGAACAATTTATACGTTGAGCTATTTTTAGAAGTTATGAATGACAGAGATACGTTAGATGTGACTACCAGACAAAACGCACTGAACATCGTCAAAGTATATTCACTGAGTACGGCTTCTGCACTTGTATAGGTCACTTTGCGGAAATTGTAATATAATGATTTACTAAGTGAACTTTTCTTTAATATGAAGTCCGGGCGAGACTCTAATTTAGGGACGAGCCAATCAGAAGCGTTTGAGCAATTTCAAGGTCACGGAGCCAAGTTCAACAGGCGCTGCTAACATACGATCGGTTCACAGCGGATTTTAGAGAGTAGGTGATTAATGAGAGGTTACAACAGATGGGACGGCGAAACTCTATTTTAGGGACGAGCCAATGAGAAGCGGTTGAGCAATTTCAATTATTAGCCAATCAGAAGACAGTATAAAGCAAAAATATATTACAAGAAAGTAATGAATTACAGTGGATATTCTTCTTTTACATGATTTAAAAACCTGTTGAGGTTTGATAAAGACTCAGAAGTTCTGAATTCATAATGCATATTGTATAGAAACTCGTCCATAGGGTTAGGGTTTGGGGTTAAAATTAGGGTTAAGGGTTAGGGTTTAGGGTTGGGGTTAGATTAGGATTTAGGGTTAGGTTAAGGTTAGGGTTAGATTAGGGTTTAGGGTTAGGTTAAGGTTAGGGTTAGATTAGGATTTAGGGTTAGGTTAAGGTTAGGGTTAGATTAGGGTTTAGTGTTAAGGTTAGGGTTAGGTTAGGATTTAGGGTTAGGTTAAGATTAGGGTTAGGTTAAGGTTAGGGTTAGATTAGGGTTTAGGGTTAGGTTAGGGTTAGATTAGGATTTAGGGTTAGGTTAAGGTCAGGGTTAGATTAGGGTTTAGTGTTAAGGTTAGGGTTAGATTAGGATTTAGGGTTAGGTTAAGATTAGGGTTAGGTTAGGGTTAGGTTAAGGTTAGGGTTAGATTAGGGTTAGGTTAAGGTTAGGGTTAGGTTAGGGTTAGGTTAGGATTAGGGTGCTAACATGCGATCGGTTTACATCGGATTTTAGAGATGTATCTACTTACAGGCTACAACCCTAACCACTAACCCTATGGACGAGTTTCTATACAATATGCATTATGAATTCAGAGCCTCTGAACCTTTATCAGACCTTAACAAGTTTTTAAATCATGTAAAAGAAGAATATCCACTGTAATTCATTACTTACAATATATTCTCACTTTATACTAACTGTCTTCTGATTGGCTAATAATTGTCAAGGTCACTTAAAATTCGTTCAAAGGTCGTCCTTAAATTAGAGTCTCGCCGAAGTCCGTAAAGAAACTCAGTAATAACGTTTAGGTTAGTAAACTTAGCTTTGAGTCAAATCACAGAGAACTATTGGTTTTATAAGATTCAACAGGATTCGTTGAAATGTTAGATACGAAAACGTATGATCCATAAAGTACTGTGAAGGACCAAGTGCAGTCAATAAAATAGAAATGTTGGTAAAAAAAATCCGCAACATGAGAAATAGTTCAGTTAAATACACATCCAGGAGATATTTTAGTTGAAGTAGTTCCCACTTTATAAAGAATTTATGGGAAAACTACAGCTGGATTCCCACTAGTTTCTTAATCTGGACAGCATATGACGTCTGGTCACTGGCACAATGGTTCAACTCACCGCCTAGTGACCCACTCACTAGTAGTAAAAACCTTAGCAACTTGAACTGACACACACATGCTCTAGGCTGCCATACGCTATAAAGTGCAATTTAGTGGTCGAGGTTGCCAGATGGTGTAATTAGCAAAACGGGCGTGGGTATCATGATGTTTATGTCAATTTTCGGAAGCATTGAGCGATCGGAAAATGCCAGAGTTGATGCGAACAGTCTGTAATTTACAAAAGCTGTCGATATTTCGCACTAACAAAAACAAATGAACTATCTGTGAAGCTTTCCTGTTTTACAAAGGATTTTTTGCACTTGGAAACGGTTAATTCTTTTGCAGCATTTCCTTGTGTTGTGAATGGAACAACATAATGTCGTGATTGCCGTCTTTTTTACCCTGCACAATCAATACATTCAGACTCTCCCGGAAGTTACAACGAGTTTAATGAGCTTTGTAACACTAATAATAAGGGAAGATGTTATACACTATTAAAAGGTCGAAAGTCATCGAAATATGATGACTTATTTATTATCCTAAATCGACATAATTTTGACATGCACAGTTAAATAACTGGAGAACATAGGCACCGACAAAAGAATACTTACGACTTGGATAACGTGCACCGGGTTCTTGAGAATCCAAAAACAGTACAGGTTATAGAACATATAAACAACAGAAGTTCAAAAGAACAAAAACATTAAATCTCAGAGTTTTGAGTAACCTTCAAATCCTATTTGCCTGAATAAGATAATATTTGTTTCCAGCATTTTTCTTAGTTTTATGTTTCAGTTCATCTACAGGTCTATTTAGCACGCTACCCATACGAATTGGAAGTATGGAACTGCAGGCGACCGTATTGTCGTATTGCATGCTTCGGACTAAAGTTTAACGAATATAAATTTTTAGCTAAGGCTTTTCCAAGTGACCGTTTTTAGTCTTCAATCTTTGTTGGCAATGAGAGTAGTTCTATCGACCTTTTGGTCTTTGAAATTTATGACACTGTAGGGGTCCAGTCTGGCTTTGAATGTTTCAACGGGTGCTGATACTGCCACCTACCCTTCCAGTAGTAGTATTTTATCTGACATGCTTTCCATGGGTCCATGATCCTTTATATCATCGGCGAAGAGTAGGACATACGACTTTGCTACAGTTGGTCATTTACACGAATTAAAAAAAGGAGAGGACCAGGGATTGTACTTTGAAGAGCTCCATATTTTATAGATTCCTATGCTGAAAGAGCCTTATTTACCCGTACACTCTGTCCTCTGCCATTTAGAATGTCATTTATTCATTATATGATTTCATAATGGATCCGTAAACTTTCCAGTTTAATTTAAGACCCAAGGGCATTAAATCCATAAACATTGCATCCACAGGAATATTTTCGTCATTTCCTTCAGCTCGGTCTTCTCTTGTATTGAGCAAATTTGCCAAACATGAAAGGCCTACCGTAAAACCTAGTTGTTCCCTCGATAAAAGATTGTTCCGTCCCATATAGTTATAAATAGCCATCCGAATAACCAATTCCATTAGTTTGACAACCACACTAGTTAGACTAACCGGTCAGTAGTTACAAACCAAATCTCTGCCCCCAGACTTATACACTGAACTGGTTGTTGTATCTTTCCGGTCTCTTGGAAGCCTGAGTTGCCACAGAGACGTCTCGAGCAGTATGTCTAGAGGTTCAGCAATTACGTCCGGCAGGCCTTTCATAATCCCTGGATGAATATTGTCAGGACCACCGAACTTATCGTGTTTGAGACGGAGCAATCGTAAGGCAGTTCCTCTCTCAATAATTAGAGGATTCATCAACAAGCTGATATTATCATAATTAATTGTTGGTCTTTCCCCATAGCAGGGAGAAAATACTTTGCTAAAATATTCTGATAAAGCTCTGGCATTTGTTGGCATTCTTAGCAACGTCTGTGGATTTTCTTCTATGACAAGTAGTAGGGTCCCATCGCTCCCTAAAGTTAGCCTCTTTATGTACGAGAATAACCAAGTAGTTCCCTAGCTTCGTCAATAAATCGCCCTGATCACCTTCATTATATAAATTACATAAATCGAACAAATTTAAAGTAGAGAGGCGAGTGTATATATGCGAGAGCATACAGAAGCAAATGTATAGTCAAATCGAATCAAGGCTCAGATAGGAAAGGCAAAGTCTAATAATAGGATCTGAGTATATATATATATATATATATATATATATATATATATATATATCGAAAACGGAACAACTCATTGAGGAATGTTAAAGTGATTGACATTTTAGCTAGAGAGATATGTGCGTAGACTGTCACATGCGATAATAACAGTACAAAGAAAGACAAACTGTTACTTTTCGAATAACATTGTCTTATAAATAAGTTAATAGAAGGGCTTGACAAAAATTAACCTTATCAAAATCGGTTGTAGGAGAAGTGCCATCACTCTTTCGGGCTATTTTTGCAATCTCCAAACAATCATTGTTCATAAGGACATCTACTCTTACTTGCCAACGCATTACAAGCGTTCTTAGTTTTACAATTAACTGATCTATACTGTTCTGAGCTTGGAGAGATGAAGATCTAAGTAGTTTCCTGACTTGTTTAGTTATCCATGATGGACAGTTGTTTGATCCATGAGATACTTAGCATGGTACAAACGGATAAGTAACTAAATTAAATGTACCTTTAAATATAGGTCGTGCTTCCTGAACTGTTGAGCTAGTATTTACCAGCCAGTCTGTTGTTGCGACCCGCTCATAAATGGCCAGTATCTTTGCTCTCAGCACATTTGTGTGAGGCTTAACCTGGCAGTATATCATGTCACAAGCCCTGAACATGAATGATGAAACAGCATGATAACTGTACGTTAGTGATAAGAGAATATTTAGATGGGCGATATCCTCGGTTTCATGAGTGATTACGAATTCTAACAAAGATCCTTGGTTCGGATACTTGCTATACTAAGGTATTCCTCATTACTGTTATCATGAACCTGTGGCGGTATTGCTTTCTAACAAAACCATCATTGAAGCTGAGCGCATAATTGCTGAGAAAATATACATTTAACATGTAACGCGGAAATTCAACAATGGTGAACGTGAGAACAACCGATCTGTATGTTATGGCTGAGCCATGACTGGACGAGTTGGTACAGAGAATTATTTGACTTTCACGTAAGATCTTATAGATTGAGTAGTCACATCATAAGAAATCTACATTTATTGGATTAGGTTTATTGTTACAGTAACAAATATAAATGTACTAATACGAACTAGAAAATAATCCAACACTGTCACTATAATGGACTACAACTAAATACAATTAAGACTGGCCACTGAAATAAAGTGCATTGTGCCATGATGTGCAACATGTCTGAACTGATAAAAGGCTGGAGTATAAGGCCGGATGAGTGTTTGGTTATTTCGGAGGAATGACAGAGGAATGTTAAACTTTCGCTAACAATAGAAATATTTTTATCATCAAAGTTTCAGAGGTTTCATAACATTTTGCAGACACAGCCGTGTTGATATCATAAAGCTTTTAAATATTTGCTTAGCATTTTTATAATTCTAAAGATGATAAGATTTTTACGATAGTGTATTAAGGTGGCAAAACATTTGGAGTCGAAAGAATGTGGTTGTCAATACAAGTCCTTGAAGATGCCACATGTATTTGGAGTGTGACAAGGCTTTAACCAGTAATATCTTATACTATGAACCATACCCACCAACTGAAATCCAAAGACAGGCAAGGAGGTTCATAGATATATTGGATATGCTATCAATATATCGAGAATCGATTGATTTAGGCTGCTTAGCGATTGCAGGGTATGTTGAGCACGGCGTTACCACTCGTGATCTAGTGCGGATGCATGACCAAGCCCCTTCAGCTAGGTGAGTCCATTAAAACTAATGTGGTCAGCATCCAATGTCGAAGACTTACAGAGATATTTGTTTGGATGATTTATTTACCGCTACATTCTGCTGATGGACGATTTAGTCTTTGGTTATCCTTGTAGACGGTATGTTAAAAGCACACAAAAAGTGGAAGAAGTAAACGATGCTCCCGTTCAAGTACTTTATATCAGTATCAATTTGCATAAATGCTGGTATTTGGGTAACTAAATTTTTGCAAACATACATGCCGTTTATTGTAGGCCTTCACACAAGGTTAAGTACCATTTGACGTACACTCAACGAAAACTGGGACTTAAATACGCATCAGAAACTTTTTCTTCAAAATTTTGGACTAAGAAGACTGTCTTTGACATTAATATTTATTAGCTACAACCACTCTTCAGCTAAAAAGGTAAGTGAAGTGTGCAAGTCAGTGTCATTAATAAACAAACATTGTTGCTCCTAAATGTTGGTTCTTTTGTTTTACTTTATTCATCATAGGCGTAAATTTGGATGCAAAGTAAATGATTTTGAAACTTCAATCAGAATAACAAATGTCAGTGGTCTCAAAACTATAAACCGCGTTGGCGGTTGGTTTGATCAAAACCGATACAAGTGCAACTCGAATCAGTGTGGAGAATAATGTGACTTCTACGTAAGATCTTTTAGATTAGGTAGTCACGAGGTGACTAATCTACAAATCTCGAATTCGTCTACCACTATAGTAGAAAAGATAATGCATTAATATCGAATTAGACCATAATTCTACGGGTTGACATGTTTGGGAACGTCCGTAAGTGGTGCCTCAATGTACATTAGGTTCAGTGGGGCTTGTCTATTCCTCGCTTCTCTAAAGTGATCTAATCACTTGTTCCACTGAGATCAAACCTCAGTGGTTAGTTTGACCGTTCTTTTTGATTGACCTCTCTGGTTCATTGAGACTGCCCAAGAGATTCTCCTTTGGATCATAGTCATCTCATATTTTCGTCTCCTTATTTGTCTGCTGTGGTTGCTAGGTATGCCACATATTACCTCTAACGGGTTCTAACGCTGACATTCAATTGTTAGTTTGCTTTCGTACATTCAGTCTGCACTGAAGCTTCCTCTAGCTCCGTTCGGTCATTGTTGGCTGCCGTCCTCTTGTTTTCAGTTCCTCAACTTTTCTGTGATTGCACGTCAGGGTCTCGAAGTTATTTCCTGCAATGAGCTGGACAGAGTTACGGTGGGAGGGATAGTTGTACGCGTTCGTTTCCTCCTAATAGCTCAAACCAGTTTTCCGCCGTCCGGTATACATTGAGCGTACCTTACTACTGGTGAACACAGATACCCACCAATCAATTAAACATTCCATATTTAGAAGGTAGCTCAATTTCTGTTCACTTAGAATCGGGAACAAGCAACGGTCATCAAACATTAGGTTACCTGACGGTTTCTAACAGACATAAAATTGGCCTACAGAAACCATGAAACTGACACAATGAATTAAGAATGACCGCATGTATCTGATGCTTTTTATGTTACACAAGTATTACTATAACGCTCCTAATAAATGGTTGTAAATGAATCAAAGGAATTTTTATATTTACTGAAATGTTCTGTTCAAAATCTATAGTTTTTGGGCAATGAGAACTTCCACAGCTTATCACTGTTAGGACGTTTAATACAGGCTCTACTGATATACACTTAACGAGTTCATGAACGCTTACGAAAACTATATCTCAACACCTACCAACAAACCTCATTTTCCAGGTAGACTGAAAATAAAAGGGTAAATAGTGAGTGTATAACAACTTAAGTTGATTTGTTAAGGGTTGACATCGAAGTTTCAAGTAAATTTCAGAACATTATGGCTCAGGTACTCATTCGCTCCCTTACTTTGTATAGGTTTTATATTTTCTATTGTTTTATATCGAATGTTGAAAAGCTTTGTGTGTTTTAAAAGATAACCTCACGCTCCACTGAAACATCCGGTATCTAAATAAAAACATTCACCACCAGCCTAGTCACTTCTACCAATAGAACGTGGGGAGGGTAACCACCGGCACGAAAGGGGTAGCAAAGGAGCCACGTCAACTTTTTGTTCGATTTATCATGCAACATTTAAATATTGGTGAAGACAGCTGTGTACTGCTAAAGTTATCAGGCCATCAGAATATCAAATCTCAACAGCCAGCTCATTTATTATTATTATCATCAGATTTACTCAATATTATGTTTTTGGTGCAATATAGAATTCTCAGAGCAAGTATTTGATTCCGAATTGTTTTTGGGGATATTTTAGGGCTTTCATTATCTCACTATGAAGGTGGGGGGGGGGAAATGTCATGGTAAATAGGCGTTCTAAACGGTGATAACGCCCATTAATTTTTCGTTGATATTACTCGTTAACGAGCTGGGTCAAACATCTTGTTCAAATCCCTTCACAATTTTTATGAGCACCCAGCTCTAGAAGGTCAATGTAGAATCCACAGGCTCATCTTTCTATAGCTCTATAGCTCCTCATCATCAGTTTCCCTTTATTTATTTTAGAATATCACTCTTGAATCGTCATCATACCAGAATCTCTCGACTGTCAAATCTAGAATATCCCCACCCTTTAGTTCCTATCACCTGCGTGACGTACTCATTCCATAAATCCTGAAGATAAAGAACATCTACCTGTACGACTTTGCAGGTATATCGTAATGAATCTGCCGATAACCTGATGCGCATGTCCATAAACACTTCTAGATGAGCAATTTTTCGTAACGTAGAATGTCAGGTACTTTCGTCAACGGTAGTTGAGATAGAAACGAACGGAAAAAATGTAAGACTCAACAGAAATATAAAATCTTCAAGCAGCTGTGAGGAACGAGAATATTAGGCGTACGTTCCAACTAAGGAAGTTATAGGGTCTGTGACGTAAATTATCAAACCGTTGGCTGCTGTTAACAACAGGGAAGTAAACTAAAGATAATGAAATACCTTACTTACTTACGCCTGTTACTCTTAATGGAGCATAGGCCGCCGACCACCGATCTCCAACCCACTCTATCCTCGGCCTTATTTTCTAGTTCTATCCAACTGCTGTTCATTCTTATCATGTCTGTCTCCATTTGTCCGTGTATTTAGTTCTGTTTCGGTCTTCCGCTTCTCCTTTGACATTGACGATCCCAATCGAGAGCTTGCCTTATGACGCAGTTGGGTGCTTTCCTCAGTGTGTGTCCTATCCACTTCCAACACTTCTTCCTGATTTCTCCCTCTACCGGAATCCAGGTTGTCCTCTCTCGCAGTAGGTTGCTGCTGATAGTGTCTTGCCAGCGGACCCGAAGTATTTTGCGTAGACAATTGTTAATAAACACCTGTATCTTCTGGATGATGGCTTTCGTAGTTCTCCAAGTTTCCGCCCCATACATTAGAACTGTTTTTACATCTTCCAAATCTTCTCCGTCAATTGAGATTGGATTGGTGCATGCTGTGTTGTATCGGAGAATCTTGCTTTTTCCTTTGTGTACATTGAGAACTGCTAATCGTAATTACCTAGCTTGAGTGAACTGTACTCTGCTGAGACAAACGCAGCCAGAACTAATGTAGTTATCCAGGTAACGAGGAAGAAACTAGACACAATTTAAAAATTTCGAAACAAGATAAATACTGTATAATTCAAATCTGCTTTCACCCTCACTCTGTTTTCATAAATTCAATCAGTCATTTAGAAATAATGGAATCTAATGCAACTAAACGTTCAAGGTTTTCCTCCCATAGCAGTCTGATAAATTCTCATCTTTGGCCGCATATTGTTCTGAACGCAAATGAAGAAGCTTTCACTTAACGGGCTTCCATAACCAATAGCAGCGGATTACCAATATCTCTAAGTAAGGACCTAGATATATTAACAATAAGAGAGAAAAAAGAAAACGATTAGTAAATCATGGTGAAATACCATCCTTAGTCCTCAAGACTATGTCAAGTTTTCTGTTAAAGGTGTCCTGCGAAATCGCTAAGACTAGCTAAGTCGTCAGCGAATGACAACATTTAACTCCTCTTAAGGAATAGAAATGGTGTCTACAGTCCGTTCTGCTGTTTTGAGTCTCCACTTTCTGGGTGTCACCCCTAAGGTTTGTGTTGTGACTAAGTTTGAATAGGTGTTTGAGGGGATGCACAAAAGTTTTTAAGATGCTCTAAGTCGCCGCTGAAACGCCCGTACTATGAGGGCAAAAGGTTTAGAGACTGGAGGCGCCCACCACAAGACTTGAATTTGAGTTCCCGAACTGATTTCGTGGCTCGCTGTTGGATAAGTTCCAGAGTTTCCTCATCTTTTTTAGTGAAGGAGGAAATGTTACGTTTCGGCACTCTAAATGAGTTCTAATAAGACCGTTGAAGATTAAGTGGAAAGTCCTTTCATCGAAATGGCCGAAAGTGATCTTCAGTGTTACCAGTGCAAGGTTTACCGGAATAGCGTTTTTGTCGCAGTTAGCGTAAGACTTCGGATCGTAGGGTACCAACACTCCTAGATCATTTCATCTTTGGATACCTCTAGCAAGGAGTTACATGGACTGTATTCGTAGTCTGCAACATGTCTCGGATGAACTACCTTACACCTGGAAGTATTAGAGGTAAGTCCGTTGTTATCTGCCCAACTGTGATGTTAAGTCAGATCATCCAGAAGTGCCAGTTTATCCTCTTGGTTGCATACATCTTTCCACCGAGGTCAGCAGGTTGGTTATACAACACTGACTTTCTATGAAACCTTGCTATTGGGGTGAAAAGAAGTTTATGGGTAGTAAGCAGTCGTGTAGTCCGTCGCATATCAGGGGCTCCATAATTTTTGTGAGTGTAAAGAGAAGTGATTTATTTATTACTCTTTAGGATGCTTTAACTTGACAGGATTAAATTAAATTGAGAAAACGATAGAATTTGAATCGTTAAAATTGCTAAGACCGCAAACCATGCTTCGACTTCTGTCATTTATGAACAACCCAGGTCTTTGATTTCAGCTGCCCCATGACTTAAAGTCTTACGCTAACTGTGACAAAAATGCCTTCCGAGCAAACCTTGCACTGGTAACGTTGAGGCGCATTTTTGGTCAGTTTGACGGAAGAACTTTCCACACAATCTTCAATAGTTTCATCCGTCCCCATTTAGAGTACGGAAACATAGTACTCCCCCCCTCACTCCAAAAGGATAAGGTCACTTTGGAGCGTATCCAACGGCGAGCCACGAAATCAGTTCGAGGACTCAAATCTAAGCCTTACGAAGAACGCCTCCGTTCACTAGACCTTTACCCACTAGAATATAGGCGTCTTAGAGGTGATTTATTAATGCCTTATAGTATTCTTAACACTTCTGGACATCCTCTTAAACACCTACTTAAGCTTAGTTCGAACAATAACCTAAGGGGTAACACCCAGAAACTGGAAACACAACATAGCAAGACGGAATATAGACACAACTTCTACTCCTTAAGAGTTGTCAAAAGCTGGAATTCGCTGCCGGCCGAGCTAGTCCAAGCGACTTCTCAGGAGTCCTTCAAGAGGCAACTTGACCTATTCTTAAGGACCAAGGACAGCATCGCACTATGATTTACCAATTTCTTTTCCTCTTTTATTGTTAACATACCTAGGTTCCTGCCTGGAGGATTTGGTGATCCCCTGCTACTAGACACGGAAGCCTGTTAAGCGAAAGCTTCTTCTATTCCGTCCACAACCATTTGAACCATTTGAACCATTTGACCGCTGCGACCTTGTGACTCGTTTGAAGTTATACTCTCTAGCGGTTAAAGCATGTGCTTGTGCTTTCGATCCCAGGATCCCCATAATTTGAGGCTTATGTTACTGATGGTTGCTGTTTATTATTCTCCTTAATAAAAGCAAGTGCATTGTGTACACTTGCTATGTCGTCGACTTTCCTTTTCCTTTCACTTATTCCAGTCCTCGCCCATGCTACTCTGCATGCTTCGGTTGTACAAAGTACCTTCTGGCTAGACATAAACGACTACAACTCTCCTACTGGGCCGTTTCATGAAGTACCTTGCGGTATTTCCCCTCACTGAGTTAAATTCATATTTTCAATCGATTTCAACACATCAAGACTACTGTTTTTACTTTAATTGAACTACTTTCAGTTACAAAGGATTGTTCGAGAGTTGTTTAAGTGTTTAGATAAAAATCGGATTCTTCCTAAAAAGCAGCATTGATTTATAACAGGTTATTCATGTCTCGCAAACTTACTAGTAGCCCTTGAGTACTGGTTAGCTCCTGAAAATCAAATGTTGGCCAAGTAATATTGGCACCGGGGGCAACCTATATGTGTTGGTAATAAATTTCTTAGTTGGGCGTCAACATAACATAAGAGTTTGTCCCAAGTTGTTCAGCAGTGAGACTGTTTGGCAGAGTGCCTCAGTGCAGTTTTGGGGCCAATGTTGTTTCTACGGTATACAGGTAACTTTCCTAGTCTATCTGTTTTGTTATATACGGAGGATACCAAAATTTGGAGAGCGATAAAAAAATGGTGACAGTTTTGAGCTTCATAATGACCTGCAGAAATTATGTGTATAGTCTAAAACTTAGCTGTTGCCGATAAATGCGTTGTAGTGCATTATGGTGTACATGGGTCATCGGATTGAAGATACATACACGGTGAATAACATTGAGCTACCTGTTGTCCAGATACAACGACCTAGTAGTCATCGTTAGCCAAGACTTAGGAACTACTGCATACTATCCTGCGGTAATTGAAAAAGGTTCTGTAACCATATGTTCAATACATAAACCATTTAGCCATTTCGATACTAAAAGATTTTTGAATTCATATTCAGTGTTCGTTCGTCCTAAATTTGTGAATCGCATGCAAGCAGCTAGCCCTTGCTTAAAAAATACAACGGGCTGTTGTAAAAGGTTCAAAGAACTGTAGCTAAGCTGATTTCCAGGACCGAAAGGCTCCTGTATGACAAAAAACGAGGTAAACTGGTCCTGTTTCCTTTGTCTAGTAGAATGACCAGAGGTGAATTGATCATAGTTTTTCAAACTCACGATAAATTTGCGTTTGATAAGCCTTCATTTTTCTTATTTTCTAATACAGAATTCACGAGGACACTAAAACTTCATCTGATTATCGACTTTCTTATCGAATCATCAGGGAATGGAAATCCCTAACTCAATACGTGTTTGAAGCTTTGTCGACGTTTTCAAGAGAAAGGTAGATCAACCGAGACCACTATTCCCAGGAATAACACGAGCTATCTGTCCTTTCCAAACAAAAACTTGATATCAACCTACCAAAGGAGTTCTAAGTTATTTTTATGAAATTGAGTTGATGGTTGTTTCTTTTTTTTTATGCAAACAGTTTAATTTTGGTCACAAGATTATACAATTGGTTGATCGACAATCTATCCCACAGAATCTAGTTTCTCATTATACTTCAAGATGTTGGTTTTAGCAGTGTGTCTGGGACTTTTTAGTACCTTCACTGTTTTGGTAGTCAGGTTTTTTTATTTGAAAGTCCAGTGTTGGTTTTGTGGGCATACTGCCTTCACATCGTGGAGTAGAAAGACATCGTTTGTTTGTCAACAATGTGGTCAGTATAATGGATTTAAAAGTGATGGTGATTACAACAAAGTTATACCATCTCAGTTCATTGCCGAGTTAAATCCAGTTAATTTCAATAAGGTGAGACCTATATTTACCCTTGATCTCTTTAGGCTCACGGTACGTTTTCATCACATTCTGATGTATTGTGCCCGGACTGTACACGTAATCAAAATACTATTGTCCAAAAGTTGTCGGAGTATACCCCGAAAAACGACAAGTCGGATGAGGAAATAAAAGAATACACTCGCCTGCTGGAGTTGGAATATGGTTTGTGTTCAAGTTGCTATCGAAAAGTTAATAATAAACTTAGGCAGGTAGGTTGCAATTTTTTATTGCATATATATTACATAGAGGTCACTCAAATCTAATAATTTATTTTAATGACTGCTGTTAACGGTTATGATTTTATTGTCATTTTGTGAGGGTAAAACCTCCCACTCATTTGTATCCCCTTATCTAACAGTAAGTGCAATGCAGAGAACTGTAAAGAATTGGTGGTTTGTTTTTGAAGGAACCAGATGTTTTCGGGCGGTCGCCAAATAGAATGACCTTTAGGGACGTGTTGTTTTTCATTTCAGCAAATTAAGTATCTATTCATATCGTTACTTTTAAAGTACCTGGATTTTTAAGGTCTAGTTTATTAAAGCATACCGCCACCACAGTCTCGAATGTTGAGCCTCCTGTGTTGCACTATTGAATAAGAAAGTGCATTAATATCAGTTGTCAAATTCTAAGACATGAGTTTACTAGTCTCAATCATAATTATCCCAATTTTCTGGCCATTAAAATGTTTCATATGAGCATTCTTCGTTGAAAACACGTTACTGTAGTTCCTGAATAAATCCATCAAACGTCAAGCAACAATCTACGAATTCATAAAATACTAGAACAACTTGCCTTCGAAGGGATAAGACTAATAGAGCTACAACTGAAATTCCCCGCTTTATCCTGCTTTATTTGCTTTTGTTCTTTTTGACAAATGTCAAGATTGAAATAGTTTGAGACTAGATCGTGTTTTACCTCATTTCTGTCGTATTATATAACGCTATCTCTTTTGTCCCATAAAATAGAAATTTCGATGACTGTTCACCTGTGCAAGCTTATAATTGGCTTCTCAGCGCCTGAACTGTTCTGAAACTTCTAATTTTTATATAGTATCGTTGTTATGACTTGTTCGTTTTTACGGTGCTTTCAAGCGGAAATAAAACTGACAGTTCCACTTGCACTTCTATTACCTTACTACAGCTTTGCGACGTACTAACATTAGTGCTGGTTGCGTCAGATTAATATGGTTAGATTGTCTGGACAGATGCTATATTAATCATCCACCTATTTAACAGGTTCCAATAAGTGAAGTATTCTTTGAATAAAACTATGTTGTTCGATAGTAGAAGAGGTTTCGGTGTATCAAGGCCTTTGTAAGAGTTTCGGTAGAAGTAAACTACTACAATGATCTGTGAATAACATACCGGCCAATCAAAAGGTGACATTTAGTCTTAAAACAATTTATGATAAGAAAGTAATAAAATTCTAGTGTATGTACAGATTTGATATGATTAGTGAATGTTTACATGTTGAATTGCTTATTATAGCCAGTAATATAAGGTTCGAGTTAGGATTCATGGTTGGTATTAAAGTGAGAGGATTTTCGGTAGCTATACTGATGCATAATGATAAAAATAGTCATATGAATTCATATCTCAAGAACTAAGTTACCTACAACAATTTATAAGTGTACCTTACCCAGTACCTTTTGTTATTTTCTTGGCTCAGTAGATGAGTACCGCATATTAAAGTATGGTTGGTTCGGACTTTCGTTTTATGCAACCCCTCGCTTTCACTGCACTTGTGGCTTTTGATTGTATGACACTTGTACTACATGGACATGTTCATAGCAGATAGCTGTGGATAACTCCAGCTATTTTAAATGAAATAGTTTACAGTTGCACTAATATGTAACACTCGCCCACTCAATAAACAGAACAGTAACTAAAGTGTTGAACACACAAATTGCCTGGTACGTCTGAGAGTGGGAAGAATCAGCTCTCCCTCTCCAAATGCTCTCATATGGCCACGTGCATACAACCGCTGCCAGGGGAGTCCCGACCAAAGCTGCTACCTTGACGCGGTGGTCGGGCTTGCCTATCGTGATGACCCAACCGAGCTATATTGGCTGGAACATATGTTCCTGTAGGTTCTACCATGCCAGGCAGGTCGATTGGAGAACGGTAAGACTAAAAGCAGCAACTCAAGGTCTGAGGGCGAAGTCGTACTGCTGACTGTAGAGGGTGTGACAGCAGTAAGGTGTTTCCCTCGGACAACCAGCATGACAGCGATGCTGCCTTCCCACAAGGAGGGGTGGGGTTAGAAAAGGTCGACCCTAAAAATGTCACACCTCACCTTACCTCACGGATTTCCGTCTCCGGCGGTAAGGCCCTTTGAAGAACGGAGCTAACACGTCAAAAACCTTCCACAAAAAGGCCGTGCGCGACCGGCCTCAAGCAGTTGTCCCTTGGGCTCTGCGGTCACGCTCCCAGGTCGTCAAGACCAACACTAATCCAATTTCCTTTTCAGGTTCCTCAAGAAATACCCTTCCACGGTGTGGGCAGCCGGGAAGTGACATCAGCCCTCATACCCGTAACAGCACAAGAGACCAAGGTGGTCACATTCAAATCCTTCCTACACCTCCTAATACCTCTCTTATCTCCATGACTAACCCTCCTCACGTCTCTTTATCACCTCGCACCGCTAGGGCAAACGATTCGAGTACGTGGAACGCCATTCCTGGTCTCCTGAAACCACGCTCTAAACTACACGTAGGAGCTTTTAACGTACGAACACTTTGCCAAATAGGACAGCAGGCTTCCTTAGCTAAAACTTTAGAATCTCGCGCCATCGATGTGTGCTGCGTCTCCGAAACGCGCATACAGGATCCGAGTAGCGTCATTCATTTGACCTCACCATGCCAAAATAAAGAACCGACTCGATTTACGCTTCGTGTATCTGGAAGCCCTGATTCTGCTTCCCGTGGCCTCGCCGGCGTAGGTATAGCATTGAGTCCTAGGGCAGAACTAGCTCTCTTAGAGTGGATCCCAGTAGACAGTCGTTTGTGCGCTGTCCGACTGAACGGAACAGTAAGAATCCGGAAAGATAGGGACACTCGTCGTTGCCTCTTCGTCGTCTCTGCCTATTCTCCCACTGACTGCAGCTCAGATGATGTAAAAGATGAGTTTTACAGAAAGCTTTCGGACCTTCTCCGAAAAGCTAGGCGCTCGGATGTAGTAATAGTGGCCGGTGACTTTAATGCTCAAGTAGGTAAACTAAGCGATAGGGAAAGACACCTAGGTGGATCTTATGGTGTCGTGGCTCAAAGAACAGATAATGGCGACCGTCTGTTGCAGCTATGCTCAGATAACCGCCTGTTCCTTGCAAATACTAACTTTAAGCATAAGGAAAAACATCTTTTAACATGGCGACCCCCTAATTCGTCCCAACGTTGGACCCAAATAGATCACATCGCTATCAGCCACCGATGGAGGGGCTCGATAGAAGACTGTCGCTCATTCTGGAGCACATGCCTAGATTCAGATCATGCTCTAGTGCGAGCGCGTATTTGCTTGCGTCTTACTGGACGTAGGAAAGACGCTGCAAGGAAACCTCTTAGGGCCTACTTAATGATAGTCAAGCTAAGAGTATATTTCAGGAACAACTAGGAAAACAGTTAGGCAGCCATGTATGTGATGCCCACCCCGATGCAGCATGGAATGATATCCGAAAAGCTGTGGAAACAGCAGTGATATCTGCTAGTAAGGTAAACCGTAAGGTTAGGGAGCAACACTGGATCTCAGCAGCATCTATCGCACTGATAGATGCTCGGAAACTCATTCCACCTGGCTCTGAACATAATGAAGAGCGGAGTCAGCTTAAGCGCAAGCTGACAAGAAGTCTACGCAATGATCGCGAACAGTGGTGGGTAGCGAAAGCAAGAGAGATGGAAAAGGCAGCGGCAATAGGTAATAGCAGACAATTGTTCAGACTCGTTAAGGAAACCGGAATTAGGAAACCGACTGTTAGCGAAACAATCTCAGAGAAAGATGGACTGACTGGTCTCAATCACTGATTGTGCCAGTCTATAAGAAAGGACAGAAGTCCTCTTGTGACAATCACAGAGGAATCAGTTTGACTAATATAGTGTCTAAAATATTAGCTTCAATAATACTTCGACGCCTAACAAAGCTCGTGAAGAGCAGACTAGAGAAAACCAGGCCGGTTTTCGACCTGGACGTGGTTGTATAGATCAGATATTCACACTACGTCAGGTTCTAGAACACAGACACACGTTCAGACGCCCCACAATGGTAGTATTTCTCGACCTTAAGGCGGCATTCGACTCTGTTGATCGTAAGGTTCTATGGCAGTGTTTGTCACTGAAAGGAGTACCAAAGAAGTACATTAACCTTATAAAGGCTCTCTACTCGAACACAACTGGTCGAGTGAGAGCTTATGGCGAACTGTCATCAGAATTGATTACCTCAAGTGGTGTTCGTCAGGGCTGTCCACTCTCCCCATTCTTGTTCAACTTTGTCATTGACGTACTTTTAGAGATAACACTCTCCTCATCTAAATTTACAGGGGTTGAACTTCTACCGGGAGGTTCACTTGTTGACTTAGAATATGCTGATGACATAGTTTTATTTGGTGAAGACGCTGACAAAATGCAGAGTCTTCTGACCACTCTAAGCAACAATGCAAGCATGTTCGGGATGCGATTCTCTCCCTCGAAATGCAAAATGTTGCTTCAGGATTGGGTTGCACTGACACCCGAACTAATGATAGGGAGTGAAGTATTGAGCGTGTCGATCGCTTCACTTATCTTGGAAGTCTCATCAGCCCTTGTGGTCTGGTGTGTGACGAAATCTCAGCACGGATACAGAAGGCTCGACTAGCTTTTGCCAACTTGCGTCATTTATGGCGTAGGCGAGATATCCGTCTATCAACCAAAGGACGAGTTTACTGCGCAGCAGTTCGTTCCGTCCTACTTTATGGCAGTGAAACATGGCCGGTAAGAGTAGAGGATATTCGTAGGTTACTAGTATTTGATCATAGGTGTCTTCGAAATATTGCTCGTATATCGTGGGACCATCGAGTAAGTAATGCAGTTGTTAGGAAACGGGTACTAGGTAAGGATGGCAAATCAATTGATGACGTAGTGAAACTTCATCAGTTGAGATGGCTGGGACACGTGTTACGTATGCCCAACGACCGACTGCCTTGACGTGCTATGTTCAGTGGTATAGGAGTAGGTTGGAAGAAAGCTAGGGGCGGCCAGACCAAAACATGGCACAAGTCCATGAAGTCACTGACAAGTGGTCTGAGTTATGTCGGTAGGTGTAGACTACCTGGTTGGGGACCGCGAGATGATAGCAACCGATGGTTAGAGACCCTGAATGACATGGCTCAAAATCGTTTGCAATGGCGCAGGTGCATACACTCTTTGTGTTCTCCCAAATTTTGATCTCCTTATTCCTCCTTGTCTCTTTTTTCTCTTCCCAAATTTATTTCACTGTATTATACTCTTCAAGTAACATCTCCAAACGCTAATTTTCCCGATTACTGCTTATACTCTTACTACCTCTACCACTATGGGATTTGAATCGACCACTGCATCTCTGTGCTAATGTGGTATGGCAACTCGAACTGATGTACGTACGTACGAAGTTCTACGTTGTTACTGACTGACTGACTGAGGGGAGTCCTACTCACTACCTCGCGGCATTATTGCTGTTTACAAAATTGAGAGGACGTACAACGAATTCCATGCGCTTTAACCGGGTTTATGGACATGGAGAGTTCACCTAGGGGAGTTGGAAAACTTTGATTCCAAACCAATGGTGTACATGGGCTCTAGTATCCTAAGGGAATAAATGATGAATGAACCAATTATTGGTGACCGGCTACCATGGGACTATATCTCCTTATGTTTCTCCACTGCCTTGTGGATCAAACCTTTAGATCGAAGTCTCCGGGTGTGGGACCCCCTAAGAAAACCACCTTTTTCGGTTCGGACACCCGGACAGTAACACAGCCCACGCACATGTATACTCGGTGCCTCTTTGTACCAATGTTTATGTGTTTAAATGAATTCATACAAATTTAAATGACAATTACTTTACTCTGCTCCTTTTAATTATTTCATTGTTTCTTTCTCTCTCTTTCTCTAACAGTTAGATTGTAAATTATTACCAAGTTTCATTGAATGGTGGCATAATAAACAACGAACAATTTCTCTGACTAAAAATTCTATTCATTAAAAGCTTATCGTAAAACTATTGCATGGTTTGAATTATTAATTGTTTTACGTATTATTAGTATCTTATGTTTGATATCCATTATTACTGGTCCACTTCTAATTGAAATCAGTAGACAAACATGCCTTATTCATATAACAACGAATAAGTCTTATTTATATAAATTTGTTGAATTAGTTTGCTCTGGTAATTGTCGATCTTATTCACGAAGATATTGTACTGAAATATTGACTTATTCACAACATTTCTCTCTTTCTAATATTGGTCAATTATGGTTTAATTTATTAATGTTTTGTTTACAAATAACACTTGTTGCTATGACTAGTTTAAAGCATAGTAACAAACATTATTCAATGTATTATGATGGTTTGAAATCACTTGTCTTATTGTATGATATTTCAATGCTTTTAATTTCATTGAATATTCTCTTATCATCTTCTTCAGTAAATATTGATAGTTTTAATCTAATGAATAGTATGACATGGTCTATTACTTCATTTACTCATATTACACTATTAGGTGTATTTGTTTTGTTTATTTCATTCATTATTATTATTTATGGAATTAGAATATGGTTATCATTCTTTCTTAAAGATTGTATGTCACAACAGAAAAAACTAAAAAGTACTTGGCCTAGTGATGTTAAATTACCATGTTTTCAATCAACCGATAGTATAAGTTATTATTCAACACCAAGTCATTATTCTACAAATTGTACAATGAACTCTTTAAATTCAAGTAGAAAATCACTTGAAGATGAATTGGCTGATACAAAATTATGTTCAACAAATAAATATGATAATATATTTCGACCGTCTGTTCTAAGTGGTGGCAGCGGCGGCGGTGGTGGTGGTGGTGCTGGTAGTAATAATATTTCCCCTAGTGTTATTAGTTCTCAATACTCGAATGTGAATTCTCAACATTCATTTATATCTTCTAATTTATATTCAACTCGTTGCAATCCAATGAAACAACAATCACCATCACAACAACAACAACAACAAATGATTGAATCTTGTCGACCTGATGATGACAATTTAAGTTGTATGACAAGTATTAGTCATTATAAATCAAATAATCCTAATTGTTATACACTTGATTGTTATTCAAATAATCATTTACCTAATTATTTATCACAATCTAATATTAAACGTAAAACTGTTTCATCAAAACGTAAACGACGAACTGGTCTTATACATTTTATATTATGTTTATTATTTGGTCGATTAGAAACATGGAATGATGTACGCTTAGAATTAACTTGTTTAGCAAATGCAGTATTCCTTAGTATTGTAATTTATTGTACATGTCGACTTATGTTTTGTCTTGTTAGTGTATTTGATGGTTAACAGACTTTTTGGAATTGTAATTTTAATTAGTTTTGTTTTGTCTTTGTTTATTACTGAACTGGTGTTATTTTGAAATGCTCCTGTTCATGATATACAGACGTTTGGGAAAAGATAATGCCAAGTTGTATTGATTGAATGTGAATGATCTATAAGTTGATTGACAGTGGTATTGGTTATTGGAAATTAATTAAAAAAAATACATTTGTACATGATTGTGCTTTGTTTTAATTTGTTCTTGTTATAACTTGTGGCCTGAGTGCCCTGCTAATGTATGACGTAATGATACCAACCGAATAACGACGCATAAAACCCGTGAGAGGAGTCTAGAGTCCCTATTGGCCCTGCTTTGTGCTTAGCCCAACCAATTATGTCCAGAACACCAATCTCAGCTTCTGCAATATTAATCATTATATTTCAAACATACTGGGGGTATAGCTCAGTGGTAGAGCATCCGACTGCAGATCGAGAGGTCCCCGGTTCGTACCCGCCTACCCCCTTCACTTTCCCGACCGTTGTTGCTACCTTGACATGGTGGTCGGGCTTGCCTATCGTGATGAAGCAACCGAGCTATACTGGCTGAAACAACCGTTCCTCAAGGTCCTACCATGTCAGACAGGTCGGTTGAAGAGCGGTAAGACTAAAAGCAACAAACCCAAGGTCCGAAGGCGAAGTCGTACTGCTGACTGTACAGAGGTGTGACGGCAGTAAGGTGTTTCTTTCAGACAACCAGCATGACAGCGATGCTGTCTTCCTACAAGGAGGGGTGGGGTTAGAAAAGGTCGACCCTAAAAATGCACACCTCGCCTTATCCTTCGGATATCCGTCTCCGGCGGTAAGGTCCCAAAAAGTACGGAGCTAACACAAAATTTGCCCATAAAAAGGTCGTGTGTGACCGACCTCAAGCACTTGTCCCTTGGGCACTGCGGTCACGCTCTCAGGTCACTGAGACCACCTCTAATCCAATTTCCTTTTCAGATACCTCCAGAACAACCCTTCCACGGTGTGGGCAGCGGGGAAGTGATAACCGCCGTCATACCTCTAACATCTGTCAAGACCACTGTATTCATAATCAACCTCCGTCTTCACTTCCTATTTCTCCTCCTACATCGACTTTCACCTCTAAACTTCCTTTTTTCGGCTTCCCCCTCAAGTGTCACCATAGCCAACGATTCTAGCGCTCAAAACACTGTCCCAGGTCTACTGAAACCTCGCTCCAAACTACACATTGGAGCCTTCAACGTACGCACCCTATGTCAAATCGGTCAACAGGCTTCCCTGGCTAGAACCCTAAAATCTCGTACCATTGGTGTATGCTGTGTCTCTGAAACATGCATACAGGATCCCAGTGTGGTCATTCATTTGACCTCACCTCGGCAACACGGAGAGCCAGCGAGATACACCCTCCGTGTATCTGGTGACCTGACTATCAGCTCTCGTGGACTGGCAGGAGTAGGGATAGCACTAAACATGAGGGCGGAACAAGCACTGTCAGAGTGGATCCCCGTCAACAGTCGTCTATGTGCTGTTCGGCTAAACGGCTCCGTATGAACTCGGAAGGATAGGGACACACGTCGTTGCCTTTTTGTCGTTTCTGCCTACGCTTCCACCGACTGCAGCTCAGATGAAGTGAAAGATGAATTTCACAGGAAGCTGTCCGAACTTCTTCAGAAAGCTAAACGCTCAGACATAGTACTCGTAGCAGGTGACTTTAATGCCCAGATAGGTAGTTTAAACCAAACAGAAAGGCATTTAGGTGGGTATTTTAGTATTCCGGCACAGCGAACAGATAATGGTGATCGTCTGCTGCAACTGTGCTCAGGCAATCGTTTATTTTAAGCAAACAAATTTTAAGCATAAGGAGAGACATCGTCTAACATGGCGACCCCCTACACCAAACCAACGATGGACTCAAATAGACCATATTGCCATCAGTCATCGTTAATGAGGTATGGCAACTCAAACCGATGCATATATGTGCCTGGTCCTACGTTGTAGCTGACTGACTGACTCAAACATACTGGGTTTATATATTAACCATACAGACCATATCGTACCAATAAAAATAGGAAACAACATTTATACATGATTTGGCCAAATGTGGCTGTGAGTGTGGGAGATAGTGATTGATAGACTGGATATAACTCGAAAATGGTTAATTGTATAATAGTAGTTCATGGATCAAAATCAAGCTCATAATAAGAGGGACATGAATATGAATAGTTTAGTTATTTAACAATTATACGACAAATTATATGAATAGTATTGGTCCATAAATGGATCCCGAAAGTTACCATTGATTATGCTTATCGGGGCATAACAGTTCTGTTTAAGAAATTTCTAATTTTGTTTCGCAATTAATTAATGTCAGGCGCTTCAACCGTGTTGGTGGACACAGAGAGTCCACCTAGGGGAGTTGGAAAACTTTGATTCCAAACCAGTGGTGCACATGGGCTGGCTCCAGTATCCTGAAGGAACGAATGGTATATGAACTTATTGTTGGTGACCGGCTACCATGTGATTGCATTTCCTTACGTTGCTCCACTGCCTTATGGATCAGATTTCTAGGTCGAAGGCTCCGGGTGTGGCCCCCTAAGTAAACCACCTGTTTCGGTTTGTGTACCCGGGCAGTATCTCAGCCCTCGTACAAATCGAATGATTTATGTGGCGCATATCTATTTGGTACCTCCTTATACCATTCATTAATATAAATAGGCAACCAAGTTGAGAGCATAGATTATCGTGGATTATACCACTGAGGATAACTATACTCAAATCAAATAACTGTCCTCCAAATGTGATGGTGATTTATTCTTGTAAGTATTATTCAAAATTGACATAATCGATGAATATAAATTTTCATTCATTTGGCTTAATGGTGATGCATGAGACTACATTTTTTTTTTGCATTTTTAAGTAGACACAACAGTTTGTTTTGGTGAATATGATTGTAAGCACTTTATGCCGTGAGTATTTCATATAGTCAAATGTCATTTTTTGAAATTAGTTGATCTTCATACGATAGGGGTATTGTAATCCTTTGTGCAATACATGACCTTTTATTTTCTATGAACATTTTCATAGAGTTAAAACTTTCCGACAGTTATTCGAGACTTCTGATAGGGTAATCAAGTAGCCTGTTCTCATGATTGATCATTTGTTCATTATCGGGAAGTATTCTATGAAATCTATCGGCAGCCTGTATTATCTCAATAGAATTACTCCATTGTTTCCTTGATTATTGTTTGCGAACTGGATACCCGTCTAGTAGATTAGTCTTTTGCAATGTATATTTAATATAACTGATTGTTAGTAAAACGTTTCATCAGGTTTTCTTCATCCTTACATTAAGGAAGCCGAAGCTAGGTTCATTTTCTTACTCTAGGGTAAATTTTATCGATAGGTAACAGCTATAGATTACATATTTAAGACATTATTCAAATTAGATTTATGATCGCAGATAACAAAAGTATTGTTTGCATACAAAACCAATCGCTTATTGCTTCCTAACTAACAATGATCCATGTTACAAAGATGCTTACGCAGGTAACACACATGAAACAGTCACTTGACAACATTGTGTAACAATAATCATGAAGGTGCTGTTCTCCAGCCAACGCATAATTATCAACAGCCCAAAAGACAGACTATGGCGTTTCATTTGTTCTCTGTGTGTTTATCAGTGCACCTATTCATTTTGGGCAAGTTGTAATGGTTGTTCAGTGCGCATTTTGTGCAGGAGGGTTAAAAAAGCTCTACGCTACATGGTTAAGGAAGCGGGTTAGTGGTTGTATGGTTTAATCGGCTTATGTTGACTGATATAAGTAGTATATAACAGCAGTCGGAAGTGGAATGCCTGCCAGCAGAAGGTTAAAATGAGAAGAGGAAGGAAAGCGGAGAGTAATCGAGATAATAACAATTAGAAGAATAATGGAGTATATAATAGACAATAGTCTAATCAACCGACTGATTTTGTACTAAACAATTAGTTGGTTTCCTTCATCTGAGTTCTCGTTCACTAAGAAACTCAATCATAGAACGTCTTATCACGACAACCGATACAACCAAGACAGACCCATCGTTTAGTTATCTGTGAGATATCTTACTTTAACCTTCTCTATACACCGTGAAACCAGGACTTGGTGTACGAAAGAAAAGTACTCGATATCTTAATTTTCACTTATTTAACCACATTACTAAATACAATCCCATAATTATTACTCTTTTTAGTTTTCAACCGAACTCTAAATACAAATGAAAATTCTGTACGTTTATTTGTTTTTCCTTGCTATATCCATTTAATCGCTGTTATGTGAACATGTATGCGGCTGCACAATTTAAGGAATGAATCTCCCAAAAGAAATCTTATCAAATCAGTCTTGTTTCCGAATAGACTTTTATATAATGCGATTCATATACAATGTCTAACCGTAGATAGTTAATTTTTCCGTCGGTAAACTATTAGTTGGTACCTATAGCCGATAGGACACTGTTCAGTCATTTAAAAGCCGACTATCAAAACATCTGTGTAAATATAATCTACCCATCCGTAATATCAGGTAACCGGTTGATTTAACATAACCAATAGAAAGAAGGAGCTACCCTATTATCTTAAGCGACCATATTGAAGTAATTTTCATCGTTCTGATCCATCATTTAGTGGAAAGTAAAATCGGTTTTGTTGATATTTGAGTCGAGCTCTATCTGTTGATGTGACCGCATAAGATCTATGAGAACTCTTATTTTTATGTAGGACCAAATTACTTGCTATTGATTTTAACTTAGAAATTTGTTCTTAGTGGTTCTGGTCTTAGATTATCCAAGAAAGAGCTAACTAGTGGCAAAATGAGATGGAACTATTTTTATAATGAATTTAGCACTCTTCAGGTAGCCAACTGGCTGGAACTACTAAGTTGTACTGATTTCCTTATGGTTTCTTGCTTAGTATTATAACTAATGTTACGTCGTAATCTTACTCTATTTTCAAGGCAGATTATCTCGTAAACGACGGCTTTCATCGCAAGATATAAAAGTAATATCTGGTAGACTTTGTTTCTGTGATTAAGCAAATCTGATTTCGTGTTCCATGATTGCAGTGCATAAAACTTACGTCAGTAAAACGACCAAACGAAATTAAAATCTTTATTTGCCAATCAACCTAGTAAACATGAAATTTAAACCAATCTTATCTAAATAGTATTCATAACTAGTACAGTTTCATTGTTAACGATCAACAGGTGAAAATGTTAGAAAGAAAATATTATTGGGCTTTTTCCTTAAACTAGTTTTCTGGTACAGAAACACCTTGAAGATAAATTGTAACTGGTCCAGGTTGTTTTTCTGAGGTTGTTTCTTTGCTTTGATCTGACTTCTTATCATTATTATTTTCTTCAGGACTTGTTTTCGGCCCATTTGATTTGATGATAACGAATTTCACTTTCTTATTTTCTAATGTACTCATTGTACTTGCTTGTGGTTCGGTCATGTTATTTGGTATTTTTGTCGGGATTACGTAGTATTTGGGCTCACTACTATTGACCTTGTGATTGTGGTGTTGTTATTGATTTTTTTCTGAATTAATGGGATTCGGTTCACTTGTTGTTCTGTGTTATCTGTTGTCGGTATTACTGTCTGTACATTGGATACGTGAGCAATTATTGACTTTTTCGGATTTGCTGGTATTTTCGGTTGATACATATCTCCATTCAATGAAAGAATACCGAATGGGGGTTGATTATAGCGATTATTAAACGGTGTTTCTTGAGGTACATAACCGCGTCTTGACTTTTCAGTATCCCATGGTTTATTTTGGTGATCAAAGTTTGTTTCTTTGCAGATGAACTCTTTCGGTTCATCACATCGCATAGCTTGAATGTCCCATTCTCCTTGACCATTGTTTTTCAAGTTACCAATAATACAACCCTGGTGCTTATTCAGGATTTTCTGCCAGTGGTCTCCATATGTATCTGGAAACCGGCGGTAATTGAAAGTTGATCGATCTAGCCACCGCAAAACGACATACTGATGATTCATTAGGTCTGCAGTCCCTCCTAGCCATATTTTAGTTAAACTGGTATCTCCAAAACATTTTGACAACATTGCCTATTTGTAATAATATAAAAAGTGTTTTCAGGTTAGTTAGCAAATGAATTTTAGTTGAGAAATCAGCGTTAATGTATGTACCAATCATGCTTATAGTATGGACTTCATATAGCATTAAAAGCAACTGTTTTGTGTTGTTGTGTTACATTAACCTAATTGCTATTTTAATGTTTTCTATTGTCTAGTTCTATATCAACCCCACATAGGTTATTCTAGCTTCCGGACACACCTCCGACTTATTCTTCATGAGTCACATTTGGATCTTGTCAATTGTTTGCTTATTAATTTTGACTTCTTATATCACCGTGTTTGTACCACTTACCCTATTCATGACATGTCTTCGGCTTATTTTTGTCTAGTTATAAATATTGAGTCACGGTTTATCAAAATGAGTTGGCTTACTCACCTTCTCTGCTTTGTTTTCTCGCTTTTCATCCTGTCTGTCCAGATAAACGGATGCTTGAAATGAATTCATCCAATACAACCTGTATATGGTAGTTAATCAATAGTCAGTATTGTATCGCAGTTCATATGTGAACAAGTTCCACACAAGTTGAGTGGGTAGCTTATTACTTGGTGTTCTGGGAACCAATAGTATGGCACATAGGGTTTTGAGAATAAAGACTACATTTGATAGAAGGATCAGATTTCATTCCACTCGTCGTAGTATGATGACTAGTCTGTCGATATCTTCACTCACATAACATGAGTGTATATGAACACACACACACAGTTAGTATAGCTCATCCCGATCCCCTGTTTTACTAAGCATTCATTTGTTTTAAATGAAGGAAATATGAACATATAATGTTAGATTTCATCCAAGTTCCACTAATCTTTGGCCTTGCGCTTAACAACAATCTGTTCATGATTACTACTTTCGGAATCATTTTTACTAAATGAGAATCACGGTGTAAATCAATAAAATAAAATAAAATGAACACTGTCCTAATTGCTTTATCAAAGTGAGACACAAATTCACCTGTAGTTGACGAGCCATCCGAACCTATCGTTCGTATTACCACTAAAATTGATCACTTTATTTATGTTGTGCCAGTTGAGTCAATGTAATTGGCTTGAAATAGTAATATCATAGGGAAACTTATTAAGTTATAAATATGGATACATAACTATTGACACAGAGGGGTACTGAAATATATATACACTAAATAAAGTAGTCATCACTTAATTTGTGTATGAGCTGAGACACTACTCGAGTGCCTAAAACAAAGTAGTTAGTTTCTTCAAAGGGCCACTCCCTGAGCTTTTGACCTGGAGGTTCAATCCACAAGGCAGTAGTGGAGCAACGGTAGGAGATGTGGTCCCATGGTAGCCGATGAGTAAAAATAGGTTCATACGCCATTTGTTCCTTCAGGATCGTGGAGCTCATGTGCCATATTGGTTTGGAATCAGGGTTCTCCAACTCCTGTAGGCGGATCCTCCATCCCCCCCATCAAATAACATGATAACATTTCATTTAAGGAATCCTTAAGATTACAGATTTTAAAGTATTCAACCAAAATCAAACTAAAAATCACTTGACATTATTCAGGCAACCCGTAACATAAAATTTCTAGAGTCTCATAACAATTTAACCATTTATGGTCCACCAGGGTGCTTGGTACCTGTGTAGTTACGCCACAGCATTGAACTGTACTATTCAGATTGTAGCATTAAAGCCTATACAGTGTCTGGTTCTCCTGTGAAGCGGGATTGAGTTGTATTGCTCGCGTTATAAAATTTAAGCTTAAGCGGTGTTTGGCTCTCTTGTTAAACACGACTGACCTGTACTGTTTGAATTGTCATGTGAACGTGTGGATGGTGTCCAGTCCTAAAATTACTCTGACCCACAAGGGTATATTATATAACTGTAACTATTAGTCATTATATAACAAGTTAACCATTTAAACACTTATCAGAAGACATCTATTCTATCACAATGATCTTAACCGGTTACATAGAATTTTATAAACTAAAGCAAACTAACCCATATTCTCACTTACCCATTCATCATCTGATTGTATCGATGTTAAATGTGATTCCGATGAAAATACTTGATTACAATATTGTTCAGCTTGATGAAATGGTAATTTCAAACCCATCACTTTTCTATAGATGTTACCATGATATTTCATAGTTTTCACTTGTTCCACTATTGGTTCTTCATTATATTTTCTATTTGATTCTTGTATGGAATAATGAGAATTGAATGAATATGGATAATTGTTATGTTCTAAATGATTCGATGGATACCATATACATGTAATATAGAACATTTGCATAAAGAATACGGTCAAGATACTTTTCATTCTATTCATGACATTCATTATGTTTTAGTACAAATGATAGAAATGAATATTGTATTTTACTTTTGAGTAATACTTTCGTATCATTGAATTGTATTCATTACTTTTGATGATTCTTAAATACTACTAATATGAATACTATTACTAATCATAGTAATAATAGTAATAATAATAATAATACTATTACTACTATTAATCATAATGGTAATACTTAATTCCTATTTGTAGAATTAATCACGATGTCAATGATCATTTCAATTTGATCATATGAACGGTGATCATAATCTTCTTATAGTATTGATTAGTTATGTAAAGGATATTTCATTGAACAGATAAGTTGAAATGATTAATATCTGTGTAGCTTTGGTTGTTATTGAGATGATAGAGAAGAATTGTAACTTAGATGAATGATTTTGATGAAGTTTTGTTCTTTGAATAGGATGGTTTAGTTGTAGAGCTAGTGTTAAAGTATTTTACTTCTACCTAAAATTTATGCTGATGATGTCGTTCAAAAGAACAATGAAAGCTCCATAATTAAGCTATCCAACTCAGAGAACAAAACTTTATCAATATAGTTGTTATGCTAGCTAAATAAAGTGTTGTTATTCCTATCTTCTAGATATTAATACTGTTGAACAGATAGTTCAGTGATTTAGAGGTTATAGGTTTGCGTGTACGAGACTGAAAGTCCTAGGTCCGAGTCCTTTTTGGTGTGGGGTTGTAGATACTTACTGCTATGCAGTTATATACTAGGATGAAAACGATTTTAAAGCGATGCTTCTAGGTTGTAAATGGCAGAAATTTAGCCTAGATCGACCAGACCAAAACATGACACAAGTCCATGAAGTCACTGACAAGTGAACTGAGCCATGTTGGTAGGTGTAGACTACCTGGTTGAGGACCGCGAGATGATAGCAACCGATGGTTAGAGACCCTGAATGACATGGCTCAAAATCGTTTGCAATGGCGCAGGTGCATACATTCTTTGTTTTCTCCCAAATTCTAATCTCCTGATTCCTCCTTGTCCCTTTTTTCCTCTTTCCAAATTTATTTCACATCTTCAAACCCTAATCTTTCCGATTACTGCTTATTCTCTTACTACCTCTACCACTACGGAATTTAAGTCGAAAACTGCATCTCTGTGCTAATGTGGTGTGGCAACTCGAACTGATGTACGTACGAATGAAGTTCTACGTTGTTACTGACTGACTGACTGACTTAGATCGAACTCATGAAATTAACTACTACAATCTCCACAAATCCCCATTCTATCTCCTACAGTTCATCAGTGCTAATTAACTATATGATTTTCGTTTTTCACTCAAATGCTGTGTAAAGTGATTACAGTTATCTTTGCCAAAAACCACTTGTTTAATTTATCTGGTATTATTGTAACGAATGATGATTTGGTTAGGGTAATTCAATTCATTGTGTTATGCAAACTCCATGTACTGCATTTATAAAATTGGTAAACAATACATTAGATGCATTATTTGGATATCTTCTTTGAATTGTCTCTTAAAAAATCTGTTGTTCCAACATCCCTGATTTTATTTCGACTGACTTCTGTTTTCCTTTCTCTTCTCTTTACATTTGTCTTCTGTTCGTAAGAATTCCACTTTCAATTACTGAACCTCCAAATGCTCTCACATGACCACGTGCATACAACCACTGCCAAGGAAGTCCTACTCACTACCTCACGGCATTATTGTTGTTTACGTAAGTGAGAGGACGAAAAACGAATGTCCTGGGCTTTGACCGGGTTGGTGGATATAGTGGATCGACCTAGGGGAGTTGGAAAATCTTGATTCCAAACCGATGGTGTACATGGGCTCCAGTATCCTAAGGGAACAAATGATGAACTAATTATTGGTGACCGGCTACCATGGGACTGTATCTCCTTATGTTGCTCCACTGCCTTGTGGATCAGACTTTTAGGTGAAGTGATCTGGGTATGGCTACCCAAGTAAACCACCTGTCTCGGTTTCGGCTCCCGAGCACTATCCCACCACTCACACAAATCGAATGTTTTATGTGGTGCATATTTATTTGGTGCCTCCTTGTACCAATGTGTATATGTTTAAATAAATAAGTCCAATTCCTGGTATATACTACTTCTATCTGTTAGTATAAGTAGCATACACCACATTATTAGCATTCTTGATGTTATATTAGAAAGTTGTGAACTGTGAAGTGCTAACCAAACTAAAATTAAGATCAGTTGACCATTGACCAAACTGCATATACTCTAGGCTCTATAATCGTTTGCATAAGATTTTGAAAATATTGTTTATTACATTCATTTGGTATTGTTTGCCTGTATCTTCCCATTGATGTTTGGAACTGCAATTGATCAGTCTCTTATTGGCATATGTGCATCCTGTGCGGATTGCCTCGATATAGCCTTAAGTCACAAGCTTCTTGAGAAAATATGGATAGTGGCTAGCAGTGGAATCCAGGACGCGCGTTTCGGAGTAAATATCAACTCTGTGATGTAGGTACATCCAACCAACGAGTTTCAAATAGGATGAAACGTGCGTCCTAGATTCCACTGCTAGCCACTATCCATCTTTACTTATTGTTTATGAGCTTTAGATAGTGTGAATTAAAAGAAACATGGAAATATTGATGGTGATGATGATGATGATGATGATGATGATTATGGAAATACTTGACGACGACTCTTACAGAAATGTTCAAAAGTGAAACTAAACAATTTCCCAGTGATATCCAAGTTTTGTCCGTTTTCTTGTAGTGTAATTTCGTAAAACTCAGACTAATCAGTTCTTTTAAATAAAAAAAATTGAACATAGAAATTCGTTGCAAGCAGATTAGTCTTAAATTTCCCGTTTTTCTCTATCTTGTATCCTTACCTCTCTGCATGAAAACAGTATACTGTACTTGGTGGGGGAAGTATTCTATGTCTTCGCCAACACAAGAAGGTGTATCACAATATCTGTTTTTTCCCTTTTACTCTTCTCACTTTTTTCGTATAGTCTGCCATCTCCTACAGAAATCCCACTGCATTTACGCCGATTTCTGCTTTTTCAAATCTCCTTGAAATGAATAAGTTCTTGTCGCTTTTCAAACGATGGTCTTTTCTTAATGGTCTCAAACTTAATCCTTCTAAATGTCAAACTGTTAATTTTAGCATAAGACATAAACAGCACTTAAACACCTTGTTGGAATCCCATAAAGTTTGTCAGTCAAAGCATATAAACTCGACAATACATTATCTTACAGATATACAATTCAACAAACAGATTGTTAGAGCTGACCCAGATAATAACTTGTATTCTCAATACATATTGTTCATTAAAAGTCTTTGGTAGGATCCTTATTAGCAGGCATAGAACAATTCACAACAATTTTATGAATTACTTACTTACTTACACCTGCATAGGCCGCCGACCAGCATTTTCAAACCCTCTCTCTACTGGGCCTTCTTTTCAGTTCTATCCAACTGTTTTCCATTCTTCTCATGTTGTCTCCATTTCTCGGCGTTATGTGTTATTTGGTCTTCCTCCTTACCTTTGGCCTTGAGGATCCTATCGAGGGTTTGCCTTATAACGCAGTTGGGTGCTTTCCTCAGTGTGTGTCCTATCCACTTCCAACACTTCTTCCTGATTTCTCCCTCTACCGGAATCGAGTTTGTCCTCTCTCACAGTAGGTTGCTGCTGATAGTGTCTTGCCAGTGGACCCGAAGTATTTTGCATAGACAACTGTTAATAAACACCTGTATCTTCTGGATGATGGCTTTCGTAGTTCTCCAGGTTTCCGCCCTATACAGTAGAACTGTCTTAACATCTGTATTGAAAATTCTGACCTTGGTTTTGGTTGTCAATTGTTTTGAGTTCCAGATGTTCTTCAATTGTAGATATGCTGCTCTTGCTTTGCCGAATTTTTTGAATGGATACCAGCAAATATGACTCCTTAAGTTGGAATTCTACCTAATTACAAAGCTGAAATTCTTGGTGTTTAGACAATTTAGTAACCAACCTTATTTAAGTATGGATTACAAATTTATAGCTTTAGTGTCATATAAAAACTTCCTACAGTTTTATGGAGGGTAAAAATCCCTGAATTGTACATTTACATTATGACCTATGTAGTTGAGTTTTAATTTACATGACAAATGAAGTATCATATCGTCATTTTACATAGTTGAAATTCTCCTAAAGTCTATCCAAATGAATTACAATGTCTTCTTGAATGAGTAAAAGCGAATTCTGGAAAATTAAAGATGTAGGGTCTGGTACTATTGTGGTGTGTGCTACTGATATCAACAGATATTAGTAGTATGTATCATCAATCAAAAGTGAAATGTCTGGCGGTAGAAGGTTAAGAATATCGGAGAAAACAGAACGAAAACAAAGAATGATTGGTGTGGAAACGAAAGAAAAATAATGTCTAAGACAATTGATTGACATTTTGTAAGTGAAGTATTCATTGTATGGTTCTCAGATTTTAGTAATTTTGTGTTCGAATACATTCGATTGTCCTCATTTGTGTTCTTGTTTACTACACTATGTCAAGTTCATAGAGGTTATTCTAACCTCTGGAAAGATCAGTCTATTCATTCTTTTCAAGCCACTTCTTTACCCTATCACTTATTCACATATCAACCTTAACTGTTTTTATATGATCCTGGTGGAATTCAATTGTGTGCTGTACCATAAATGAATTGAGAAGCAGTATTCAGATTTAGGATAAACTCCTTAACTTAAGAACTTATACATCAGTCATTATGATCATAAAACATACTTGCCATTCAGACTTCATTTAGTTAGTTGGAAAGTCTTAGTTGTTATTGTACTATACACTAAACAGTGATGAAGAAGTTCCATGGTTTAATACATAAACGAATCCTACTTTATCTTAAAAACGAACGTCAAGGCAGTTCTACTGTACGGAGCTGTAACTTGGAGAACTACAACAACCATCATCAAGAAGGTACAAGTATTCATAAATGGTTGTCTACGCAGGATACTCAACATCCATTGGCCGGATACCATCAGCAA